ACCAAAGATCATGCTATTCGTCATCACGCCCCATAGGACTATCACTGATTCTGAGAGGGGTGCCTGGCAGCATATCCACCTAGTCCCCGATCCCCTTTAAGCAAACCACCGTTACAGTCTCGTGGAGGAGAGATCAGGGCGAAAAAAGAAGTGTTCAAACAAAGACAACCCAGATCAGACATTGTGGGCAGTTCTGCCGGTCTTGGATCGGCCCTTTTGTTCTTCAGCGCTAATGTGCACGAGCAGGTACAAGGACTGATCCGACCTTACCAGCAATCAATTAATTTTATTTTCTCTGAAACAACGGCATATTTTCACAAGTTATATTGATCATTTTATTTCAGGGAACGACAGAGAACAACCCTGTGAGACCCTTAAATTTTGAGTCGTTTGATCTTATAACACTACTGCCTCTTGTGTTGAATAATTGTGTTGTTTTACCTTAATTTGCTGTATTAAATTTAATCTTCATCCAGTTGAACTGATCGTAGCTTGAATGGTTAAATTATTATGTACGCTAAGCCTGATCTTCCACATATGCTTTTGAAAAAGTTAATTGGCGATCTCTATAAGAGCGGTCCTGGGCATTTCGCATCGGAAAAAATTTTTGCCACAAACTTTGCCCAATAAACTATCTTGGGTAGTAAGTAAATAAGGCCACATTGGTTTCTGGATATACGTCAAAAAAATTTTTATGACAGTTCTCAATAATCAAAGCTGTAAAAGCCCCTTTTTGACCTCTTGCGACATCGTTATGCTCATTAAATAATGACCTCTGGGAGAATCGAATTTTTATCTCAGAAATCGTGGGATTCCGGTTTTAACTCCGCATGTCTACATGGTTAAGCTATTGCCTCCGGTTGACTTCTGCGCGTGCTCAAAACAGAGCACACGGTTCTTTACGCCGGCGGAAGAAGAAAAGAATATAACTTAATTTTCTGTACGTGAACTTACGACTCATCGTAATTAATCGAAAATGTAATTTATAAACCAGAAGAAAATACCGAGATTTTATCCAGAGCACCTTCTGGTGCTCCTGGAGGTTTGGAAGTGAAAGAAAAAGGGATAAGTAATGGCCTTTAACGTAGCTTTTACGCTGTTTCCAGGTTCCCGCGTGTGGTAAATCGATAGCAAGCCAATAATAGTTAGTGAAGATGGACTTTGAGCAACCATAAGTGCAGCAGTGTTATCTACTTAAAGAAAATTGGGCTTAGAGGAAATGAAAAAGGAATAACGACAAAGTTAAGAAGCGATTGGTTTAGATTCCAGAGAATTCCTCCAACAATATAATAAGTTTTGCTTTTGGAGGGGTTGTCTGCGATGCAACCCAAAATATATACGCATCATCCTTTCTTAACTCGATATTTGCATGTTCTGTCAACTAAATATAAACAGAATGTAACTCTCCATATATTGGCAAACAGTTTCATTTTGAATGTATTAAACTCTGTTGAATGTTTCTGATCATAGTTAATTGAACACAAATACACAAATATATTGACATGGAATTTTGAATGACAGATATGTATATTGTAATTGTAAAAAAATGCTTATCATAATGCAAACCAGCTGTAAATGTAGCATCATGTAAAACCTTCATACTTAAGGACCTCAGCATTTCTATGGCCAGCCATCTCAAGTATTTCAGTCCCTGTTGACTGCTTGGTTAAATTAGTGTTAAAGTATAGGTGATTGAAAAAGAGGATTTAATGTGTCGCAAGATTCATAGATAAATATGAAACGATTACCTCCGTGTTTCCATCGGGAGTGTCTTCTTGTACCCGAGTCGCGGGTATAACGGATCTTTTGAGTAGTTTACTAGCGGTAACGCAGATAGTGAAACTGTGGCCTGAGAAGGGCTTTGGAGGGCGACAGACCTCATTTCTGTTTTTTAAGAATGCGACCCTTTTCTTCGCGATTTCCTTATATATTTAGCCTTCTCGATTTCTTCTTTGATACTGAATACTATCATGCTATTCTGATGTCGAACTCTTTTACATTAGTACATTTCCGTACGCTCGCAAGACCTCTACAATTCTTTCCTTTCTGCTTTTCACTTAAAACAAATTACTATGATGATTTATTTCTAATTATACGTCTTTGACATCAACGACAGCAATCCATCGTTCCATGAAGAACAGCTTCCCGCCATTGCAGCATGCAGCGGCTTTAGCTGGATGTTTTCTCACACATCGACAGGCAGTTTACAAATGAAAACTTCCACGCAAAAAAAAAACAACAGCAACAGTAACAACAGTAAAAACAATTCAAATTTATCACTGTTAAAGCTTCACTTCCAGCCCGATCGATCCCTTCCGTAAATCACACTTCCTATGTAGAGTCTATCGTTTTCCTATAAACCAATCAAAAAATTGAATTAATCGAGTCTCCGAGAGGTTATTTGGCGACCATACCGCTGACAAGGAGCCAAAATGACACTGTGTTCGATATTGCGTAACACACTTCATGCAGCAAGAAAACTTTTGTATTCCTTAATGAATGAGTTGTCAGCAATCGGATCCTTACGTTTGCGCACAGATTTCTGGGATCGCCACGGGGCAAACATTGCAACTCGCTGGAGAGGAACGCATGGAGAAAGATTGTTTGAACGTCCAAAGAGGGATTTTGGCGAGAGATAATGGCTTTTCCGCGGAATTACCACGAATTATGTTATCAAAATACCGAAAAACCTTCTTTCCTTGCGTAAGGTCTATCGTAAAATCGTCATCGCGTAATGGTCTCGAAATATTACAAAATTAGCCATGAAATAGCTCATCTAAGTATTTTCAGTAAAGCCTTTCTTTATACTTGTTCACATATTTTATAAACAAATTACGACGTTTGAAAATATACCACCTCAAAGGAGAGATGTCGTCGTCAGCGGCGATGGAAATTATTTAAACATAAGGATCCTGTCAACCAATCATACAATTGGGTGGGATAAGTCTAAAAATTATTACCCTTAATTGACATTACCATCAGCGCCTTTGTTTGGAGGCCTGGCACGGAATAGAGTAAATAGCGTCCGTTGGTTGTTCTTTCGTGACAGGGTTCTTAGGTTTAGCGAAAATGTGCCCCAAACATGAGGGTCCTGTCACGAAAGAACAATGATCCGACGCTATCTATTCTATTCCGTGCAATGACTGTGATCACGAGTGTATCGGACAGACCAAACGTCAGTTTGGTACACGTATGAAAGAGCAGCAAAAAGTGGCCTTCTTTTGCAGAAAAGAAAATTCAGCTTTGTCTGAGCACATATGCCACACCAACCCTACAATTGGGCTGGACAAGTCTAAAATTATCAGGAGAATCGACGTTACCACAAGCGCCTTTGTTTGAAAGCCTGTCACGGAATAGAATAAATAGCGTCGGTTCACCGTTCTTCCGTGACAGGGTTCTGAGGTTTAACGAAAATATGCCCCAAACCTGAGGGCAATGACTGTGATCACGAGTAGATCAGACAGACCAAACGTCAGTTTGATACACGTTTGAAAGAGCATCAAAAAGTGGTCTTCTTTCGTAGAAAAGAAAATTCAGCTTTGTCGGAGCACATATGCCTTACCAACCATACAACTGGGTGGGACAAGTCTAAAATTATCACCACTAATCGACGTTACCACCCACCAGCGCCTATATTTGGAAGCCTGTCATATCAACTCAGCCCACGCTTCTTTAAATCGTGATGATGCCGGCTTACCACGTGACGTTTGTTTACAATTCGTCAGAGAAAAGGGCAGCTGTATGGTTTGAAATGTTCATACAGATTTGAATAGCTTAAGCTCTCTTAAGTCAAATATAAAAGAACAGAAACTAATTTTCCAAAAGAGTTTCTCAATAAAACGTTGACTGAACGCTCATTCATCATTATGATATTCGATACCTTTTTCGTCACGAGACAGAATAATTTGCCAGATTTTAGCCGTTTGAAATGTTTACAGTATCAACCAGTGTGTTCTAAAAGCTCGGTCCTACTATATTTTCTTTTTGAAGTAGTTAAAATCTAAGATTTGTGAAGCTACTGATGATGAATGGTCGGAGTTTGCTTAACAGACTAATTTGCATAATTCTGCTGTCACGCAAGCAAAATTACCAAAAGTTGGAAGTCGCTATGGCTAAGGAAATAAGTGCAAGATGTTTTTACATTTCTATGTTTTCAAACATCTAAATAGAAGAAATCAACCGGAATTTTTAATGGTCCGGTCTGGACTTGAGGAATATCACCCAAGAAAGAAAGAGTACTCTTGACCACTTTAGAAAGATGTCTAACGGGTGTTTTTTTCAAATAAATTATGGCGAAACCTCTAAATACACTCATATAAAGGTTGAAATACTTTCCAAATCCCTCATATATCACACAATTTAGGAATACAAACGTTTTCGTGCTGCAAGTAGTGTGTTACGAGGAGCGAGCTTGTCAACCTTTGAAATTTTCGCAAAATGTCAAAAAAGGGCCTTTTACAGCTTTGATTGTTAAGAGCTCTCGAAAAATTTTATAACGTATTTCCAGAAACCAATGTGGTTTTATTTAGTTACTACCAAAGATAGTTTAATGGGCAAAGTTTGAGGAAAAACTTTTTTCTGATGCGAAATGCCTAGGACCGCTCATACAGAGATCGCCACTTAAACCAAGAAAAGATTAGACTAGAAGCTTTGAGTTGCTAGTCAAACCAATACATTTTCACAGAGAAAAAGCAAGTAAGAATGGTTTTTAGCTCTGGATTTCCGTAATGGTTACTTATACGATCAATTAGTTAAAGTTTCTTTGCTTATCAAAGGCTTGTTAGTGTGTGACAAAAAAAAATTCACAAAACGATGGCAATAATAAGAAACTTTCATTCTTACCAAGGGACACCAATAACCACTACCCCTTTGAACAATTATTGATGAGAGAAAGACAAACGACTGAACAAAGTCATGAACGCTAAAATGACACACAACTGAGTTCTAAGCAGAAGTACCGCGTGTTTCTGGTTCAACCTTATTATCATGAGGACTTCAATTTAATGTTCATTCGAAATCATTATCTTTGCTTCTTTCGTAGTGTTCCGATTTTCATCTACAGAGTTAGGAGTGGGCTCTACCTTGTGCCGTCTGTTGACCATATCAATCACGTTTTCTTGCTCTTCCCTTCGGGTGAGCATTCTGGGGCACATGAGGAACAGAATCTTCTTGTAGCTCCGGCGGTAGTTTTTGTTGCTCAGTCCGTAGATAACAGGATTCATACAGCTAGTGGCAAAAGTAAGAAATGCCACAGCGTGGTGTTCTTCAGAGTCCGGCCTCATTTTTCCTGCAAACACCAAAAGGGCAGTTATCTGATTCGGTGTGAGGCAGATCGTGGAAACAAAACAAACAAAACCAATCATCCGTGTCATTTTCCCGCGAAGTTTAGCCTTACTCGCCTGTGACGTCACTGCTGATGTCATAACCATTCCCACCATGTGGATATAGAGCGCAATCATGGCGAGGCAAGGGAAGAAGGTCATCATGGTAATTTGAAAGACAGCCAGTAGGACACGAAAGGTGGAGCCTGGCGCCAAGATTCGATACTCACACATTCTCCTGGAAGATGGGAGGTACACTGTTTCAATAACGGCCGTACTCACAGTAGCGAGAGAACACACCCAAGATACAAGGATGTAGCTAAGAACCGTTCTCTTGGTCATAGTCATGCAGTAACTGAAAGGTTTTACGACAGCAAACCAACGGTCAGCGGACAAACCCAGACAAATGTATGTTGAGAACATCACCAAGTGGAAAAGAAGAAAACGGCTCCATATAAACCGGCAGAATATCTCTCCCAGAACGGGGCTTTCCGGGTAGGGAAACAAATTACCATAGATATAAGCAGGGTTAGTAACCAAGCAAATTCCGATCGACGCATCAGCGATGGCTAGCGAGAGAATCAAAATGTTGTAAGATTTCTTTAACAGCTTCTTTTCCCAAACGAAGACTAGAATAACAAGTGTGTTTCCAAAAATGCAAACGTGGAAACAACAGAGTAAACAGCTTGCTGAGTGGGGCTTATGTTTCCAACACTACTGCTCAAGGAAGAGGCTTCGGACGTTGCTTCCAGAGAGGAATTGTTCCAAGTTGAATTCATCTGTAACCGTTGTTTAGACGCAAACCTTGGTTAGAACATCGAAGCCACTCGCTTTGTTTTGAACGGCGATAGACTGTGATACCTTGCGGATCTCCTATTTCACATATGATAAAACAGTTCAAGTAAAATAAAGTTGAGGAAATTCGCTCCAAAATTTTATTTTAAGAACAAAAAAAGTGAGTGCATTTGTTTTCTGTATTTTTAAAAGTTTAGCATTCAAAGACTGATCAATCGCGATAAGAAAAAAAGAATAAAATCCCAATTAAATGATCAAAAACGTAAAAATTTTTTTCCGACTAGTAACTTTGTTACATTAAGTTTGCTTACGGAGAAACATTTATACATCCTAAAAAAGTAAACATCATACAATTTTTTCCTCTCACCAACACACACACACATATATATATAAATATATATTCAATACCGAGAACGAAAACGTTAGTGAGATTTATCTCTCTAAAAGAAGCTCGCTTAGACGAATTTTTGACTAATACCCTGTTCACACCAAAGCTAAAACATGTTTTACAGTTTTTTTGGCGAAACACGATTTAAAACTGTTTTTTGTTTTGTTTCTCCTTCTCAAAGAAGTTCATCCGGCTGGCTCTGATGTAAAAATTTAGCAAAATGAAAATATAATCTAGTGATTACTTGAAAACCCTTATAAAAATTCGTTTTTTTTTTTCGGTTTCCATTGATAAATTTCATTCTCTAAACATGCTTTGCTCGTGTGAATGCGGCGTAAGAAACTTACCTGCAGTCCAGCAATGTACCATACGCCAGTTATGCGATCTTTGAGCAACAAAATTTCCGAGTTTCTAAATAAATCTACTGAAAGCAACCATACAGATAGTTTTCAGTCACAAGACACTCGAGAACCCAGTCACGAAACGTAAATACAATTACCAAGTGGGTAAGCGAGAATAAAAAACGGCGAGTTTTGGTTGAATAAAATAAGATTCAAGAGCAGCACAAAAGGAGGATTGATTGACATCCTTAGCCTTGTTTTCACAGATTTTGAGGAGGAAGTCTTTCTCACTGTTAATCCTTTGTCTTATTACGTAATGATACTTCAGTTAAAGCAAACATGCAATATTCCGTGCTCAGACAATTGACTTAAATTATTTTTATAATTGTTCTAAAAATAAAACATTTTAAAAAAAAATCACTTCACTCAATCGCTTTATTAAGTCTTCAAAGTGAATGAAAATATATCAAATATTGAGTTTTTTCTTTTTCTAGTCAGTCAAAACTTGAAAATGGATCCCCGTGTGTTACACAATTAAGTTGGCACAGAGAAGTATCAAAAAATGAAGAAAAAAATCGTATGGCGGAATGTTGATTTTTGAAACATTTTTTGAGATATGATGAAGAGTGTAAAGGTCAGCTATGAAAATTGCCCACTCAAACTTGAAAAGCTCATAATTCTTGAAGTAGACTTCAATCAACAATCAGCCATACGGTTTTTTTAGCACAATAATTGCTGATTCACTTCCCAAAGATTGTTTGTCGAAACAATAAAATACAAGCACGTACAAATGTATTGAAGACACATGAGTAGTTTTCTCTATCTCCTCAATAGTGATCTTTGTGATAATTGTGATAAAAAAAGAAAATTATCGAATTCTGTAGTCTATAAGCTTTAAAGTGATATATAGTTTTATAGGGATCAGCTCAAAGTAATCGCGTTAATAATAATTTTCTGTGATCCATCCGTAATCTTAAAGTTGTTCAACATGCTTAATTTCTTTACTTTGAAACACCAATTCGTAGTTCCTGCGCTTTTTCATCTGTTTCGCTGTAATTGGTAGTAAGCTGTCATCATCTTTTCAACCCATTGACCCCTCGGAGTCAAACATGTGAAGCTCACAAGAATATATGAAAATGATCACCAACTAAAGAAGCCCTTATTTTGTTTTCAACAGATTGTCCTTGTCGCCACTTTAGTAATGTACAGAAAACATTACGGAGAATATGCATATTGATATTAGAGAGTAATAAAAGGTGGACAGACTAAAAAAGTGGGAGAGCATCGTTCTATCCACGAAACCATTCTAAACGACCTTGAGGAACTAGATGATAGATTAACATGAACTACTGAGCATGCGTGTTGTCAACCTTAGGAGTATGGAGAAGATCGCCCGGAATCGAGAGATAAACAAGTTCAGAAAGAATGAGGGAGGGGGGTAGGGTGGGTCTGGAGGTAGAATGACAAGGAGGCTGTTTTCAAGGGAGTGTCACACCTCGCAAAATGTTACTTTTCTTTCAACAGAGTAATACAGTCGCACCTGTTCGGCTGTTGTCGCTTGCCCTGCCGGCTTTTCTTCCTCCTAAGATTCTTTTTTATTTTACTCAAAATAAAGGGGGCACAGGCCCCTCCCCTACATCCGCCACCGTATATTACCCCTCTTCTGTGGAAACTGTTTTTATGAGGTTATTCCATCAATCACCATGGGTGACCACTCAATACAGATTTGGCTGTAGTGAGAATTACAAAAATCATTATTTAACAGAGTGATAAAACTTGGATATAACACCAAAATCACGTTTGGTAAAAGAAATGTAAGATCCTATTGTACGTTAGTAAACCGGTCTTCAGATCTGGAGGGTTGCAAAGTTTAAAGTGATAGTGAAGTTTATAGCAGGTTCACTGAATATAAGAGATGACGAAAGCTTCAAAAAATATTTTATTTGTTTTTGGAGTTTTCTAAACATATTGGCATCCCATCCAAAATGTCCATAACAATTTCTTTTTCTTTTACAAACTAGTATATATTTTCTAGCTTATAATTGACATGGTGCTTGCCGCAACATTACTTTAAAATCTATTAGACAATATATGTACTGGAAAAAACAAAAATTAACGAATGCTAGTGTCTTTCTCATCCATACTCTGAGATGTCACAAATTGCGTGACATCTTATAGATCGGTTGCGAAAGAGACTGTTACAAAGGGCGTAAAGAACGCGTTTTATTTGCGTTTAACTCAGTATTCCTTTGGCTTTGAGGTCATCAATCAGCTTCTTCATGGCGTGTTCAATAGCGCCTCGAGTGCTTTTGTAGTGTCTGGCTTCAGCACTTGTTCCACTTTTCACATCCCTGGCGGTACCGTCATACACCCACTCAAGTTTATGAATTCGACCTTCAGCTTTGTATTCGATCACACGATCCTTGAACTTGAGCTAAACAGAAGGATAATTGATTATGATGATGAAAAGAAATCAAGTCTCCTTCGCTCAATACCGGCTGATTTCGAAATCCTCTAAGCGCGTCTACGGTATTTGTCTGCATCATTACCCTCCAAAATCATCCACGATTTAGAAGCAACTAATACCCGTACTTTTCCATCAAAACATCGTCTTTTTTTTTTCAGGTCCAATCTTAAAACTCCGAAGAAAAATTTTGGTTTTGATAAAACATCTTTTAAAAGCCAGTTTTTCTTAGTTCTCTTGGTCATAGTCATGCAGCAAAACGGCTCCATATAAACCGGCAGAATATCTCTCCCGGAGCGGGGCTTTTTGGGTAGGAAAACAAATCACTATAGATATAAGCAGGGTTAGTAACCAAGCAAATACCGGTCAACGCATCAGTGATGGCCAGCGAGAGAATCAAAATGTTATAAGATTTCTTTAACAGCTTCTTTTCCCAAGTTTGTTCTAGTTCGAAGCTAAACATGATCTCGATCAGATTTTGATTCATTTCGTAAAATGCTTTTGTGCAGTAGATGAATCCCACATGAAGACAATCAAATACGGACGTAAACGTTAAGTGACTGGCTTAAAGAGATCGAAGACTGATATTATATTGAGAAGATTTGACTAGTTTTGATTTTGCACATTTAGATATCGAGGTTTGTGCGACTTTGCGAAATTTTAATTCATGGAGAATAATTTCCCCTTCAAGTGTACTCTAGCCGTTGGCGTCAATTTCGCTTATCTTGTATAATTAACACAAAGGTCTATTTCCTAGAATAATATACTTGTAGCTATTACAACAGTTTCGAAAGTACCAAGAAAATGAAAGAGGGATTTTTCCAGGTCATGACGTCAGAAAAAGTAAAACAAACGTGTCATCAAACGGAACTGACTTAAATAAACGTACTTTAATTGACAAACCTGCTTTTTTCTTTACTGCCTTCGGTGCTGTTTAATGTACAGTTTTTATGATTTTGCTAACAAGTCCATTCATGGAAAACTTTGCGATGCAGTGATCAAATCCTTCGATTAAGAATCTTTCCGATCTTTCGCGTGCGTTTAAAGTGAGAGTGATAATTTTCATTTCGTTAACTCAAAACCGATCTAAACAGCGACGTAAAGCTAGCCCTGAACAATATCAACTGCAACAGATCGTTAAAACAAAAAATTTGACGTAATGATCGAATCCTTTGATAACAACCGTTTCGATCTTGCTTAAGCATGCGTTTAAGGTGAGAGGGTGGTGATTTTCATTTCGTTAGCTCAAAACTGATCTAAACAGCGACATAAAGCTAGTCCAGGCTAACATCAACAGCAACAGATGGTTAAAATAAAAAACTTGAATAAAATGCCACGACATCGCTTACCTTCCCTGACGCGCCAGCGACGCTTTGAAGGAAAGAATACAAATGTGCGATGTCTTCAATAATATTCATGATGGCCTGCGAAATATAAAATTTATCAACTTGTTAGCCTTGTTCATCATTTCTTCCGGTTGATCGAAAATTTTAGACAGATTGACTCATTCACAGATTCACACAATACAATTTTACCCTTGTGTAAAAAAAAGGAAGCTTTGTCTGTCGAGTCAACTCTTGCAATAAACATCACTGTTTAATTCTCAGAAATATATGTAATTTCTACCTCTAGAGCCCAGTGCTTCTCCGATGACTTAGCGTAAGAGAGGTCATTTATGAGTCCCAGTGAAAAATATTATGCGTTGGTCTCAGCATGATCCCCGATGGGAGGTATTTCCAAAAGTAACTGTTTTATTGCCCTTTGTGACTTCATAGGGAGAGGCCCTAAAAAACAACGAATGAAATGAGTTGACATTAGACAAGCCCAGTCGGGGGTTCTCAGTCATTTAAGTATCCGGGGTCTCTATCACTCCGCAAACAAGGCCAAGGCATTTTCGCAGCACAAAAAAGTTAAAAATTAATTAATTTTTCTTGCGTTTTTGGTGTTTGGTGAGTCGATATAACTAAACAGCTCTAGGGAGTATGAGGCTTTTCCCATCAAACTTAATCACCTTTGCACTTTGAGCAAAACCTAATAAAACGAAAACTTTAACAGGATAGCTACTGATACTGAGATAGTAAAATGCCAAGGGCAGAAAGCGAAAAATACATCACCTGGTCATAGTTTACTGCGTTTATAACATAAAAGCAAGAAGGAGAAATTACTGAGTTTTTCCTCGCAGTATTTTTTTCTTAGAACCCTCGAATAAACGCTGCATTTGTTTAATTACGCACGGCATTTATTCCAGGGTACAGTTAAGTGATAACTTTGCTTCCACCTGAGCGGTTTAGGGACATTATTTATCAACTGGGGAGGAGGGATGGAGGAAGTAAGAGTATTTTTTATTCATATATTTACAATGAAAACGGAGATGCTAATGGTCGTCGCTAACAGAATATAAAGAGGGGGAACTGGAGAAAATTGACTTTCAATAATTGGGAATCTGAGCCTTCGGAGAGGATCAGGTAAATTTCATTATGACACAGCCAAAATCATCCAGCCAACGGCAAACACCCCCTCTCAGCCCTCCGGCGATAGATAGTTAGTACTGTACAATCCCTTAGTAAAGTCACGGGCGGCATTCGTCTCGTACCTGAACCTTTCACGGTCAGTTACAGTTGCACGGCAGGATCTGGGTACGAGATTAAGGCGGCGTTTCATAGAATGAATATATATATATATGCTAAGCAAAAACGAAGGGATTTTTCAGTTTCCATCACATTTAACTTTCCATAGGGAGAAGGGAGTAGGGGGCCACTTTTGAGTATATAATTATATCATAATCACGTGGAAAACTCAACTGCTGATGTAGCAACATTTTGACGCAGATCACTCGAATTTTTTCTAAATATTGACTATAGAAACCACAAGGGAGATCTTTCATACAACTAATAAGCTGGTATTATATAGTTTTATAGTGATCAGCTCAAAGTACTCGCTTTAATAATAATTTTCTGTGACCCACCCGTAACCTTGAAATGGTTCAACATGTTTAATTTCCTTATTTTGAAACACCGATTTTTAGTTTCTACGCTTTTCCATCTGTTTGCCTGTAGTTGGTAGTAAGCTGTCATCATCTTTTCAACCCATTGACCCCTCGGAGTCAAACATGTGATGCTCATAAGAATATATGAAATGATTACCAACTAAAGAAGCCCTTATTTTGTTTTCAACAGATTGTCCTTGTCGCCACTTTAGTAATGTACAGAAAACATTACGGAGAATATGCATATTGATATTAGAGTGTAAAAGGTGAACAGACTAAAAAAGTGGGAGAGCATCGTTCTATCAACGAAACCATTTTAAACGACCTTGAAGAACTGGATGATAAATTAACATTAACATGAACTAGTGAGCATGCGTGTTGTCAACCTTAGGAGTATGGAGAAGATCGCACGGAATCGAGAGATAAATAAGTTCAGAAAGAAAGAGGGAGGGGGATGGGGTGGGTCTGGAGGTAGAATGACAAGGAGGCTGTTTTCAAGGGAGTGTCACTTCGCAAAAATGTTATTTTTCTTTCAACAGAGTAATACAGTCGCACCTGTTCGGTCATCATGTATTAAGCGGTCGCTTATGTCCACCTCTATTAAGCAATGTGGTCACCTTTGGGTGACTCCCAGCGGACTTTTTGTATTGTCTTTCACCTATGTTGAACAATCATTTAAAAAGGAACCACTCAATTAAAACTAAGAATCATTTTTCAAATAAAATTAAATTCATGTTTCTCTCCCGAAATCAATTTTAGTAGTATTTTTGGGCAAGTGTTTGTTCAGTAAGTGGCCAATAATGGCATAGAATGGCATTTTTAGTTGTTTTATATATATCAGTGGCGGATCCAGACCTTGAGCTGAGGGGGGAACCCCGGTTTTTTTGTCGCTTGCCCTGCCGGCTTTTCTTCCTCCTAAGATTCTTTTTTATTTTACTCAAAATAAAGGGGGCACAGGCCCCTCCCCTACATCCGCCACTTTATATTACCCCTCTACTGTGGAACCTGTTTTTATGAGGTTATTTTATCAATCCCCAAGGGTGACCACTCAATACAGATTTGACTGTAGTGAGAATTCCAAAAACCATTATTTAACAGAGTGATAAAACTTGGATATAATACCGAAATCACGTTTGGTAAAACAAATGTAAGATCCTATTGTACGTGAGTAAACCGGCCTTCAGATCTGGAGGGTTGCAAAGTTTAAAGTGATAATGAAGTTTATAGCAGGTTCACTGAATATAGGAGATGACGAAAGCTTCAACAAGTCTTTTACTTGTTTTTGGAGTTTTCCAAACATATTGGCACTCCATCCAAAATGTCTATGACAACTTATTTTTCTTTCACAAACTAGTATATATTTTCTACCTTATAATTGACATGGTGCTTGCCGCAACATTACTTTAAAATCTATTAGATAATATATGTACTGGAAAAAACAAAAATTAACGAATTCTAATGCCTTTCACATTTATACTCTGAGATGTCACAAAAAATTGCGTGACATCTTATAGATCGGTTGCGAAAGAGACTGTTAAAAAGGGCGTAAAAACGCGTTTCATTTGCGGTTAACTCAGTATTCCTTTGGCTTTGAGGTCATCAATCAGCTTCTTGACGGCGTGTTCAATAGCGCCCTGAGTGCTTTTGTAGTGTCTGGCTTTAACACTTGTTCCACTTTCCACATCCCAGGCGGTACCGTCATACACCCACTCAAGTTTATGAATTCGACCTTCGGCCTTGTATTCGATCACACGACCCTTGAAATTGAGCTAAACAGAAGGATAATTGATTATGATGATGAAAAGAAATCAAAACGTGCTTCGCTAAATACCAGCTGATTTCGAAATCCTCTAAGCGCGTCTAAAGTATTTGTCTGCATTATTACCCTCCAAAATCATCCACGGTTTAGAAGCAAGTAATCCCCGTACTTTACCGTCCAAACATTGCCATATTTTTTTCCAGGTCCAATCTTAAAACTCAGAGGAAAAGTTGGGTTTTGATAAAACATCTTCTAAAAGCCAGTTTTCTCTTGGTTCTCTCTCATAAAGGCAAGAGAAAGGCCTTTAAAGAAAAACTGAAGATTTTTAAAATTCCAAGTTTTTTCTCGTTGATCTCCTTCGAAGCTAAACATGATCTCGATTAGATTTTGATTCATTTCGTAAAAAGCTTTTGTGCAGGAGATGAATCCCACTTGAAGACAATCAAATACGGACGTAAAGTGACTGGCTTAAAGGGATCGAAGACTGATAATATATTGAGAAGATTTGACTAGTTTTGATTTCCACATTTCGTTATCGATGTTTGTGCGACTTTGCTAAAGTTTAATGTATGGAGAATAACTTTCCCTTCAAGTCTACTCTAGCCGTTGGCGTCCATTTCGCTTATCTTGCATAATTAACACAAAGGTCTATTTACTAGAAGAAGATACTTATAGCTATTACAACAATCTCGAAAATAGCAAGAAAATAATAGAGGGGTTTTTCCCAGGTCATGACATCAGAAAAAATAAAACAAAATTACCATCAACCGGAACTGATTTATGTGTTTATGATTTGCTAACAAGTCCATTCATGGAAAACTTCGCGATGCAGCGATCGATCTTGCGCGTGCGTTTAAGGTGAGAGAGTGGTGATTTTCATTTCGTGAACTCAAAACCGATCTAAACAGCGACGTAAAGCTAGTCCTGAACAATATCAACTGCAACAGATCTTTAAAACAAAAAATTTGATGTAATGATCGAATCCTTTGATAACAACCGTTCCGATCTTGCTTAAGCATGCGTTTAAAGTGGGAGAGTTGTAATTTTCATTTCGTTAACTCAAAACCGATCTAAACAGCGACGTAAAGCTAGTCCTGAACAATATCAAATGCAACAGATCGTTAAAACAAAAAATTTGATGTAATGATCGAATCCTTTGATAACAACCGTTCCGATCTTGCTTAAGCATGCGTTTAAAGTGGGAGAGTTGTAATTTTCATTTCGTTAACTCAAAACCGATCTAAACAGCGACGTAAAGCTAGTCCAGACTAATATCAACAGCAACAGATGGTTAAAGCAAAAAACTTGAATAAAATGCCATGACATCGCTTACCTGCCCTGACTTGCCAGTGACGCTTTGAAGGAAAGAATACAAATGTGCGATGTCTTTCATAACATCCATGATCACGGCCTGCGAAATATAAAATTCATCAACTTGTTAGCCTTGTTCATCATTTCTTCCGGTTGATCGAAAATTTTAGACAGGCTGACTAATTCACAGATTCACACAATACAATTTTACCCTAATCTAGAAAAAAGGAAGCTTTGTCTGTCGAGTCAACTCTTGCAATAAACATCACTGTTTAATTCTCAGAAATATATGTAATTTCTACCTCTAGAGCCCAGTGCTTCTCCGATGACTTAGCGTCAGCGAGGTCATTTATGAGTCCCAGTGAAAAATATTATGTGTTGGTCTCAGCATGATCCCCGATGGGAGGTATTTCCCAAAATAACTGTTTTATTGCCCTTTGTGACTTCATAGGGAAAGACCCTAAAAAACAACGAATGAAATGAGTTGACATTAGACAAGCCCAGTCGGGGGTTCTCAGTCATTTAAGTATTCGGGGTCTCTATCAATCCGCAGACAAGGCCAAGGCATTTTCGTAGCACAAAAAAGGTAAAATTATTTAATTTTTCTTGCGTTTTTGGTATTTGGTGAGTCGATATAACTAAACAGCTCTAAGTAATATGAGGCTTTTTGCATTAAACTTAAACACATTTGCACTTTGAGCAAAACCTAATAACACGAAAACTTTATAAACTCAGTTGATAGAACCAAAGTATCTTGTTATACTCACCACCGACGCAACACATAGTTTCTTGAGAAACTTACCTCCTTTGACTAATAAAATCAGCCTTGTTACGCTCAATAAACAGCTCCCAAATCGTGTGGAATAACCCGCAGGCTTTATGAAAAGGTATACCTCGATCACCCGCTGCTTCAGACAAACTGTGATGTTATCATTCAAAAATATTTTTATCGCTAGCTTTGGCTGAGAGTATGAAAGCCACTGTTATCAGGATAGCTACTGATACTGAGATAGTAAAATGCCAAAGGCAGAAAGCGAAAAAATACACCACCTGATCATAGGTTACTGCGTTTATAACATAAAAGCAAGAAGGAGAAATTACTGAGTTTTTCCTCGCAGTATTTTTTTCTTAGAACCCTCGAATAAACGCTGCATTTGTTTAATTAAGCACGGCATTTATTCCAGGGCACAGTTAAGTGATAACTTTGCTTCCACCTGAGCGGTTTAGGGGGTTACTTCCTCCATCCCCCCTCCCTCGACTGGGGAGGGGGGATGGAGGAAGTAAGAGTATTTTTTATTCATATGTTTACAATGTAAACGGAAGTGCTAATGGTCGTCGCTAACAGAGTATAAAGAGGGGGGACTGGAGAAAATTGACTTTCAATAATTGGGAATCTGAGCCTTCGGAGAGGATCAGGTAAATTTCATTGTGACACAGCCAAAATCAACCGGCAAACACCCCCTCTCAGCCCTCCGGCGATAGATAGTTAGTACTATACAATCCGGCGATCGTCTCGTACCTGAACCTTCCACGGTCAGTTACAGTTGCACGGCAGGATCTGGGTACGAGTTAAGGCGGCGTTTCATAGAATGAATATATATATACAGCTATTTCAATTTACGTCGTCGGATCAAAGCCTCAAGCCTACAAGACAAGACCGAAGGGCAATAGGAGTCATATCTGTTCTTGTTGCTCTTTGTTAAGACGCGCAAGGCAATACTAATTGTATTTTCAGCCTCCATGTCCATCTCGCGCCGACAACCCCGAAAGCCTAAAATTAATTCTAATCTACCCATACCGCCTTTCGGTCTTGTCCCGTACCCTTGAAGCTTTGATCCGACAACCTAAATTGAAATAGCTGTATATATATATATATGCTAAGCAAAAACGAAGGGATTTTTCAGTTTCCACCACATTTAACCTTCCATAGGGAGAAGGGAGTAGAAACTTGAAAAGTTTTACGTAAGCACTCCATCGGAGATCACTAAAAAAAAAATGGATTAAGAAGTTAGTGTAACCCTTTAACCTGAAAGAGTGACTAGCACCTAATTTCTCCTTACATCATCTCTTCAGAATCAAACAGTAAGTTAAGAGAATAAAGTAAATGATCGCCAAATTGAGAAGCTTTCGATTGCTAAACAAATTCTCCTTATCAACACCGAAGGAAGTGAATAAAGAACAGTATGGAGAATATGCTCGAAAACGTATATTAATGCTTGAGTGTTGAGGGCCAAGAAAAACCTTTATTTTGATCCTTTATTGCAGCTGACGGTTAAAAATAAAAAATGTTAAAAAAACTTTATATGTTGTGACTCATTTAAATTCCTTACTGCTAAGATGAATACATCCATGGTGACACAACCGGTTTTAAGAAAAATAGAGACTCGTTTAGCTGTTTCAATAAAGATCTATTTGATGTTCTTGCTTGAGCTTCCGGACCAGGTCTTTGACGCCGTGTTCAAGGGCGAGTTGTACAGTGTAATAATGCCTTCCTTTCGCCCATATTCCAGTGGCATCATCAGTTGCCACTCCGTCACACGCCCAGTTACCTGCTGTGAATGTTTCTCTCTCTGTTTTGAAGCTGAACACGCGACCCTTGTAAGTAACCTGAACGAGGCATTTAAAAAATTATAAATCAGTAAATTTTAACGTGACACAACCAAAATCCTTCCGACCCTCCCCCCCCCTTCCCTTCGATAATTAATGACTTGCCTCTAAAAAGCTACAATACTAACTAAAATGTATTTGAATATTTGGTTCCAAGTGAAGTAGTAACTCTGAAGAAAAGTGGAAATGAAGGAAGGAACTCGAAGAGCGTAATAAAAATAGAGAATATGATAACACGATTAAAATAAGAGGAAAGAAAATGAAGTTTGACTTTTTTTCTGGTCCATGACCTGTGTCCGAAAGGGAAACAAATTCAGAATATGAATCGGTCCACAAGGAATAACTAAAAGTAAACCGAGCGATTCAAAATAAAGTTTTTCCAAAACCAAACTGTTTCTCCTTAAGGGGGCCACTTTTGAGTATATAATTTCATCATAATGACGTGGAAAACTCAACTGCTGATGTAGAAAAGTTTTGACGCAAATCACTCAAATTTTTCCTAAATATTGACTATAGGAACCACAAGGGAGATCTTTCATGCAACTAACAAGCTGGTATTTTCTGTTGTCGTCTCCAGCTTTTCTATGCTTTCGAGCTAAGGTGTAATTTTTACACAAGGATGAATATGACTCAGTACTTTTTCTATATATACAGTCACTAAGGTAAGGCACTGACCTGTCCGCTTTCACCGTACTCAAGCGTGAGTTTTTTTAGCCAAGCGGCCAACTTATTGAATTCATCAAAACTTGGCATCGTGGCTGGAAAAAATGATGAAAATCCACTCGTAATTTCGATCAGGTGGTTGTAGAAAACATGTTTTTGATTTCTTTTGGATGGATTAAATATACATACCTTTTGATGAATTCGACTACAGTTTCAATCTCTCCTTTGAACTGTTGGATTTAACTTCTTCCTGTAACTGCCAGATATTTTAAAGTAATAGTAAGGAAGAGCTCATCCTGTAGAGCCCAGATCTCCTCTGATGACGCAATATCACATGTCTAGTCTTTGATTAAATTTCATAAGACCCCACAAAAAGGACCAAAATTTGCCGAGTATGAAATACTCCAATGCCACCATTTGCGTTCTTATTTCGTTTAATCAGGTAAAAAATTTATTTGATGATAAATTCCCTGAAAAAAATGATTAGCTAGTCATCTCCTGCGCTTTGTGACACTCTACCCACCGTTTACGACTCATAATTTATCATGTTCTACTTTCGCACTGATTGGCTGTATCGATTGCATTTTAAGGTTAATTTCAATTCTACCGCTTCTGTTAATAGCACAAGCGATCTATATTTACACTTTTGACTTCGTACACTTGACTGCGTTCTTAAGCGCGATCTGTGCAGAATGCCTCGCAATGGCGTGTAGTCTAATCTTCACATACTTTGCCATTCACTAACAAGCTAAGTCTCGCTGCAACAACAGCTTTCAAAATAAGAACCCTTGAAACTGGATTGAAAATTTCTCACCTATGACGTGAGACAAAAACTGAAACAAATTAGAATTCAAATCACACCATAACAAATGACTGATATGCGGGTGAAAAACGTTGCTTATCAATCAAATCTTATAAATATGGTCCGGCGGCGATGAAAACGGATTATTAATAAAAAAGGATGAGTGATAAAATTTCCTGTCTATTTCTGGCCCTGACCCTTTAGCATTCTCCATGATCCTCTTATTAATTGACTTGATCCGACACGTCAGAGGGTTCCAATAGGGTGATTAATTACTCTAACATTTTGTCCATTTTACGGCTATAACGGTTTAAATTCTTTGTGTTGCAGTTAAGAGAAGTTCCTTTGCGACTAGCTTTTAAAATTTGTCAATTTTTATGCCTGAAAATTTCGTTTTGTTGCTGTTTTACGACTAACGGTTCACCCTCTTTAAAAAAGTTCAAAGTTATGGGACAGTGAGGAAAGTAGTATGGAGCAGAAAGCGAATCTAGCATGTTACAGTTCATTGAGAACTTGGACATCACTTTGTTATTATCCCATGAGATGCAAGTTTGTCAATGAGTTCCTTTACAGCGTGTTCAATCGCTCCATGTTTGCTTTTATAATGTTTTGCCTTAACACTGATGCCGCTCTGGATATCCCATGCCACTCCATCATACACCCACTTCAGCTTGTGCACTCTGCCTTCGGCCTTGTATTTAATCACTCTCTCCTTAAAATTTAGCTATAAAAAAAATGGAAATGAATAAAGTCAGGAAGAGATCATCATTTGCATAGGACGATTATCGATCGTACTGGAGAAGTGGAAAATTTGAGTTGTTTTTGACTTGGACAAGAACTTGGCATAGACCAAGGGGGGCGGAGGGGGAAGTGATTTTGGGGGGTTGTAGCTCCGCAACAAAAAGTTTCCTGAGGGAACACAGCCCACCTTCTCAACCCTTTCCCCTCCCCCCTCCCTTCTCCCCCGTCCGCCACATACATTTCGGTATTGACAGTATCTTTAGCACAGCACCAACCTGGCTTGGAAAAATATCCAATGTTTTTCGTGGCAATAATATTTTTTCTGAAATTTCACCCGCTCAAGCATTAACACCTCGGACTCACGCTGGAAACAAGTCTAAAGTGATTCGCTAGTGCCGAAAAAAACGCAAAGGATATGGTTAATTCTAAAAGCATGCGCTTAGCTTAGTGAACGAGCCCCCCGATCTTCAGCACAAAGTTTCACACACAATCCTCAGGTTTGATTTTCTACCGGTAATTGATAGAGATGTAGGGCTCCCTGCAGTGCAGTTGAATTACAAATAACAAAGGACCGCTAAAACAAAACAAAACAACACTCTCGCTCTCGAAAGTGAAAGTTATATTTCCCCACTGTTTTACCGAGAAGTGTGCCGTGAATTCGAAAATGAAGAGTTGAACTTTAGTGATGATGCCAAGTATAATGACAGATTCGTCCCAGTTTATTTTCGTAAACCATCACCACATCGACGTATTCAGACGTACATCTTGCATATTCACTGACAAATGTAGGTTTAAAGTGCCTGTTATGATTTGCTTCGCTGATATCGAACGAGACAAGTCACCAACCTCTCCAGATTCGCCAGTTAGGAGCAGAAGAGCTGAGTACAAAGTTGCCAACTCCTGAATAACTTTCATCTCTTTAAGGTTTTTTGTGCCAATAAATTTCACCTGTTAAAAACAATTGCATCACAATACGTTGAAAATTTATTACACGCGCATTTTATGGATTCAAAAGCTTGCAGCGGAAATTCTATCGATGTACACCGGAAAAAGTACATAGCTATCGTCGCAGCATTCGAATTATATACGAGATCACCTTCTGTTTTCGGTGTCAGGCCTTGGAAAGCTTGTTTCACAGAAATTACATCGAAACTGTTAAACGTACCTCGCAATTTGGACGGCCGGTCCGAATTCTCGCATCGATGTTATATGAAATAATACCGGAAGTAGTTCCGGTTTCTCCCACTCCACCACGCTTTGATAACTTCGTCCCCAGACTTCCGGTTCAATTCAAGGGGCTCGACCTGGTAATTAATCGTCTAAATATTTTCCTCGCTCCCAACGCACCTTACAAGCAGCTGAAATAGCACAGGCCTACAAGCAGGCTATCATTTGCGCCGCTGAACGAGTATCTCACGGGCATCCCGAATCGACAGGGCAAGTTGTGGAGGTCTGCGTCTGGCACGAAAAGTGATTATACCAGAAGATTTGCACGTCTCCTACCGTTTCACTTCAATTGCCCACTCGTCTCTCGCGACTCCCTGATAATCCCGCGAAATGCTCGTGCAGCAGCGCCTGTGAGAGCCCATTCGCTGACAAAGGTTGTTTGAGAGCCATTTTTAATTTCCATTTGACACTTCATACTTGAAATTGTATTTTAGGTAAGATTGAGTTCACGCAAGTAAAGAAAATATGCTTTAAGTTAGCCCACAAGAATATATTTTCGAAATAAAAATGATTTACCATTTTTTTATGTCCCTTTTCTTTCTGCTCGATTCTGATCCAGCTTCGAAGCCATTCTCGCGAGGTTTAAATTTCAAGTTTCCGCTGTTAATAATACATATCAGTTACAGACCGGAAGCAGAACAAAACATTTCGAGCTGACCGACCAAATTCAAAGCTCCAAAAACTCCAGAACATTGTCCGAAATCGGAAGATTGTCGTATAACTCCGCACTACTGTGAAATAAAGCCGGAAATGGTCACGACTGTCAGAATTTCCCGCCCTCCTCTAGCTCGAATAATTGTAAATCTGTCGTTAGTCACGAGGAATCGGAGCCGCGTGAACCTCCTAGAGTAGGTGCAGTCCAAGGTAAAATAGCTCGCGGCGAAAGGCTTTGAAGGTTATTGCTAGTATTTTCGGCCGCTTTGTCATGAATTTAAGTGGGGCTAGCCCTTTTCATGTGCAAAGAAGGGGTAGAAGACCAATTCGAATAAACTCGAGTTCCTCATAGCCCACGGCGCTCAATCAACTTCTGTCTGGCTATGAAGAGGAATTTGTTGAAGTAGTCGATGAGGAATTGGTTTGTTTGATCTGTACGTTTCCTCTAAGGACGTCTATGCAAACAAGCTGCGGCCATAGGTTTTGCAAGAGTTTCTTCGACCAAGATTTCTAAAGGTTTGTTTTAGGTTTAAATCCTGCTTTTTCAACTCTTGGGGAACAAATCTTCCCTCGTGGTAATTAGAACATTGGGTGAATCCCTCTTAGCTTCTTTTAATTAATGCCGCCGCAGAATAGGTCAGATAGAGGAGTTTCGAAATACAAGTTGTCAATGACAATGCCATATCCTAATTTAACTTTTTTAGATCTCGTGGAGGAACTGTTACTGCAATTAGTTATTATTGCGCTGCGGGTAATTTAAGAGTGGATTCTGGTCACAGCTTATTAAGGCCATTGAATCTTTTTTCTCGATGATCTCCCTTCAGAATTACTTAATGCATGGTCAGAAAACAAATTTCCATTCTTGAAATTTTCTATCCTTGGAAAAATACAATTGATCCTAGGCTGAAAGGATTAATTCCTAATTTTCTAACTGGTATGTGATTTTGGGAACGTATGGGTAATGATGCCTTTGACGTCTTTTCATCGTGATTGACCTTCTTTAATACATTAACTCTTAAGAGTGATTGGTTTCTAATTTCTCCTTACAATATGGCCAGTGAATCAAACATTAAGGTTCTGAGAGTTAAAGAAACGATCACCAACTAAAGAAGTTCTTGATTGTTAAACAAATTCTCCTTGTCAGCACCTGCAAATGTATAGAGAACACTATGGAGAATATGCAGACTGATGTTAGGGAAGCAATAGGAAACGAAAGATTTTAAGAGGATGGTATACAATGTGTCGTCATTACTAGTCATAACCCTTGGTTGGATAACATATTGCGCTGCTCGATCGCTGTGCATGTGCAACAGTAGTGAATTTTAGATAAATTTCTATGATCTGTATTTAATGATTTTCTTTTAGAAGATGCGAGATATCAGATGCCATTCATGTTCACAGAGATGATGGTTTTTTTGAAAATCATGTCATGTTGATCTTATGGTAATACTAACAAACAAGGGATTTGTGCAGCAACATTTTGAGTTAGTGAACAAAACTTTGTCAGTTTTGAAACTTAGAACAGCTTTATAAACACAGTCTGAGTTGTCGTTTACGCTTAAATTTGACCTCACGGAAACTAAAACGATTATGCCCGGGCCTGTCAGCGATTTCGGAAAAAAAATTATTCATCTCTATTGATCCTTTTTTATTTCTATATAATAATTGTAATCGTCTTTCAGTAATAAAGACAATTTACTACTAGTAATGAATTACGAGTAACCGTAAATATTTAATTCTACCGTTAAATAGATATATCGCAATATAACTGCGCGTGCGATATTAGGGCAAAAGTATCTTAAACATGCACTGTGCGAGGATTCGATCAGTCCTCAGACCTTCGGATTTCGCGATCTAAAGCAAAGCTCACCTAAAAACAAGAACATTATGTTTCGTTAGATCAGTAACCAGCAAGTCGCCGTTCTTACAAACAGTCATAGCCCAGGGTCTCTGAATTTCTTGATCAAATGAGGCGAGAAACTTTCCGTCCAGCGTAAACATATGAAGCTTATTGTCGCCACAGATGATCAAGTTATCAAACGCATCCACGGCTAAACCCGAGGGGTATTGCACTTCTCCTTGACTGCCGATGTGAAAGAGAGGGATGCCCTCCCTGTTGAAAACGGTGACACAATTAGCCATCATATACGACACAAAATAAGTTTCTTGATGATAAACAACACAACTGGGGCAAGCGTCACAATCCGGGGCACCGAAAGACTGTAGTAGTTCTGCACCGTCCGGCGACAGGACCTTGATTTTGTGGTCAGCTGAATCACACACGATCACATGACTTTCACCATCAGTTTTGATAAAGACACTGCGTGGATCAATCACGTGCTCACTGAACTGTTCGATAAATTGACCGCCATTGGTAAGGACAGACATCTTTCTTGAGTTTTTATCGCCGTGAATCAGGATCATGTCACCATTCCTTGAAAATGCTTTTTCTTGACAGCTGCGCCAGTTTGAATCCCCTATTGTCCTAAGGTATTTCCATGTCTGCCACGGCGATGTCTCCTGTATTATCGTTCTTCGCAATGTTCCATGGGAAGTCAAATTAGAGATCAATGTGTCATCGCTCGTGAATGGAGTCCTGGTTAATTTTATGAATGTCGTAATATGATTCTTTAATCTTAATAGAATACTCCATTCTTTTGCCTGTTGTCCTGTTGTCTTAACCGGCTTTCAACCACAAGTTGTTTGTTAGTGGTAGGATGGCATGTTCTTTCTACGACATATTTGTGGGTATGCAGCTATCCCGTATGGTGAATAACTAAAAGCGCTTTCCAGTAGCCTGTTGGTAAACGGCTTTCTCCCAGATCTTCACGGTCAATTGATTTCGTGGGCGTATCGAAATATCGAGCCAGACACCCCTAACGCATGCGTACTTGTCTTCAATTATTCTGTCAAAAATACCATTTACATTTCGACCATGTCTAATCAGCACGACTTATTTAATATGAGAGGAACTAGCACTGTGAGAAATGTTAACTTGTAGAGGTGAGTCAGTGAATATTGCCTCCCACCTTTAGATTTTTAGCGCGAACATAGCTTACATCACAGGATGGGTACAAAAATGTTTCAGGATGGGTTCTGTGCCACTTGGCGCGAGATGAAGGTGAAGATGAATATAATAATTGAAAGAAAATGTTAACAAAACCTTGGTTTTCAATCATTAATTTTAAGTTTTTGGCTTTGGCTTGTGGGATTTTAGAAAAGGGAAAAGTCTCTTCTCAAAGCCTAAATGCCCTAGGTTCAAGCTGGCAGTGTCCTAATACAAAGTTTTTGAGCCACAGCATCCTTGTTTTATTCCTAAGTTAATTTTTGGCCTTTGCTAGTGGACTGCAAGAGTTATTGTTACAATAGCAAACAGAAACTGGCAAAAAGATGAGTCATCTTGGCAGTCCTGTTGATAAAAGATGTGACATCTTCACAATGAAAAGTAACAATGGAAACAGAATGTTATCTTGCATATGCCTAATTCTTCTATTCTTGATTATTTTCTTCTTCCTTTCTTTTCCCAATATTTCAACTACAAAGAAAATTAGGCTCAAATAATTTATTATACCATTTTTTTGCCTAATTTATGTCATTCTAGATCTCACAGTGAACACTAATTTAATAGGGAACACAGTTGTGTTTAATGATCAAATGAATAAGTCTACTGAAATCATTTAAAAGTACTATGTTTAACACTAGATGGACAGTACCATTGACACAGATAAGTCTCAAAACAGGTCAAAGCCTATCATTTGGTCAGATAGAAACACACCCAAACTACTGTGTCATGCACCAGGTCTGTTAGTAAGAGCTATTCTTCAGGGTTCTGATATTCAAAATTACACCAGAGTTAAGATAGTGTGCACTTATTTCTAAGAACTCAGAAAACAACACACCAGAACAGATGGGTTCTCAAGGCAACCCACCCAGTTTTAACTTTGTTTATTTACTTTTAGATATGTAAACAAGTTATACTTGGTTTTACTTCCAATTGGTCAAGAAATTGGCATTAATGTCTAACAATGGAAAGCCAATATGATGATAATTAGTTATTATTACAGAAAACTATACCATAAAATTTGACCTTCAAGTTACTGAAAACAACTCATACTTCATAATATGGGATTAAAACAAACATGCTGGTACACATTTTGCAATTTATTTTCCAATTGTATACCTGGCCATCCATCCAACATTGGTGGTGTGACTTTCCTAATCCCACTGCTAACTGTGGAAGAGGGCAGACTAATACAGAGGGTTTCCACCAGCAGCCTACATGCAGTTTTCTTTTTGTTTGACATAAATAGCATAATAATAACATAATTTGTCATAAATAGCTCCTTAGATAACTGAAAGAATATTGCCAATTTCAGCAGTTCATAAAATTTGGGTATTACACATAATCTGTAAAAATCATGTTCTTTGTTTCACTCTGCCTGTCTCATATAAAACCAAACTTCAGAAGTTAGGTTCTGGGACCCAGAGCCACCATCTTGGATTACATATTAACATTGTTTGATTTGAGACTACAATGAAGAAAGCCTTTGGAGTGAATGTGAGCCCATTGGATTCTTTGCAATACAATAGTTTACTGACTGTTGCGGATGTATTTTCTTCCCCTTTGAACTCCATCACTAGAGATATAGGCTCTCTTTCAAGCTGGATTCCTATTATTGCAGGAATGTTTTTGTGTGTGAGAGTCTACATGATTTGTGCCTCCTTTACCATCTCTTTAGTGCTTTGCATCAGACATTGTTTTTTACCACAAGAACGTTTAATCTTTTGAAAGATTTTAAAATGCACCAACCATATGAACCCTGTCCTAGAAAGAAAGCCCCAATTTAGGAATCCACTGTTTCTATGGTGATTGAAACCAAGGTTGTGATTGATTGATTTAAACCACAACTTTGAATGTGATTGGTTGACTTAAACTACAACTTTGAATGTATTTGGCTTATTGAACTGTCCAACAACAACTTGGCAAGTGAATTAGTGGAAAATAGGAGTTTTAAAACTAATCACAATCGAGGAAATTGTCATTCCTATGTTAATAGATTTATTGATAAACTTTATCCCTTTCATATAATACAAACAGAACTTTCCAAAATTCCCTGACTATTAAGGCGCCCCTCCCCTATGAGTTTATGTTGAAGTCAACCCCAGGACGTTTTGTACAATGCAAGACAATGCTAGTTTGATTACGTTCAGCAGTTTGTGATCCTGTCTCAACGCGATAAAACGATAAAAATTAACCGGAAAGCCCCAAGGTTTATTGTCCCAAGTAAAGTTTTTAAATGTAAAATGTATTTCCAATATCACATCAAACAAATGAACGCGCTTATTACGAAAGTCTGCCACGGCGATGTCTCCTGTATTATCGTTCTTCGCAATGTTCCATGGGAAGTCAAATTCGCCTTCTCCTTGTCCACGTGTTCCATGGGAGTTCACCACTTGGTACTTATGCGGCTTCACGTTCACTCTCCAAGGACTACCAGTCAGCGGCCACCCATTCACCTCGATTCTAACGTCGTGTTGTCCGACACTTTTCGGAATGTAATGCACTTTGTACGTTCCATCTTTGCAATCTTCCACCTGTGTCTCCTCTTCTCCATCTGGTGACTTGATAGTCACAGTCACTTCCTCTTGTTCGCTATAAAACTGTTTTCCTTCCAAGTCTCGTGTCGTGATTGTAAAGTTAGTCCCGAGGCCTTGTTCCGCTTCTTTCAAGCCTTCTCCTTCGGTTTTTGATTGAGAATGATCGTGCTCAATAACTTCACCCAGTGGCAGCTGAAATAGTTGTCTCAAAGCCGATACATTTTCTTTGTTGACAACATAGTTGACATCTTCTGGTTTGTAGAGTTCCAGTTTCTGACATTGATCCAAAAGCTCTTTACAGGGAGAGAAGATAGAATGCTCCTCTTCAAGGATTTCTAGAGCGACGTTTCTTTGAAAAATACCTTCGCCACGTTCAACGGATCTTTTCATTTCTCTGGCAAACATTTGAAATTTTACTAGTTGCGCCTCATGATCTTTTTCTTGTGATTGATAAATCTGAGTCAGTTTTTCCTTCATCAGCTTTTCCTGATCTCTCAGCACTTGGACGAGTTCTTCAACAGTTTCATTCACCTTGTTTACCGCGGCAGTCATTCTAGCTTTGCTCTTCGTCCTCAGCTCGATTTGCTTATTGATTTTACTCTCGACGACAACGATTTCTGCTTTAGCGTCGTACAGGATCCTTGCCATTGGGGCCTTTCGCTCATCAGCAGCTTGTTGTATTTTAACCCTTGAGTGCCTTCTATGACGTACTTGTTGACAATTCTGACAGATGCAAACCTTACACTTCAAACAGTAATGCTCAACTTCTTCGCTCTCGTGGTACTTGCACATTGCCCGTCTACTCAAAACTTCTCCTGATGTAGAGGTTTCACCTAAAAAGCAAAGCGAGAAAATATTATTTTCATACCAGTATCAATTGATTTTACGTTTTACAAGAGAAACACCTTTTCCACGTTTTTAGAAGTCTGTCCCTTGTAAATAACTGTTCAGAAATTTTGTTCCTATTAAATTTTTGCTCTGTTTACAACATCAAATGTTTTGGTACAATACATAGCCTGTGAAGCTAACCGTTATGTGTGCACTTCAAAGCAACGAATGACGAAGCCATCCAAAAGGTCCCTTGGCTTCGACGCTTGATATTTGAAAGTACCCACAAAAGCAGGCTTACATTTTACCAGTAGCTCTTAGTGTCAATGCGTTTCTTTCACTTATTTAAAAAAAAATAATTCTCGAGCAGGAGGTCGTCCTCAGCGCTTCAACAAGAGCGTTTGTTCGCCCGCAGGAAAGTATGAAGCCTTCAGCAACGCGAGCCAGCGAGATCTGCTAAGGGATCTAGCACCTCATTATTAGTGCCAGACCACCGGCCAACGTCCGAAAAACGTGTGTGCTGAAACGCAATATATGAGAGCAAGCTCCTGCTCCTGCTGAAAAGGTACCTTGATCAGTTGTTTCTTTTGAAGCCGTCAGGACATCAAGTCTTTTCTTTATTTCGTCCAGCTGATCTTTAATGTTGTTCTCGTCCTTTTTCCATTGACTCAGTAATTCCATGAAGTGATCTCCAACTTCAGGGTCCATGCACTCGTTTCTGAGATCGTCAATAGCAGCTTCATAAGTGACGCCTCCCAATCTGACCAGAGTGTCCCGGATGTCACGCCAGTAGTCATTGAACTTCACGTCATCAACAGAAGCTTTCTCGGCGTGACCGTACACAGTGTTCCTAAAATGCTTAACCCGGGCAATATCTGCTTCCTTACTAAGGTCTGCTATGGCAGGTAATGCGTCCCAGCCGGTTAGCGGGGCAGTTAAGCCGCACAGGTTTCTCAACAGAACCACCAATAGAGTTGTGTCAAACTCGCGTGAGGATACTGAGGTAGGGATGGCGGGGAAAAGTTTCCCCCATTGAATTGGATTGATAATCTTCTTTGCTCTGAGAGATTGCAAAGTGGGTTTGTTTGTCCCCAAAATCGTGTGTAGATTTCCCGGTGCATGGATGGCATCAAATGTTTCCCTGAGAGCCTGGCTTCCAAGACCCACAAGCAGACGGCACAACCTAGCATAGTTTGTTGTTTCCTTTGTGGATGAAGCAGTCGGTGCAGCACTGGCCATGAGTAGTTTCTGTAGCAATAACAATGACATGCTAGTTAACTATTGCACTTACTGCAAATATTTGAAATTTGTAACCAACAAACTAAAGAATTTGTGACACACTTAGATGGTCACGCAATGGTTGCGTGATCTCGGTTTTGATAAACTTTTGAGCGGATGTCAAGGAGCAAGAACCGAAATCCTAATCGAGAGGTTTACTACACGCCAAAACGTCTAATAAGATATTTATATCTGCAAAGAATCAAATTATGAGTGTCAGAAGTTCTCAGTACTTTGAACAACCATTTTACGAAATTTGCATCTCACGATTCAGTGAACAGGAAATAATAGTGACTGAAAACTATTTTCTTTTGTAATGCCTCAAGCAACAATTCACATTTATCACGCATATGTTGCCGTACAAATGAAAGATATTCTAATTCATAAATTCCTTAAAACTTATCCAGAAAAGTAGCAGCTGATCCAAATACGTTGAAAACCCTTTTAGATGCGTCAAACTTCCATAAAATATTAGAAATGATCATGTCTAATTAACATTGATGCTCTGATAAGATTGCACACTAAAAGACTTAAAAATCTTTGACTTATCTTTCCAATGGCAAAAGTTTAATAACAATCAAGAAAAACACTCATGAATTATTAAACAAAGCTGCCGAAAAATTCAGTAACGATTGCTAGCTTGCAAGCAGGAAGAGGAAAATAGTATATTCCGACGAGGATTGCGCGCGACTTCTGCTGAATTCTAACTGTAAACCCCAAGAGCAATTTTTCTACGACAAGAAAAAGATCAATAACGCATCACAACTTGCTTCGAGGGAACATAGAGCAATAAAAGATACATACCTGTAATCTCAGAGATGTACTAAAACTGGAGGAAATAGTGTTACTATGTGGATGTAAAGTACAAACAGGAAGTTATTCGATAATTACGATATTTTTCACGTGATCATTCATGGGGCCAAACCCCTACCACTTGAGACGTCTATTTTTGACATAGCCGTCATGATTTAGAGTGATAACCTTTATGGCTCCGACAGTAATAAACCGCAAAGGCTAATACTCAAAGAATAGACTTGCAATTTTTCGAATATTTTTCCAAAAAAATAATGTTAGCTTTAGAAAAATCACAGAGGCAGTAGATTCCGGCAAATGGACGATTAATTAGCCATAACAAAAAATTATCTCTATGGAAGCGTGATACCAAACTCTGGGTCACTCTAGGAGGGTCCTGGGACACACTCCCTGAAAAAAATCGAGACGAGATTTCCAGCATTCTGTGACTTATTACAATAACTCTATTTAGCCAAACGTTGGAGTGATAATCAGCGCAAATACACTTATTTTCTGTATTTGAGGACAACTCACAGGTAGTTGCCGCAAAATGGCCTGAGACTACGTGGATTTTCGCCTGCCTATTTTTTGACAAAAAAAAAATTATTGACAACCTTAGTTACCTATGCTCGAGAATTTTCCTGTAATTTATACGATGATTATCAATATACCGCTGGTCAGTATATTTGAAGTTCGTGCGCTCTTTAACTTGAACGTGGCAGGGAAGAGGCACAAAATCCAAGAATTGAAATTAATCTATTTTATTTCAGGTTCATATGTGGAGAAAAATTGTGGAAGAAGACATTTTTTAAAACGATTATCATGATGATGGACGACGAGGAAGCCTTGAAAGAGAGTGTATCTAACCTTAGGTCTGCGATACTCCTCCACAGAACAGACATTATTCGGAGCATACTTTCGACAGCTGCAGATTGTAAGAAAATTAATTGTTATTTCCAGTATATGATCAAGTTATGCGAGTTTTGTCTTATTACACCATTTTCCTGCATCTAACAAGGTGTATATTAAGTCTGCTGATGCAAAACACAGATGATTTTAAGTAGATAGATTTGATTCAATGATATCCGAGCTGGTCAATCATAACACACCTGTTTACTGTATCAGCCGGTTTTCAATTTCATATGCTATGCAACTGAAAATCGCAATAAATTAAAGCTTCATTCTAGTCTTAAAATGAGTTAAATGAGAGAAATAAAAGGCTCAAAACTTAAGGTACATTAAGCTGTACGTTTGTCACCAACCCACTCTTCGATATATGTAGACTGAATTTCTAATTTCTTATATGATTTGATAGTTTTACCGAAGGTACGGTGATATTGGTATTGCAATGAGTGCATGTTTGTACCAAAATCAAATCAGATGATCCCTCTTTACTAAACTCACCAACTCTAGTCCTGTGCATGAGAGTTTCTGTTTGTTTGTCTCGGTCATCTCAAAATGTTTTAAAAATTATTGATGAGTTAAACGACTATGGAGCAGCTTCCTGGCTAGACAGGTCCTAGCAGCCATAGATCACATTCTGACAACTCCTTTAAGTTTTTCTAGTGATACAGGTAATTTACAAGTTGACTTTCAGTCCGTTAAACTGTATTCTTAATTGTAATTAGACTGAATGGAGTGCAATTAGATCTGCAATCATATCATACAAGTTATTTCTAAGTCAAAAGATCACACAGAGTAAGTTTGATTTGAAATCACAAGTATGATCTCTGACCAAAATTGCACAACACAAGGTTCTATTACCACTTTAGTACATCCATTTTGAAATTGTAAATTTCAGCTGCTCAAATACAGGATTTTTTTTAGGGTTTAGAAATAGCTTATTGATTCACCACTGAGCTGATTGGTAAAAAGTTGCAAAAAATGTTTTTCATTTTCCTTTAATGTTATTGGTTTCTATAAACAATCCTTGAAATATGATTGGTTGTTTTGTTAAAGTAAAGGTTTGTTATAGGCTTGGAAAATGTGCTATTTACAGGAAAAAATGGTGTAATTTATGAATAAATCATACCAATGAGGGCTAGTCAGATTGCTAGGATCACCAGTGATTTCAAAATGGATGTAATAAATCTGTTTATGTACTGTGTCCCCAATTGGCTTTGTGGTGCTGCACAAGTACATCTGATCAACACCTGTTTATTTGCAATTTATATACTGTGAGTTGGTAATTCATACTTGCACATAAAATTCATTTTTCTGTGCACTTATCTAATACTTGCTAAATAGGTGTAGTTTTCACACCTATGAATTGACCACTCTTATTCCTTTCCGGCTCACATTACCAGACTATAGAAATTCAGATCATTACATGTACCTCTAAGTGACATATTTCAGGAATTTCAGGAATGTGTATATTGCAAATTTAAACATATTTGCATTACTAGAGGCAGATATTCTTGGCAAATGACCCTAAGTTTTTCAAAGCCATTATTTTACTCTTTGAAAATTATTGAACACATCTGGAAATTTGGAAAAATTTCAGAAATTTAAAGATCACATCATTATCACATCATATGTTTAGGTTCCCTAAGAAAATGCTTGCTTACTGATTTGTCATGAAGATGATATCACAGCTTTGAATTTTACAAAAAGTAGGCAGGCATATAAAAAACTATGTTGAACAATCGAGTATTTCAGCGTACTTGTACACTGTATGTCTATTTGCATGTATCACTCACTGCAATTATTGATCAGAGCCTATAACACCCTTTCCATATCTTAAAAATAACTTGAAATAATTTTTTTGGGAAAGCATTCAGTTCTGAATCAGTAGTTTGTAGTACTTCATATCTATTCTTTGTAATGTCTTAGTAGCAGTGGTGCTATTTAAAAATCACAAGATATTATCATCAATTTTTAACAGACAGAGAAGAGGATGGGCTCTTTGGTGATGATGAAGAAGAAGAGGCTCAATTGGGAGTTCCTAAACAGTTTTATTATGATGAATATGATGATCCTTATGATATTTTGAAGATGATGATGAACTATGTCGACAATGATGCTGGTACATGTCTTCATCTTGCTACTAAGGTAAGTCTGCAAGAAAATCCAAAATTGAACATTGCACTTTAAATTTTTCTTGAGGTTTACAAATTTTTCTTGGGTTTAAACTTTTTCATTCCAGTCAAATTGTCTGTCGTTGTCATGTATTCAAAAACATATCGTGAAAGACAGGTTTTAAATTTCCAAATCCTTTGACCCCTAAAGAGTGACAAGCATTTAATTTTGCAATATCACCCTGAATCAAACATTAAGTCATGAGAATAAAAGAAATGATCACCAACTAAAAAGATCTCTCTATTGTTAAACAAATTCTCCATGTGGGGGGGTAAAATTTTTGCCAGTTGATATAATTTCTTTGAATACTTTTTAGCTCAGTTATGCAGATGCAGTAAGGGCTTTGTTAGCAGCTGGATCTGATCCAACCATTCCAAACAAGGAAGGAGCAACATCATTTGATTACTGTACAGACAAGTCAATCTTGGGAGTATATAATGAGGAACTACTCCAGGCTACTGCAAACTCAAAGTAAGTATTAATTAAAAGTACAATTATGAAGCAAGTAGCTGTATTACCAACACCATTACTTATAATTCACAGCAAGTTTGCCGGTGCTCATTTGATGATCTCGTGAGTGAAGACAGGCACTGTGAGAGTTAAATGTTTTTCCTTAACCCTTTAACTTCCAGATCAAATTAGTAATTCTCCTTACTGTCAACCATACAATTCTTATAATGTTAGTTCAGAGAATTTAGTGCTGGATCAACTAATGATCCCCAAAGTGATATTTTTCTTTATTCTCATCACCTATTTGGTTGATATTGTATTGATGTTGTAAAGAGAAATTCTTTCTTGGTCACTCATGGGAGTTTAAGGGTTAAGAACACAACACAGTGACACTGTCTGGTCTTGAACCTGGAGTTTTCAATCCATACTTTTAATTAGTAGACTACATGTAATTAAGCAATTCTGTATTACAAGATGAGGAGCAGCTCAATACAAATTTACGTGTATTTGTATTGAGCTTAGTTTTGAATGATTTTTTTTTTTAGAAATGTTATATTCCAGGAGCTTGGCCGACTATGTATTTCACATACTGTAGTATCATTAAACAGGGTCTTCTGTGAAATGACAGGAGCTAAGACCTGACCATGCATCACATTGCTGTGAATTTGGGATACTTGTTCCAGTGACCTCACCAATCTAAGTGGCCCTTCATTACATTCAATTTTGTACATTCAATAATTTATGGCTATTTGATAGATTAATCCTATTACTCATGACCATGTTCATTCATTCGTGATCCACAGTACTCCCAGGGTACGTAAATTGCTAAAGGCAGGAGTCAGTGTGAATGCCAGTGATGGAGCATCAAGTGATAACAAAGCACTCCATTGGGCTGCCAGCTATGGAAATGCTGACATTGTGAAACTTCTATGTGGTAAGTTGGCTTAATACCAAGTGTTCTGTTAATTCATCATGTGTATTATCTTTACTTGCATAGACATTAATAGTGGTACTTAAAAACCATCCTGTGGTCCACCCAAAGTCTTCTTCAGATCAACTTACAGGTTTACACATCCAGGTTTTTTCTTACTAGGGGATGCACCACATAGAAATGAAGTTACTGACATGGCAACATAAACAAATTTTAATAGCAAATAACAAAGAATAGGGCTTATGACTAGGAAGAACATTAATTAATATGAACTTGGAATTCATTGTACACAGAACATGAAGCCAATGTAAACATCACTAACAAAGCTGGAGTAACTCCCCTTCACGACGCAGTCAACAGAGGAGATTTAGAGATTGTCAGAATATTACTGGAATATGGAGCAGCAACAGATATTAAGGCTAAAGAAGGGTGAGTAATTTAAGGTAATTAATAAAAAATTTACATCAACAAAAAATTTTCATTATTCATAATGATACCAACCCTCCTGGACAATTTGGGATTTGCTTACATGTAGATGCTAAATGTTTTAGATGCATTTTTTATTCTCAATTGAGTGAAGTGCAATTTCGCTAAATTTCCAAAATAAAGTAAATACGGGTTTCCTTTTTAATGATTAAAATGAAAAAATAATTAATTTTTTTTCCTATTGGTAAAGTGGTTTTCTCTACAAGAATGGTTGTGTTTTTGCATATTTTGTGTTCACTTTTAGAGTTGGAGTATTTTTATGAGGCTAACAAGTTATATTTCAACCTACCTAAATTAAAAAATTTCTGTTCTGCCATGTCTTTCCATACTCTCAACACTATAAAAAAAAACTGCATTTGTAAAACATACCTTTTGTTCCAGACCATGCAAAGGGAAAACAGCACTTAATTTAGTTACTACCGTTGAAATGCAAGAGTTACTAACATCACCTGTCATAAGGGAAGAAAAGCCTGTCGCCAATGGAGCTGCCACTCAGCAGGCCTTGGATTCAGGTACATCAATGAATTATAGAATGTAAATGTTCTTTAAATCAAACAAATTCTCCAATTTTGTGACTGCTTTTATAATTTTATAACTTTTTAAATTTCATGTGACAGAATCGCTGCCGTCAGAGACCAGTACTCTACCACTGACACCAGCAAGTACTTCCTCTCTGCCATCCACTCCTTTGTTCAAGTGTCATCTACAGACACTCTCTGGAATGACCCCACCAGCCAACAGTGATACTCTTGATCCCCTGTTCCGTCTTGTCTGGCCACACCCTCAAGTAACCACCCAAATGAAGGGTCCAAGGTTTTTCCCCACATCTGTCCTTCCAATTGTGATATTTAGGGAGTTAAAATCAGGTAAGGTAACTTCAAAATCTTAACGCAGCTTTTCTTTTTGTAGTGGTCTGCTTGTTTGTTTGTTTGTTTGTTTGTTTGTGTATGTGTACTAAGTGAGTTATGAATCGTACAGTTGATAAATAATGTTGTAGTGAAACTGTTTACGTCTTAATTGCTGTTTTTGTGACAACATTGTTCAGACGTGTTTATAAGGATCATATTAGCAAAAGCAATTCTTGATTTAACTAAGTACAGGAAAATGGCCAACGTATTTATTTAGTAAAACGAGGAATTGAATGTTTGATGCAAGGTTTATGGTATCTCGCATGCATATCCAAGACGTGTTTTACAGTGAAGTTGTCCTTGCCAGTAGCAATGAAAATCAAAAACTTGCTTGATCGAGGTACTGACTTCAATAAAACATCCACAGATAACTTTCAAGAAATTGTTGAGATTTGGAACACAGTGGAAGAAAGTTTTCAGCAAGTTGGATATTCCTTGGACCTAAAGGTTGTGGGAGAGGGTAAGAAATGCGTAATTGTTTCAGAAAGCTGCTTTGATAAATACAGTTTATTTCGTAAGTAGGCCTTGAAGTTTTTCTTCTCCTCCTGAATTGATTTCTAACGCATATCCCAGCCTTCTCTGAGTCAACGATTGGGCACCTTTTTTGCTTTTATTCTTACTTGAAAACGTTTCTTGAAAAAAAATTTCGGAGTACTAATTAACACTCCCTGAGGGGAAGGGATCAGGGAAGGTCTGTGAAAAGATTGGAGTGATGAGATTTGCATATAATCACGCAATGCTCGCTGAAAAAAAACAATCATGAAAACTTGCGTTGAATTTCAAGACCATTGAACTAAAAAGTAGCATAACTACCACTTGACAACAGCGGCCATGGATCACTAACTACTAGGAGGGTTTGTCGATTGTTGTTTTCTGGGTGAAGTAGAAAAAAATGGCTTGTTTTCTTATAATATGGGAAAGGCTTTCAAACCCCAGTTTTGTTTTGTTGTTCTGTCAGTACTTCATATCTTTTTTTTATAAACCTTTCACAGTATCTCTTTATCCATGAGTATTTTCTGTTCAAACCCACAGCCTCCACAAGGAGAGGGAGTGTTGCAAGTAGCATAGAGTGTCATGTGTGTCCTCATTCATTCAACAAGTCAGAGAGCTATAGGATTACTATTTCAACTGTTAAGGTACAATATACAGCTTTGTGGTTTTACTTTTCGAGGTTCTGTAATTAGTCAGATAAACTCGCGTCATTCCCCGCATATTAATATGCAAAGCTAGAACAGATCTCTCCCTTTTCGCGGTTATAATTGTTGACTTTTACGTGTTCTTGTGAGTACCTTTCCTCTGAAGAACCGCATTAAATGTACCTTCATTAACAACAGGTTCTTATAACTGCGAGTGATCTCCCAGGGTTGTGGTATGCTGTAAACACTGTACTTCAGATATTTCGACTTTTCCATGGAAATGGGATACCACAAGCGCAGGTAACGTAGTCATGTTAACGTCATTTACTAGTACGTTTAATCATAAGACTTTTTGGACTCTGTCGTAGGAAACCGGCAGGATCGAGAGGTTCTGGGTCGAACGTTTGTCGCGTTATTTATTTCGCGTTCTTAGACAACACGCTTTTCTATTGAAGTACCAGTCTCCACTCAGGAGTGTAAATGGTTACCAGGAAAAACTTACGAAATGCTAGGGGGGGTTACCTGCGATGGACAAGCATTCCATCGTGGGAAGGGGGGGACCTTAAGGACATGTATTAAACTACTCTTTACCTTGCGTTTCGTTTAAGATCAACGACTGGCCAGACTTGAAATTCAGAGGAGTGTTATGGGATGTTTCAACAGGGCGCGTTCCAACATTAGTAAGTACACGTACTTGTGCATTTTTGATACAAAAAAAATATGTTCTCTTATTACGAATATTTATCTGAGCGCGGTACATAATCTTTTAAAGAAAAGCCTCTCCACGATTCCTCGTAAATGAATATACTAGACGGGTTACTCAACTGAACTCAAGCAATGGTATCTCAAACATGTCGTCTTGCACACTAGTAACGGTGCAAATTTCTAATCGAGGAGTTACATGTTTTACCTCCGACGAGTTTCTGATACTAACTAGACAAACAGTAGTGCTCTTTTATTCACATTATGCTGCAATAATTGGAGAAAGCGTCACCATTGTCAAGAATGAGCAATGGGGTGGAATGGAGCTACATTTCACGAATCTATAATTTTTATAATTTTCCAAGTAAAAAGATCTGACACGCTATTATTCTTTTTGCTTCTGTAAATTTCTCTCTAAATTAATCAAGAAATTGTACTGTTTTTGTCAAAATGAAACGCTTCAGCCGTGAACTTTGTCAATTCTCGTTACCTGGAAATATATTGATATCGTACGGAGAAGTAAGACATAAGTTACTACTGGAAGTCAAAAGTGAATAACTTACAAGTCATGTTATTTCTTTTCCACCCAGGAAACAGTGTTTTCCCTTATCGACATTTTGTCGGCCATGAAAATCAACCAGCTACAATTATACATGCAGAACACATTTTCCTTTGCTGGACACGAGACAGTTTGGCGGAACAACACGGCTTATGACGCAAGGTGTGAAGTCGTAACTGTTATATGTCATTTTGTTGTGGGAGACGCAGCAGCCTTTTTGGTCTGCACATGCCGTGGACTCTGGATCGAATGTCCGGGTTGAGACCTTGCCAGGTCGTTGTGTTGTGTTCTTTGGCAAGATACTTTGAATCTCACAGCGCCCCTCTCTATTCAGGCGGGTAAATGGGAACTCGTGAACTGTCACAAAAAACTAACAAAAAGCTAGGAGGGAGGGTGGGGAGATGGGGGGTGGGTACACTGCGATGGAACAGCATTCCATCCGGAGGAATGAGTGAAACTTTGTAGTATAATCTGAAAAGCTTAAAGGGAAACTCTCTCTGCTTTACTTTTCGTTACAGTTTACGAAAACAATTACATGAAACTACAGTTTTCCATTAATCGTTTTCTCGTTTAGTTTCATTGTTAATTTTTTCTGTTTATTTTCGTTATTGTTGTCGTCTGTTTGTGTTCAATTTTTAGCTTTCTTCAATTATTTTCTACAGTGATATCATCAAAATAGACAGTTACTGTAAAAGGAGATACATTGAGCTTGTGCCGCATGTTGACAGTTTATCTGGGTTCAGTCAGTGGTGAGTTAACAACTTTGTTACTGTTCACGGAATCGAAACGCTGTACACACACTTCCGCAAATTTGCATAGGCTTGTCGCTTGTTGAAGTCTACCCTGTTTCCACGTTTCCTCCAGTTCGCCTTTGTCGTTACTTTCCGGTTTGTGTTTGTGGTAACCATTAGCAAATCACTTTGAGGAAGAGAATTTTCTACACGCTAACTCCGTCAAAAATTTGAAATGTTGTATCTTTTGGATCCGGTGTGTCTGTTCTATAAATTGTCGGCTAACGTACCCTCGCACCAGTCTGGGACCCACTAGCTTTGCTCATTCAGAAAAAAGAACAGCCTCACAAGTGTGCTAAGTTATCATAAAAAAGTGATATTTATGTATGAATTCTCTTTCGCAGGCTGAAGTTCAAAATGTATAAACATCTAGCAGAGGAAGAGGTTGATTTCGATCCTCGCCAACAAAGGTATAGAAACTTCGTTCCTATCCTCTCCATCTTTGCTCCTTTTGGTTTATCATCGCCTCATTTTTGTTTATCTCTTTAACTGAACTAATATTTCGAAGTCTTTTCCAAACTTTAGCAATTCTTGAGCTTTGCGAAAAGGCAAACAAAGAACTAAAATTGTTAAGATTAGCTTCTCTACCGCAGGAGATCTTTTGTCGCTGAGCGTAGTTCCTTTATTTTTCTAATAATGTAGACTGCCATCCAGTCTCTGTCCAACAAACGATGAGAGCATAACTATGGTTCTTGGTCTTCATGCGCAAACTTTCGCATGTTTTTCATCCACAAGGTAAAGATTACTAATCACTTACTACATCTGTTAGATTTGTCTACCGATAAACCAATCACAAGTACTTTACTATCTATCGATAAAAGTAGGAAAGACTTTTTTTGTTGGTTACAAAATAGCTAAATTGTCTATAAAGTACACAAGATATTCATATCAGCATCTAGATCACGATATTTTAATAGGTAGATATAGGTATTTATGTGTTTTGTCTTCTTTAAGTGAAAAAAACCCGGCCGGTGGTACTTCCGGAGAACACTACGAACAGCAAAAGCTTTTTCTTGATGGCTAGGTTTTTTTTTCTAACTCAGCGCTTGTGTCATTCAGGTTTGCTCACGTCGGCTTGGACTTGGCACCAGAATTTGGAAAAGGAAAATCGCACGTTATAGCACAGGTAGTGTTGCGACACAATGTTGTTCTATTTCGTCATTACGTTCTTGACAGTGACATACCTTTTAATTTATCTGATGGCTGTCTTTATTTGTCAGTACTGGCTGATCGAACTATTCTGTTCCTTAATAAACGTTCTAGCCGGATCGGTTATGTCCGTTGATCGAGGCCTATTACTTTTTTTCCTCCTAGGTGCACTGTTCACGAATTTCTCTAGCCCTTGAGTGACTTATAATGCAAATTACCATCTCCTGGCCTTTAAAGGGCGCTGGAGAACAACACTTATACACCCTTCCGCTTAAGGAATTTTCTTTCGCTTTACATATACAACGGCAAGAAGTAATTTTTTTCGCTTGACCAGGCCTGATAAATGGACCAAGCCTTAAGTTTCTGACTGTTCTTCTTAGGCAAAAGGAGTGGACGAAGTTTACATGGGTCATCTCCGATCCATGCACAGATCTTGTTGTAGACACGGTCGGACCTTGCAGTTTTGGGCCAACGCCCTCCACGATGACCCAGAGCAGCTATGGAATCTTCCTCCAGGGGTGATAGCTATGGAATATGGGCACACGGTATTTATAGCATTTCAGTTTTTTCGTTCATTTGTATTCAAAGCATTTTTTCGTTGGAAGACAGATTATACAAACGCGTCTGAGACGTGTAAAACTTAGTATGCGAGGTAAAGGAACCTCTTTTGATTACCATGATCGCGAAAATCCCCTTTTCTGCACACGTACGGACCTCAATTTCTTGAAGTGGGTACAATAATTAAAGGCTGTTTTCCTTCTTTGTTTTAGGTTGATCACGACTTTTTTAAATATTGCAAATCACTAGCCGATGCTGGGTGAGTATGTTTAAATGTTCCACACTCGATATTCGTCTGGTATCAAGTTCAAAGTCGGTGATACCATTTTGATGATAGGTAATTTCAAGATTTAGATGACACATTTTTTTTTCGTTTCAATTTCAGTATTAGCTTTTTTGTCTGCCCAGGAACCGGATCATGGAACAGGTGAGAAGTTTATCGATTTACTATTTTTGTCCTATCTAAAAAGAAGGCCCCAAATTACACAGAAAGATTCTCTCGCTTTTAAATAAGTAAGTTTAAGATTAAACCGCTCGTGCATCCATTTAGGAACAATGCCTCTCTGATATTTTAAACATTTTCTTCCCAGTGTTTGTGGAAACACGGACGAGAGTATAGCAGTGATGAACAATGCTGTTCAAGCAGCTGTTTCCTGCAACGCTTTAGGTATCGTCATCTGTGATTGGTCGTTACCTGGTCACGTAAATCCACTGAGTGTCAGCATCCCAGCATTCCTTGCGGGTGCAGGGTTAGCGTGGAAGGCCTCCTTAGATTTGGTAAGTTTCCTGTTCGGTTTCTCAGAAAGTTTTGTTCTCACAGAATTATTGAAGTTTTTCACGAATTTTGCAACAAGTATCTTATTTCGTTAAATTTTATGAGATTCACTAAGAACACAATTTGTACCCTCTTAGGCTATCATGAAGTCCACTCTCCCTGATGTCCTTAGTCACCACGTGTTCATGGACTCATCCGGGACATTTGGCCGAGCACTAATGGACCTAGGCACTACACATTCCAATTTAATCAAAGATGGTTCGCTGGAGTCACGTGTCCCAAGTGATAACAGAAGGGTTCATCCTGTTGCGCAAGGTCCGGGAAGTCAGCTGCTGTGGCGACTGCTGGAGACTGAAGGCTCGTGTAATCTTGACAAAGTTACTTCGGACAGTCTACAGGTACTAAGAAGCTAAATGTTTTTTTTTTTTTTTGAGATATGGGAGGTTGTTTTGACTATCCTTTCCGCCCAGTCAAATTTTAAGCAGGTGCTTTACTACTTTCCTTTCCCTCTTTCCATTTTCAAGTACGCTTTGAAAATTGTTTCCAGACTTATTCTGTAACCGTCTGTTTTAACAGCCTGTGCGGCAGTTGGAGTACACTGAAAAGCAAGCTTTTGACTAAGAGATTTTTCACCTACCACATTCTCCTGTTCAATTTAACAACTGATTTTTTTCCCCATTTTATAGAGAGCTGTGCGTCAGATACGAAACTGTCACAAGACGTTCATAGCAGCGGAACTCAAATGTAAACAGAAAACAGAGATTATGAAGGAACTTGAAGTTTTGGTTGAAATATTATTATTTACCACTAGGTGATGTACCAATTATTTACTTGCTTACTATTAATTTATTAAAGGAGGCTAACGGCTCAATAGTCCTGAAGCGAGCGCCCGCTCTAGTCTACAGAACATGATAACTTGAGTTCGAATCCGGGTGGGAACCTTCTGTTTTCTTTTTTTTTTACTTTGTCAATGACTCGTAAAATCAACGAAACTGGCCTCGTGTGGCCATGTCATTACTTCAGCCATTATCTTTACCTTTCCTGATTGAACACTTTTTCTAGGATTTGTCGGTCGCTGATTTTAAACAGAAAGCAGAATTCAAGCACTTCTCTAAAGGATCTTCCAGCCATCACCAAAACAGACCTAGCAAACAAGTAAGCTCAACATGTACTGTAGTACTTCTGCTAAACTCTTCTTTTAAGCTTTGTATGGACACATTTAGCCTCAGTGCTATATTGTATCGACCCTGGTTGCTTTTCGATTTCGTTTTGCTGTCGCTATCTCAGGATCAAAAACTACCAAGGAGAAAAATGGTTCGAGTCCTTATTCAAAATTCATGTTGAAACAGCGTTGACAAGGGTCAAACAATTTTGGAAGAAGAGGCGAAAAAAAGAAACGACTGTCATGACGAGAAAATGAGGGACAGAGAGGAACAGTTAACGCTTCTGCTTGGACGTGTGTTAAATTCCACTTAGTTTTCCTCACTTAACCCTTCAACTCCCAAGATCTGATTGTTAATTCTCTCCTCTTGCTGCTATACAATTCCTTGTAAATTAGTTACGAGAATTTGGTGTAAGATCAAGATAAAAACTTTGGGAGTCTCTTCTAGGAGTCAAAGTACGATCTTTTTACTTTCATTTATTTCTTAAATCGTTTTAACTGACAAAACTAACAATTATCTAAGCTGTCCGCTATTAAATTATTTCCACTCAGAAGAACAGACCGAGGGTGACCCTTGCGTGCATGTCTCGAACGTCACTGTTGTTCGAGAGGCTACCTGACAGTGCTCACTTACTTCAGTGAGATTGACACATTCCATTGCTGGGTTTAAGGGCTTCCTACTAGATCTTCTCATTCCTCTTGTTGTCGTGGCGTAGTGTCGTATCTTTAAGCATAATTGAGTTACAGCAATGAGTATGTCGCAATGTGTACTTTTAAGAATATTTGTTAGTATATGTATTTACATGTAAGCAGTGTGGATGACCAAACATTCTTGTGAGTTGTCATCTTAAAACCGGCGTGTTGAGCGATTCACTAGATAGTGATATTATAATTTGTCCGTTTTCAGATTGTTGGCGCTCGTAGATATTTACCAAAAGGCTTACCTGTTACGGAACAAACATGGCGGACTCCTCAGTGCCTTACAGCTTCTTCAAAACTTCCTGCCCCATCTGCTTCCCAAGGACGAAAATTGAACGCGTTTCTAAATACTGAATTTAACTTAAAATAATCTAAACAAAAGAACCATTCAAAACTATCTCTGGCTTCACAGATGTACATATCAAGTTTAACCCTTGATCAAATTTTCTTTTCAGTATAAAGCCATTTTACCACGAAATTTACAATCTGAGGAAACCTTAGCATTTTCGCCATGAAAAGTACAATATGAGGAAACCTCAGCCTAAATTGCCAAGAAGGACAAGGATTCTTGAACAAATTTTAATGATGGCTTAGTTTGAAAGGAAAGAAGTCAGAGAAAAAGGACTGAATTGAAGTGCGATTTCCAAACTGAGTTTGCATTATCCTTCAAAGGTGAAGAAAATAAAAGTATTACATAATTATGTTCTATTTGTTTTTCTTTGAAACTATGAATCGAAATGGTTACATCATCATCTCTTTTCATCAAAAAGAAGAAACAAAATATATCCGTGGGGATTTTGAGAGGAGCTCGGAATGGGGGGGGGGGGAAGATACGCAGTAAGATGACACGTAGTAAAATTCTTTATGCATGCACACTCTTACAAGGGAAATAGTAGTAATGTACGTTCTTTGTAATTGGTTCATGAAAAAATGCACAATGAGTCAGTTAAGAGTGTTTTTATTTTACCCATTCACTTCTCCGATGGAGAGGTAGAATTCAAGATTAAATAATTGCGAATTTTACTTTTAAGGAGACAATCAACCCAATCCTTGGGATTTTTTTTTTCTGTGTCCGCATTTGCAACTTTTTTTTGCTATTGCATGATACATTGAAGAACATCTCAATTTCTGGTCATACTTGGTTTGTACTTAAAGTAATTACTTTAAATTTATCCAAAAAAGGCAACGTATTGATGCTGGGTAAGACAATACGACATAAATTTAAGAATATCTTGGGAAAGTTTTCACGCCAAAATTGAAGGTAAAAAAATAAATAAATAGTTCAGCTCCAGTTCCGAACTTAGATATTCTGGTAAAAATGGGAATTTGCAAGCAAATCAATGTGCTTTTCTCTCAATATAGATTCTTTCTACAACCCTGGTTTTTCATTTAACAAGATAAAAAGAGATGCTGCATACGTGTTTCTACGGTTACCAAACACAGGCTCACGATTAATTTAACATCGAAGAACAAACTGACGGATAAGATGCAAAAAACTATACACTGAAATACTTTAGGCAGCTCGTTTATTTAAACAACTGAGAAAACACACTTGCATTTGACATTCAAATCAGACGAAAGTGAGATGGCTTAGAATTTCTAGTCTTGCAATAATCTTTCTGTTTACACTCGACTTTCATTTGATTACTTCTTCATTTACACGTAGCCTCCTATGGAATATTACCAGTAATCTTTTCCTACTTTAGGCTGAATGTATTCCATCTTTCTCATTTGTCGTTTGCTTGATAATGTCTCTATTTACTTATGGTTAGGCAGCCTATGCAACCTTGTTTCCAGACTCCTCACAACGATTGTGAGGCTAAGAGCTTGGAACAAGGTTGGACGGGCACTGCACTTAGTATCTGCCAATTTTATTGTATGCTTGCAGAAGTACACAAACTCGAGTCGAGGAAACAGTAAGACAACTAACGTAGGTAACCCTTCATCTCAATGCTAATTCTCCTATTAATCTACCGATTTTTCTGTTGGCTATCCACGAATACTTCGTTTTACCGTGTAGATTAAGTCCATCTGAAAGTCAGGAGAATCTAGCAATGATCACTTCAGAGAGTGATAGGGTTAAGAGTTTTCAAATGTGTTTGCCTTGTGGAAATGAGCTGTCTGGGAAATTCAAGCCTAATCTTTAGAGAGCCTGGAGTCTACCCAAAAGGAGAAAAAAAAAGAGAGAAGGTAAAAGGAGTGGACTCCACAATCATGGACGTATTGCAACATATTTACATCACTCAATAGTTCTTTTTTCATTAATTTAAGAATACAAAGGTGAAAAGTAGAAGTAAGATTTGATAACAAATACTATAACAACAGGATCATTTGACCAACCCCAGCTTCTTAGCCTCTGTTTCGTAGATAAGAAGGCGCCACATCTTGACCACAAAAACCTCTGCTTCCTCATCTAGGACCTGTGAAAAAGAAAAAACAACCACAAACTTACATCCGGCCAGATACTGCTAGGCAGAGAAATGTCAGTCTGCCCACGGTCTTCCGAGACACAGTAAAAAATAATATAATAACACAGTCGGTCATTTAAGGCTGATTAACAATCTAATAACACGTTAAGGGTTCAAGGAACAATGTCATCTACTAAAGGATGCTACATTGCTTCTTTGCGTTCTAACATTACTCCAAAGACTTGACTAGTAATTCTATTCATTGTAACAGCTATATATTTCCTTGACGATGATTAATGAGAATTTGGTGTTATACCAGGGTAAAGCCAAATAGAAATCAAGTTGTTCCATTCACGTTTATGTCTTGACATTTTGAAAAGTAACATGTTAACCGCAGGTGGGATGTTCAAGGTGGAGAGAGGTAAAAAGGTATTTTCTCCACGTAAAGTATGAATGCACAATGCTCTCTAAGTTAGCGGAGTCTGCAATACAGCAAATACAAGATGAAGATAAATCGTTTAATTTTGAAGAGCATTTTGACAAAAACAAAAATTCACTAAGTACATTTCACTACCAAATAAAGCGCTTGTAAAAGAATTGACAACTTTTCATACTTGTCTTAATTGTTCTTTATTATGCATAATTTTTATAGGTCTGTAATTTCAGTCAAAAAAAAAATCGGGATAACAGCCGTCTCTCTGTGACAGACAACGATCTTTCCCTAGCCTTGTAGTTGTCACCTCTTCTCAATCAGTTAAAACTTATATCGGAAAAACCGTAATGAATGTTAACATTTGTTGTAATGTAAAATAAATTCTTCTAAATCACGATTTTTTCATCTGAACATAACCAGAAGCAAACATAACAACTCTGCTTACCATAGAGACGTCCTCAAGGATGTGTTTTGGCGAACTTCTAGCTATGACCTAAAAAAACAAAACCAAACAAGTCAATGAAGATCAAAGAATAAAAAAAAAAACTATTAATGCCGGGAACAAATACGTTTTTTGCTTCGGTTTTACGGCACTCCATGAACCCTTAACTCTCATGAGTGACCAAGACAGCATTTCTCCTTACAATATCAATACAGCATTACGCAGGCAGGTGATTAGAATTAAGAATAATTATACCAATAGGGGATTATTAGTTGATCCCATATAAAACTCTCCAACTTAACATCCCAAGAATTGTATGGATACAGTCTGAAGAATTGCTAAGGAGAATTTGCGAGTGGAAAGGTGAACATTATATTCAAAGATAAATTAACTGTGTAAAAGAGCGCATCTGAATGTCTTACCTTACTACAAATGAAATCTGTTAAGGTCAGCTCCTCTTCGCCAATGTACTCGATAATTTTCTTATTAACCCAAGGACGTATCCTACGATCTACAAGACCCTAAAATAAACCACTTAAAAGTTTAGAAATTGAATCAAGCACGTGATTACAGCCTCGCCCCAGATCTAACTCGATAACCTATGTCTAACTATCTACTGGCGCAAGACCTGGGGTTCAGCCCTACCGTTAGTTAGTGATATAAACTGTACTTACATACCGTGATGCTCCGAGCGTCCAATGAAATCACGGGTATGAGACTTGCCGAGCACACAGAGCCACCTTAAACTAAAATGCTTTGTTTCTGAACGCATACATTCCAGCTCATTTCAAAAACGCTTTGGAGTTTGTTTCCTTTTATTTTCTCGATAAATGTCATTCCTTGGGACTTCTTATCCTCGTCAAGAAAGTGTCTCTAAGCAGGTGTTTTGAAGCTTACACTCCTTGACGATTCAATAATTTCAACACATAATTTCGCATCACAGGGCACCAGGGAGACATTTCTTCGAGAAAATACGTCTTACATCAAACTAAAGGCAGTGTTAATCTTACATAATCCTTCAGTGAGACGTCCCTGCCGGGCGAAGAGATAAACGCTATCCGTTCCAACTGAAATGAAATACAATCTTCACATTTAGCACAACACACTAACCTGGTCGATCATAGTCCAGTCCAAGCTATAAGCAAACAGTTCATCTTTAGCAGTAGGAATACGTTCTATAAGCGACTTAATAATCCGTTTCTTATCTTCAGCCTCGTTACTGTCATCCTTGGCCATATCGTCCTCGTCCAGTTTGATCAGTTTCCGCTTAGGAGTCGCTCCTGTTCCGTCGTCATCGTCACCTCCGCCAAAGACTGACTCCAGCTTTTTACGACTCGCTTGGTTCGAGGGCTATTGACAAGAACAAACATTACTCAGAATAATTTCTCACTTCAGAGTAATTTTCAACAAAGAGTAATAATCCTGGACTGCATTAGTTTTGCTTTACTATGCTATGTGATTGGTCTCGAAAAGAAGCGCTTTTTACTCAAATAATCAGTTGCAAACCGAGAGCAATCGTGCCTAGGTCACTTGCGTTTTCTAGCGCTTCGGCCACTTTGCTCATTGGCACAATTAGTCGCTGAGCACTTGGTTTCGCGACAACCGATCACAGAGCGCCTTTTTAGAATGTGCTTGAAAGAAAAAGGTGCTAGGAACCAAAAAGTTAATTTATACTGATAGAAATAGTAGAGATGGTAAGTTTTGAGCTCGGTGAAGAATTAAGAAAGATGTTTTTTCGTCTAGTCACGAGCGTGAGCTCAAAACTTACCATCTGTACTATTTCTATCAAAAACATTACGCTATCGACATTGCTGATCCTAGCAGTATACAGGACGTGTGTTATAAGAATTCGTAATAGAACTCGCTCACCGATGAGTCTCTGTGGCTCAGTGGTAGAGCATCGGAGCGCAAATCCGAAGGTCTGAGGTTCGATTCCTCATGGGGACTCAGAATTTTTCTTTATCCCACGCTCGTGACAAGACGAAAAAAACATCTTCCTTAATTTATACTGTTGTTCAGACCTTTGCAGTACTGCAGTTAACTACAAAGCTGTGCTTCAGCAATGCTTCTATATGTACATTTCAAGCCTGCCGTAAGGTTGCCGGTCGAGCCATACTTCTTAAAAAAGGGTGGAGGAATTTACTCAACGAGTCGAAGGTGCCCCGTCACGTTTCGACCATCTTTTCCATCTAGTTATTTTCAGTTCGTTATTTGTAATCTTTGTTGATCTTCTCCATCATAGGCATTTCTAGGTCCTTTGTATTCATTCTTGCTGAATATCCTGAAAATATCTCTAGACCGTTCCACTGGGGCAAATTATTCGCTTGGTCATAAACTAGTTAATCTAAACAAGAAGATGAGAATGAAACTGACTAGACATCCTTCAATATTCTTACCATGTTACTACTCAGCTTCATTTCAAATCCAAACGCCTTCTTAGGAGCTGGTTCAACTTCCGATTCTGGCTCTTGCCCATTCTCTCGCCCTCTTTTTATGCCAATAGTGACTGGTGACATCGAGTCGGTTGATCTGGGGCTTGGTGACCAGTTCGATATAGGAGCAGGTTCGACCTGAGGTACAAACTAGACAATCACAAGGCTGGTGAAAATCTATTTGAAAAGTTAGAACAACGAACGGGTCGACTTAAAAAGGAGGGGTGGGAGGGGCGAGAGAGGGGGGATTGAAATTGTCAGGTTTTTCACACAAACTAAGATGTTCATTTTCTTTGCCATACTGGCTGCTTTCTCACTCCCTCCATGCGAAGTTCTGCTGTTACATCAAACAAGACTTCTAGCCTAAAGACACGCTCTCTGCACCCTTCTTTCATACGATGGATCATTACTGTGCAAAACAAGAAAATGACACACAAGATGAAGAGGATGAAAATGTTTCCTCTTACCGGCTGAGGTTGTGATATCACGGCTGGCTTGAAAGTCGGTTGTAAAGCCGGTTTGACTTCCTCCTCCTTCTCACTGTCCTTACCGTCCTGGAAAATAACATGATGAACTGCTAACTCAGTAAGGACAAGGACGCCGTTGACAGTCGGTAATAGAAAGTATTAGTTCCCTTTCTTTCTTTTAATGCAAGGATTTACACATTACTCATAACGCTTCCAATTTAGCAACTTAAACGAAAAGGGAACGCTCTTGAGGGTTATAATGCATTCAATAAATGAGAATCAACAATTTTTTCGAACGCTCTCTGAACCACCTGCACCAAACTTTACCGCATCTAAAAATCTTTATAGAAGACAACTGTGTTTACATGACTTCAACATTGAATACCCACACAGAGACTCCAGAGGAAAAAAAATTCCAGTTCTAAACGCCGAAACCTGTTAATACTGCTATTGGAGAATTATTTACTCCCAGATTTGATAAGTAATTCTTCTTTCCTGCTTCTTTGCATTTAGAATCCTTTTTTATATCACATTTTTCGGTACTTTTGCCTTTAGAATTTGCTCTATAGTGATATCACCCTGACTGATACAAATTTCCAATCTCATTACCTGTTTACCAAACAATGTATTGGAATTGTAAGGAGAAAGTACAAGTTTATCACTTGTATGAGTGAGTTTTAAGCCAAACGAAAGAGATCTCACCTGTTCATCCATATCTTCAGGCCGATTATCAACAATCTGTTTTCTAATCTCTTCTATTTCCTCCATTTCTCGCTGGCGATCTCGTTCGTCTGTTTCTACCTCCATTTCTCTTTCGCGTCGCCGTCTCTGTAGCGCACTTCCCCTACAAGTAAAAATGTGACTGGTTAACGATGAAAGTGCAATACACAGTGACCTAATAACAGGAGGTTACACAAGGCGAGTAACAGTGTTTTGGTTTGGTTGGAATTTGGGTGTTCGTTGTGCGTCTGTATCAAGTAAGTCTGTAGTTCTTGCTCTGAAGGAACTTTAGACAGGGTTAGCCTACAGACAAGGCATACTGACCAGCAGCTACTCCATTTATTATGCTGGGTGGCCGCTAAGACTTCAGAGGCAGAGAAAAAACTGTTCGTTTAACCCTTTACGATCAAAACGCGCTATGTCTTGATATCTCGAATTGCCCGCTGCAATATTATCTTCCACGTGAATGCAGCCATAAATATTTATCAGGTTAGACAGGACACCATTCTCTTGAACGAACGAACAACAAAGGAACGAGACTGATTAGGGCTAAGAAGGATTGACGTGGATTGCAAAATGCACCAATCGTGACATAATGAAAATGTTCCTTCTCTGAACTGTTCACTTACTTGTAGTATTTTGGATCGTCCTTGTCGTCATCGTAATCCTCAAGAAATTCCTGTAAATGCTTCCTCTCACGTGCCTGGGAATGATATAAAACAGAATTAGCTGAAGTCATTTACACCTAGATAGCTTTTGTAAACGCTGTAAACTTTCAGTTCAAAATCAAGTCAGATCGAAACCGTTTTCGAAGAGTTCACAAGCATCACTTGAAGTGTGACATATGGTACAATGTAGTAAGTACAGTGCCAGGTAAATCGCGGCTATTCAGCGGATAAGTAATGTTGACCACTGGACAGAGATTTCTCCGATGGAAAGCGTTGTCTACTCTTTCAACAACTGGGTCCAGATATATTCTCACCTGTTCATCTTTCTTCTCGCCTTCTTTTTCCATTTCTCGTTCATATTCCCGAGCTCTTTTACGTTCTCTATTTTCCCAATTTTTCAACCGCTGAAATAGAACGGTAAGGAAATTGTAGTGGTTTGTAACTGCTCTCAGATTTGAAATAAACAAAAACTTTCTTATTCTTAGTCTTCAACGGTCGAGATTTTAGCCAATCTGCTTCTACATGCAACTTCATCTGCACTTAACCCATAGTACAAATAGTTTCTTCTGAAACACTCTTCCCAAAAACTACGATGGTCTCCCCTACTATAAAAGTGTGAGCGTAATTTTTTTAATCATTCAATCCGTTAAGATTGAAAAATTGCGCGATATTTAAATTCATGAATACTGAGGTAAAGAAGTTAACCAACCTTCTGGTAAGAGGCATCTTTCTCCCGTTGTCTTCTCTCTCGCTGTCGTCTATCCAGCTCTTCATCTTCGTCATATTCACGTTCCTTTTCTCGGTCACGTTCAGACTCCCGTTCTTTTTCACGCGCCTTCTCACGATCACGATCTCTATCACGATCACGGTCACGATCGTCGCGATCACGGTCTTTTTCTCGACGTTCCCTTTCTTCACGCTCACGCTTCCTTTCTCTTTCTCTTTCTCTCTCACGTTCTCGTTCTCTGTCCTTGTCTCGGTCCCGGTCCCTGTCTCGATCCCGGTCTTTCTCTCGATCCCTTTCTCGTTCTTTGTCTCTGTCCCTGTCTTTGTCTTTCCTCTCCGATTTCTCTTCTTCCTTTTTCTTGTCCTCTCTCTGAAAAACATGAATGAAAAAAAAAACAAAGTTGAGTTGCGACGTTCCTTCGTAACATTTAACGCGATGATGTCCTGTTCGTTAAAACACAACGATAGTCAGCAAAAACTATGTTGTCTTCGAGTACTTTCCCAAAAAAAAAAAAAAAAAGACAACAGGCAGTCGAAATTCAACTCTACACCTCGACACAACAACTCTCTCTCTAGGTCAGTTTTCTTCTTCAACGATCTCAGCTACATCTGTTAAAAACAAAAGAGTAACAACTGTTTCCACAAACAATGTACACCTGTGAGACATTCTAACGAGACCAGTTTCACATTGCAGCGACATACTCTTAACAAGAGTAAACAAACACAATACTTACCGTGCACTGAAGGTTTGAAATATGTTACCACTCCAGTTAACACTTGAAATATTCTCTTGAACACGATTACTTGATCCGACGACTAACTGATAGGAATTAATGCCACGACCTACGAAGGCCTCCCTCTCTTCCCTCCTTATCAACTTCTACCAATTGCCCAACCCTCCGTATCCTTTCTCGCCCACTAAACTTACTAATAGTACCCCTTGGAGATCCATGGCCTTGACTTAATTTGCTGTATTCAATGAGATAATATCCTTACTTTGTTGGAAATTTCTGAACTCACTACAATCTGGCGTCCAGTCAGGTACTTTACAATAAATAACAGACAGCTATAATGATTCAAAAGTGAACAATACAACATGCAGTGGCGGTAAAACACAAAAACGTATCTGACCCTACACAACATTCACGACCACAGAAAACGAAAACTTTTCTAGCCACAGTATGCCACATACAGTGTATTTATGATCATCAAAAAAATTTTTCTAAAATTACTTACCAGTTCAAATCCTAGAAGCAGAAAATGCAGAAGAGGAAATCGACCAATCTCACCAACTCATCAATAAACTGTTTTTAGTGTCAACAATAATTCTCATTAAACGTTGCCTTATTTACTGCTTATCAATTTGGGTAGGGCTGATTTCTTATGCACTCTGTTTGTAAGTTACTGAGTGGAACACTTGCAACATAAACAACATGTGGGTTGACATCAACACCAATGTGTCCCTGTTTGTGCTACCAGTGAGAAGAAGCAGTAATTAAGATTAAGAACAAAAAGAAGTGAACTTACTCTGTAAGTATCTCTGAAGCTTCTAATCTCTCGTGACACTAAGCTCTTCTTTTCATTGTCCATATCCAAACCTTCCAAATTTTGCTGAAAATAATCAAAAAATAACTTTAGCAAGACAGACAATTACAGTTTTGTGGTGGCATAGAGACACCTGTACAGACACTAGCCCATCCAAATTTTTCACTCCAACATGTACACTTCCTGTTTAAATAGCCTGTACCAAATTAAAAATACACTAAGATAAGGCACTTGTGAGACATTTACAGATTAATTATTCATAAAAAAGGTTTATTCAGCTAATTTCTTAATATTTCAAGTATCTGTGGGTCTCTGGCTAGACACTCAGGGTGGTCAAAAAAATTTTGAGCCATGGGTCTGTGATACCAAGTAGCCTTACAATATCATGCCTCCAAGAAGAAAGATGAGGCACAAGCATTTGGGAAAGCTGACAGATTTTTCAGAGTAGACTGTGAAATGTCCCTGCTATGACTTCCCCGGTCCCTCTCTGTTTGGGAGTTAAATGCAATTGTTACTGGGCAAATAAACTTAATGTACATGAAATAAAACCTGTAATTTAGTGGACACCAATGGAAAAGGAAACATTCTCTTATAGTTAAATGTCAAAAGACAAAATTGAGCCCTACAGTTTCAGAATAGTTGGCACACACCTCTGAACCACTGTGTGTAGCTCTGTAAGGTTCACCTGACAAAGAAAAGCAAAATACACATCATGAAGAAGCACTTTCTCTTTCAAATGGTCATACAAGCCCACTTCTCATGTTTTGAATAGTGGATGGACTTCGAAACAGGGAACATTAAAAAATATTTGTTGATGGAATATTTCTACTATATGTAGCAAGAAATTTTGCAGGTTTTCAACAAAAATCTTCCCACTTGAAAAGAAAAATAATCATTAAAATTATTCCCCTGTACAAATTTCAGTCATGACAGGAAAAGAAAGTAACTCTTGAAAAACAGAAGAAAGTGTCAATCTGCACAATGAACACTCACAAAATTTTCATATTACTTGATATAAAATGGTATCAAGACACTACAGAAGAGGATTTAACCCTTCACACTCTAACATCAGATAGCATATTCTGCACACTCTTCTCTATACATTTCTTATGGTGCTGACAAGGAGAATTTGTTTGACAATCAAGAGCTTTAACAACTTGGTGATCATTTCCTCAGTTCTGGTGACCATAATGTTTGATTCAAGGGGGATATTACAAGGAGACATGACATACTGGTCACACTTAGGGGTCAATCAGTTGAACAATTACCTGGAATATCAACTGTAATTTGCTTCATCCTTTAACCCCTTAGAGTGACTAACATCTAATTTCTCCTTACAAAATAGCCACTGAATCAATCATTAAAGTCACGAGGATAAAGGAGATGATCACCAACTAAAGAACCTCTCAATTGTTGAACAAGTTCTCCTCGTCAGAACCCTAGGAAATGTCTAGGGAGTAGTAAAGAAAATATGTATACTGATAACAGAGAGTAAAGGGTTGAGGAAGGCTAGGTTAGAAGGTAAAGGGACTTTGTTATCATTATTTGTACAATGGCAACCAAACCACAATAAATAGCATCCTTTGGAAATACCACATACAGTAGAGCATATTTTTTCGAGAATTATTCCAGAACCACATACTTTCTAATTTCCTGTTTAAAATATCAGAATGCTCTAAAATGATTTGTTCAATGGCTTTCTTGACTCTTGTATCTTCTACCTGTAAAAAAAATGTTTTTTAAAAAATTATACATGGCAGAGTGAGCTATCCCATCAGTTGAAAACATTACTACCATGCTTAACTTAAGTAATATACTGCCTGTAAGATCTTATAAAATTACCAGCAACACTTCACACACTCTCAGTGGTACAGGTGTAGATACACAGTACATATACCTGTGATCAGCTCATATTCTGTATGCACAATTGTAAAAGTTTAGAGTCCTATGCATTTTGAGAAATATAATACAGTTAAAAAATTTAGCAAAAGCAGAGAATTTTCATGACAAAATGTCATCACTTACCAGGGTTTCGCCATCAAGATCATCATTATCATCATCTTCGTCATCATCAGCCTCCCCGTCCTCTTTTTTCTTTTCCTCAGCATTCTACACGAAAAAAATTTTACTGCCTTCAAAGTCTCCACAAAGTGTGCCCATCAAACATGTATAAGCTTGCATGACTGAGATTTCTGTCTACCTTTTTCATTTCTTTTTTCTTCTCAGCTTTGTATTCATCAAGATAAGTCTTCGTTTTTGCATCCACTTTCACCTTCACAACAGATAAAATCAATTTAGCATAGAACTGGACAGTATGGAATAAATCAACCACAATCTCTAGTTTTCTTTTTACCCTAAATTACAAGTAATATTACTTATAAAAAAGAAATTAGAGTACTGGCTACCTGGAAGAGCAATTGGGACTAGTGGAACCAAGCAGACAAATGAAACAAATATCACACAAAGCAAACTGCACTACAGATTGTTCTATTTCATTTTTGTTTGTGTTTGTTTGGGCGACTGGACTGTGTCTTCACAAGAACAGCATATCTTAGGTGCTGACCATTAATTAAGATGGTATGTAACAAAATTTACACAAGATTTGAGGAACAACTGAAGAGAAGGATTCACTTACAACTAATGCCTTGTCTCCTAATACTTTGTTGTGAAGTAATCTAATTGATCGTAGACCTGATTCTGGATCTCCATAGTCACAGAATCCAAACGCTGAAATTAGAAATCTATTTATCAAATCATCACTTATATTGAGGATAAATTTTTTACACTTTGTAGAAGGCACTGGCTGTTAAGTCTAATTCCTGCCATGAGAGTGCTTTTGATAAAGCACTCCTATTTACATTCCACCATCTACAAATGAATTATCCACAATCAATAAATGTCCACTCACCCTGTAACTTTCCCTTGGCTCCTTGTACCCGTTTCCAGTTCACTACTACACCACATTTCTGTTCTCACAGTGAAAATAAAAAAAAAAAAAAAAAAAAAACAACAGAACCCTCAGGACAGGAGTTTTCCATCTGGGCCACTTAATAAAAGCAGCAAAAACATTTATAAACAAGATTATTTCAAAACCAAAGGAGTTTCACCTACCGTTAAAATTTGTCTAATAAGTGCATCAGAAGCTCTTTCAGTTATGTTACCTACAAACACTGTTGTTGTTGAGGTTGAATTTGCTTGGTTTTGATTCTGAAGTTACAGAATACATGCACAATATTAGTTTTCTTCAACTACAACAACAGTTATTATTCCTTTAACCCTTTCACTTCCAGATTAAATTTGTAATTCTCCTTACTGTCAACCATACAATTCTTATAATGTTAGTTCAAAGAATTTAGTATTGGATCAATTAATTATCCCCAAATTGATATTTTTCTTTATTCTCATCACTTATCTGCTTGATATTACATCAATATTGTGAGGAAAAGTTCTGTCTTGGTCACTCATGGGAGTTAAAGGGTTAAATTTCCTCATAACACTATCTAACACAAAGCAGAAAAGTGTCTATCAAGGATTAAAATTTTTCAAGAGGAAGTTTTGATGTGTTGTTATAAAAAATATTGATGTTTGAAGTCCTGTAAGTAAGGCCACAGCTAATCCAAAACACCAGCAGCAAAATAACTAATTTTAAAACTAGCATTACAAGAGTATAACTAAACAAAAGCAGGGCCTGAAAGCAAAGGGTGATAAATAGAACACAAAGTCATGTGCAGTGTGATAGAACAAAAATGAAGAAAACATGGCTCTACCCACCTGGTTATTATTATTCTGTTTATTTTCATGTTTGTATGGTGTTCGTCCTGACGGAGCTGTTGGAGTGGGAAGAAGTGGTAAACCTGGGGGCTAAAGATTGAAAATAAATAAATAAATAATAACTTAAGTATTACCACTCATCAAATTTTAAAATAAAATAAAAAAAATGTTATTCCCAAACTACATTGGCTTATGCATGTCCAGAGTTTTATCAAAGTTTTACTGTTGCTACATGTAATGTAACACTGTTGGTAACACTCAAAGATGCTAAACATGAGAGAAAGTGAACATGTACATGTAAAAGATTTACATGGATACTTACGACTCCTAAAGGAGGTACTCCTGGTACAGCAATAGGAGGTTTAGAGGGTATTGTTGGTGGGACTGTTGATTCAACATAAAATTAACAGAAAAAATATGTTACATGTCTCTCTTTAACTTCCATGGGTGACCAAAGAGAGAAATTCTCCTTACAATATCAATACAACATCAAGCAAAAAAGTAGTGAGAAGGAACAAAAACATCAAGTAGGGGATTATTAGTCGATTCCATGCTAAATTCTCCAAGCTAACAAAGGACTAAAACTCAAAACGTCAGCTTTTTAACTCTTTATGGTGGCCAATTTACATTATCAACTCAATAGATTATACTAAATTACCCTGTTACTCTCCTACCAATGCAGCACCTCAGTTTCTTTAGAAACTTACCACCGTTATTGATTTGACCTCATAAGAATTGTATGGCAGATAGTAAGGAAAATTAGTTATAAGATCTTGGGGATAAAATGGTTGCAATGTCAAACTTTCCTGAGATTCCAATAAAAGCTAGTTAGTTGATATGCAAACCCACTTATGAGGTCTCTTTATGCTTTCCATAAAATTTTTTTTTCCAAATGTTTGCATCAATTCTTCATGGAAACAACTGTCTACTCCTCAACAATTCAACATTAACAACAAACAGTTAAACCTCTAGTTTAAAATGACTATTATGAGGGGTGCTTGGAGACTAATCTGTTTACTTCAAGGGAGTAAGGAACAAAGTGTAAAATTTGTTGAGGAAATGGGGAACTATGAAATGTCTAAGGAAACAAACCACTAAATTTTCTATCTCCCCCTCTACTGAATCTGAAGTAACATGGGTAAATCATTTGCACAAAAAGAAAAAAGAGATGTCTTAGGATTATTGTCATATACTATTTCAAACAGGTTATAAAAGCAACAAAGAATTGAGGAATTAAAGTGATTAGTTAGAAAGGAACATCAGAAAGTTTTATCGCAATTTCACAAAAGAAACAAACAGTTGCTTCTTCACCTCAATACTCCAGTCTTAACCTGATGAAAGTTAGGCTGTGAACTCTTCATGCTGAAAGTCACCTTGCAAATTATATGAGAAACACGTTCGTAAACCAGTCTTGCCTTTTTACATGCAAGCACAACGAGAAGAGACATGGCTGTTTCTTTAATCAAGGCCATTATCAATCGAACAAAATTTCTGTACAGTGGATTGAATCAGTACATCTCTATAGCAAGAAAACAAGTCCATAAATGCAACAATCCGATGATTCGTCCCCAACAAGTTGTAAACTTAAGCACAGCTGAGTAGCTTTTTTAACCAAACCTTCTCCTGCATCTACGCCACCACAATCTTCGAGACTTAAACAGTTTCAAGAGGCTACTTACAAAGGCATTCTAAACGTCAAGTTTTTTGTTTTTGCTCACCTGCTGTACCCGGAGGAGGCATCGGTGGTGGCGGAAAGCCAGGAGGTCCGGGGAACGGTGGTGGGGGGGGAAGTCCGCCCGGTAAACTACCAGGAGGTGGTAACCCTGGCGGAAGATGTATTCCCGCTGGAGGAGCACCCAGTGGTTGCGGTGGAGGCGGATGATACGACATTGTACCAAAACGAAAAACAAATTTTGAAGAATTGCTCAAAGAAAAAGTAAAATTTTGACTGTCACCTCAACATGGCCGTCCTCGTGTTTGACACTACAAGTGCATGGTGGGACGTCTCGTTCCCAGTTCACGCGACTTTAGCTTAATGTATTATGTAACTACCATAAGGTGTCCATCCCTCTTAACTACACGACCTTCAAATAATAATTGTCTTCGATGTGAGGGAAAGCCCTGAAATTTATTGAAACTCATAGGAAACGATCGGAGCAAAAATTTTCTATATTTTACCGTTATCTCGCTCATTCCCAAAGGTATATGACTAAGACACCTTGAGATTCTCGGATTTTGTAAAGACGCGCTCTGCTTCTCGTGGATTACTGCAGGGAACAAATTAATGAGAGCTTTTGAAATCATGGCACTGAGAGAGCTCAACTGTGAAAGCTCATAACGTGACCTAGCCCCTCGAGACTAGGCTGCACAACGCCTTTATAATAAAATAAGTCCAAAAGTTATGGTTTAAGGCAGAGTTTACGCTTTTCCTTTCCTTTTTTCTCTCATTTCCGCTTGAAGCCTTTGCCAGAGAAAAAGAAACAGAAATACCTTGTTACGCGAGTAACAGCCCTTGGGGGGAGGTCACGATTACTATGTAAACGGTGGAGCACAAGTTCTAGTATTCACTGTAAACCTGGCCGAGCGTGAAAATCAATGAATAGTAGAACTTCAGAAGAAGTTATTTCTGAGAAATTAGTAGGCGATTGATATTCTTTATTTTTAATCGCTTCCTTCAGGATCTTTCAGAAAAAAATTGAACAAAATTGTTTCATACAATTCTCTAAGTGGGCATCAAAAACAATATTCAAGACCACACCGTGGTGTCCTTTGTCATTGGTTGATGACACCTTAAAATATCCGTTTTTTCAATACTTAATGATCGGTTACTGACACTTTGTTCCACGACGTTTTTCTTTACTTCTTCGAAATTAGATGGTAATTGATATTCTTGGTGTTTTCTTTGTCACTGGTTCATGTCACTTTAAGATAGCCGTTTTAAAATGCATAATTAGAACATTTTCCCTTTGCTCCACTGGTTTTTCTTACTCTATAGAAATTCGTTGTTATTTGATATTCTTTGTTTTGGTTGCTTCCCCGAACGTCTTTCATAAACAGTAAGGCACATTTAGTCCATAAAATTTCTTAGGAGCCCACTTAAAAATTCGAAATTATTTCATTTTTTTTTTAACGAGGTGCCATTAAAAAGGGGTTATTGAGACCTCAGAATCTTTATCAAAGGTTGTACTTGAATATGGACATAAGCTGATATCTTTCCGAAAAAGTCAGGATCGCTTCACAAGTTGACATTGTATGAAATGTTCCCTAGAGAAGTACTGCATTAAATTTGTCATAAAAACGAAAATCCAGATGATGTGTTTGCTCAATACCGTATCGATTTCGTTCAGGGGGAACGGAGCGGAGATCAGTTGTCGCTAATAGAGTATAAAAGGATGGACTTTAGAAAACTGACCACCATTGAGGGGGGAGACGCATAAAAGTAGACGTCAGTGGAAGACTAGAGCCTTGGGGGAATATGCAAACAAAATAAAGGGGAATTGAATTCTGAAGTCCATTTCTCAACGTCGCCAAGAAAGGCAAGAAATTAATCAATATCATCATTAGTTACTTATAAAAAGTCAGCATGACAGACCAAGAAAATGGGATGAGGGAGTCTAGGAGTTTTTCCTAAATAAAAAGCATGTTTTTTTCCTTCTCTTGACGCCAATTTTGGGATCGAATGTAAATCTGTTTCAATTCTTACAAAGCGCTAAGCTTCAGTTATCCTTGGTTTGGTAAGTGTTTCGTTCTTCTTACTATTTAAACTAAGCATTTGTATAGCGATGCAATGGGCCAACGTAAAATGCGTTACTATTTTCTTTTCAAACCTGTTAAAAGTTTTTTAAATTTGTTTGTTAATTGTAACTGAAAGATCAAAAAAACTGTAGTCTTGTAAGTCATGTGGGTACTCTGCTTTTTTTTCTTTGTCCCACGAGCGTGATAATACTAAAAAAGATCTTTCTCGGTCTCCTTGACTGGCAAGCTCCAAATTTTCCACCTTTCTTATCTCAGTCTAAACGTTTTCATCCATGAAGTTGTTTAAGAGCCATCACCACAAGATCATGGGTGTTATTTTTATTTCTTTATTACCCCCAAGTCAGTTTTATCACAGCTTGCTCTACATATCATGTCATGATTCAGGTAGGACCGATGATTCCCTGATGATGGTGTGTAACGTTTAAACCCCCAGTAATACCCATCTATAGTATCCCCAATTTTTCTTGACTATGGCACGGATCTGAAAAATAATCAACAAAAATTTCATCAGATTTGTCCTTTCTTTGTTACAGTGGACATCCTGGTCTGATAAACGTCGTTATGAACAAAAGCGTAAAACTGCGTCATCAGCATTTAAAACAAAATGGCGCACGCGATGTTTTCAAGCGGACGACCACGTTACTTTCACATCTTCATCTAAACGTGAAAACGTGGCAAAGGGTATTTCTTCCTCAAGAACAATTTCTTGGATATCAATCGGAATCGGTGATACCCAGGTTTCCTGATTTCATAGCACCCGCCAACACTTGACACCACCCGCCTAAGTTTGAGGGGAAAAAAAATCTACTGATAGTAACATTCATTGATGGCGATCAAAACAAGACATTAATTCCAAAAGTACCACTCGAGTGACATAGAAATGCAAACTATTACTGATGCCCATAACCAACGACATCTGCAGCAAGAAAGGTACATGACAGAAGCCCAAAAATGGTACAACTCGTCCATACACAAACCAGCGAGGATCGAAATGAGCAAAGCATAGTGCTCTGTTAGGTGACCCGTAACCAGTAGACTTCAGACTGTGAAAAAGGAAAGCACACTGCAACAGAAGCATTGAAGTCACTTCAAAACGACTGCATCGCAAAACAAACTGTAAAACTCTAAAACACTACGAACAATCGCTTTCTTTTTTTCCGATAAACTAGTTACGAAATTTACCTGCTTTCTTACCATATACTCCAACTATTTCCCCTTTCCTGTTAAAAAAATAATAGCAGGAATATATTTATTAAGCTTCAGAAGCGTTACGTGTGATTTCATGTCGCTCGGCCGTCACTCTTTACCTTGACCAATTTATCTAGCTTGGGAGTATTAAATGATATCGCAGTTGGTGACAGCGCAGTCAACAGAATTACTGTGTCGCGTGAGAAAATAGGTCACAAGCTTATAACTACCTATCGCAACTTCGATAGGAAGAAGTTCGACGAGTGCGGACACTTGTTACACTTTTTGGGGCCGTTCAGTAATTAAAAAGGATCAAATCAATTGAGACTGAGATCTGCCTCTACAGAGATTTAATTTCTAACCTCAATCCTCTCCTTGTTAATTGTATTTCATACCATTACATGACCGCACCTTGCATTTTACATTCTCCGAATATCTTCCCTTGCAAGGCGATCCGTTTCCTGACGCGGGTGGGTTGGTGCATTCACGTGTCACATATAGCCCAGGTTATTTCACAGTTCAGTTCCTTCGTTGGAGTTCGAGGGTGATGGATTATAATGGCTCTCAGAGGTTCAGATACTGTATTTATCTGCTCTAATCATTTACACCTCAAATGCCTCGCCTCTGTGCTTCAACTTAGGAGACTTCCACAAATTCCCATCACTCAGCGATCCTATGTTAGCTATCATTAAGTAGGGCAAACATCATTTCGTATAATAAAAACTGTCTCCAAAACTTATTTAACAAACTACCTCTTGCCATTCTGCAGCATTTTAATTTTTCAATGCAAGATAGGGTGTCGCAGCTGCTCTTGTAGATGCCGGTTATATAGTAGCCAAGCCTTTTGCATTTCGTCCAACCATGGTGATCGAACGAATGAGTAATATCTTCTTCGTAACAGTGATCATAGGTGAGGGGATGATTTTGTGGTCGACAACACCTGCCCGTTGTGATATCACTGAGATGTTGAGCATCGCTGATGTGGAAACCCTCCAAGAAGTAACCGCGACTGCACTGTGCCCAGACATAAGATCTGAACAAAGAAGAAAAAAAAATCACTGGAAATAAAAATCTTAATAAAGAAGTTTAAACGTGCAGTTGTGCTCATTCAACTAATACGTTTACAACACCAATTGAAATGATTGAGTTGTCACTGACAGATAAATTTCTGATTTTCCTAAAACTTGCGTCTTTGTATTTAACCAAACCTAAGGCTTAATTTCCTGATATTACGAATTTACCCCAGCACTTTTTTATACTCTTCATATCTCAATTTAAGGTTTAAATACTCACTTATCCAATGTTGCACTCCAGCTCTCATCCACACAAGTTGACCAATATAGCGTGGATCAATAGCTGGGCAGCAATTTCCGTGCTCGAGAAGCCAAAGGCCGTCTCCCCATGCCTGAAAAAGACGAAATTCTTTGCTGCTTCTCCAAAATCCTGTAAGGAACTCACGATCATCTGGACAAACCGACCACCCTTGTCTGTCGAAACTTGCACGCCAATTAGCTTCAGTACACTTACTCAGAGTGAAATCAGCTTGGATTAACAGCAGTAGGCTGATTAAGTAAATCATCATCACCATCAAAACTCTTTCTTTAAAGTTTCCAAGTACAGACCGGGGATGCTTGCAGTTCCAGGCGAAAACTGAAAGTCAAGTGGTAAAAAGCTAGGCTATTCGTGTATTAACGTATTGTGACAGAGGTCATAATAGCTGTTCATAGTTCGTCTGAATTTGAACAAAACTTGTCGTTGCATATCATGCAGACGGTGCACACACAAGCATCTCGAAATTGAATGAAATACCCTCCGGGTATTGCGATAAACATTACTTTAACATGCCAAAGACGCAGAGAATTTTGTGCGGAAATAGCCCAAATGGCATTAAGTTCCAGAATTAACTATAAGGACCCAGAAATAGCCTTTTAAGTTTGCAAGCTATCTACAATAGAACGGTAAACGCTAACAGCATTACTTTCCCTTAATGATTTAGTGGAAGTTACTTGGACCTACCAAATTTCAGAGTTGTGTTTATCTGCAGGTTAAACTCGAGCTTTTAAAAGCCAAAATTATTTTAAAAAATGTGGTATTTTTTCATTGGTTGCCCTTTGTTCCATTTTTTTTTACTTTTTAGAAATTAGTTGGTAATTTATATTCTTTGTTTTTGTTTTTGTCTAAAGATGTGGTCTTTTTTCATTGGTTAATGACACTTAGAAAAATATAAACGCTTAATTATAGGTAAAGCCCTTTCTTTAAAGGTTTTTTCTCACTTCTTAGAACTTAGTTGATGATTGGAAGTTAACAAAACCTTACTCTTCAGTATGGTTTTCTTAACTTTGTCATTGGTTGATGACACTTTAAAATAGCCGTTTTTAAATCCTTTCTTATAGTTTATACCCTTTGTTCCATTTTTTTTTACTTTTTAGAAATTAATTGGTAATTGATATTCTTTGTTTTCAATTGCTTTCTTGAACGTCTTTCGCAAACAATTTAGAAAATTTATTCTATAGAATTATTTAGGTAGCCACTTAAAACGATATTCAAAACCTCTTTTTATTGTTTCTCGCGAAAAAGATGCTATTAATACGGGTTGATTAAGACCTTGGAATATTTATCAAAGGTTGTGTTTGCATATAAACATCTTTCCAGAATCAGAAGTCAACATAGAGATTTCCTGCATTAACTCTTTCGTGAAAACGAAAATCAAAATGATGTGTTTACTCAATACCTTATCGATTTGGTAAACAAGTCACAAAAGGCATCCCTAGGGTTTGTAAAATGTGCTCACGCACATCGGTGTTCTTTGTCGTTAATTGGAGTCATTGATTGATTATTGTTTGGTCATTGTTCTTTGTCATTAACTATTTTAAATAGTCGTTCTTAACAGCTGAATAAATGGTTATGTTCTTTTCTTCCAGGTTTTTTCTTTTGTTTCTTCAGAGCCGGCTGGTTGGTGATTGACATTCTTTGTTTTTGTTTCTTCCTAACAGTCTTTCAGAAACAATTGAGCACAATTATGTCATACAACTTTCCGGGTGGGCAGTGAGAACAATATTTAAAATCCTACCGTGGTGTCCTTTGTCATTTGTTAGATGACACTTATAAAAAACATTGAAAGCTTAATTATCAATAAAGCCCTTTCTTCAAAGGTCTTTTTCTTTCAATTTCTAGGAATTAGTCAGTGATTGGGATTCTCTGTTGCTTTTCAATATGTGGTGTTTTTCGTCGTTGGTTGATGATACTTAAAATAGCCGTTTTTAAATGCTTTATTATAATTTATGCCCTTCGTTTTCGTGTTAAGGCTTATTTATTTTCAATTGCTCTCTTGAACGTCTTTTACAAACAAATGTGCAAATTTAGTCTATAGAACTTTTTAGGTGGCCGCTTAAAACGATATTCAAAATTACTTTTTATTGTTTGTCGTTAACAAGATGTTAATACGAGTTGATTAAGACTCGGAATCTTTATCAAAAAATTGTGCTTGCATATATATACATCTTTCCAGAAAAGACGGGATTCCATCAGAAGTCAACAGTGTATGAGATGTTCCCTAGAGATTTACTGCATTAACTTTTTCGTGAAAACGAGAATCATAATGATATGTTTGCTCAATACCGTATCGATATCGCAAATGGCCGTTTTTATACTAGAGACGTTAAAGTCGTCTGGACGCATTTAACGTCTGAGACGTTAAAGCCGTCTGGTATAATCAAAGTACTCCGTGAGCAAACTCGTGAATTGACACATGATTTTTTAGACTATGTTTAATGTTATCTGGTTTAGGGAATTTTGTGGTTGATTGTCATATCTAGAGTACGAGCAGTAGTTCAGTGTTCGCTAATGTAGCAAAGAAACAAAGTAACGTTGGGATAAGAAGGCAATACAATTGAAATGATCATGCTATTACATTTGACAAGGTGGATGATGTCATGTGTTTTAAACGTCTATCATTTTTGTTTCTGGCTCAAAAGAAAAGGTTGGAAGTAAATGTGGGTGAAAAGTGAAATTTACTGTCTTTCGTTGTAAATATTACAAAATCAAGGCAATACTGTCTTAATGAAAACATTAACGATTCCCTTTTTATCAAATAAGACAAACGGGAACGAGTTTTGAGTGATATAACTAAGCCAAGCCTGCCACCGTCATTTTGGATCTCCGCCTGGGTAGATTTAAGTCACGTCCTAGGCAACGTATAATCAATAACAAGATAGAATTTCATTTCAGGCCTATTTATCAATTTTGTAGTGTGTAACTTTCGCATTTTAGTATGTTGTATGTATGTTGAATCTTCAAATTGTCTTGAAACTTAAAAGAAAATTGTTCTTTAAAAATTCACTGAAAATCGGTAGCTAAAATTGTTTGTTCAGGTGTTATTTGATTTTCGTGTTAACTTGTTATTTCGTCAGTCGCCGGCATCTTTTGTTGCTTCACACAGGAAAAACACACGCGACGAAACGTAATGATCAATTTTGTCCTCAATCTCACGCCATAACAGAAAAAGCTTTTGAACATCTGTAAACTCCGAGCGCTGCGCAGTAAGTGATATTTTCAATGAATCTTCGGATTGTTTTCAAGTTCAAGGATTGTAAATTACAATTTTATGAAAAACGAAGGTTGTTCTGTTATTTCAGTGTGAATCCTTGCATGCCTGCCAGTCGCTGGCGCCGCTTGTTGAAACTAAAACGAAAAAAAAAAAACTCTTTTAAGATTATCATTGGCTTCTTTTTCACCCCACCACTATTCTTAGCAACAAAGGTCGCCGTTTCGTCTGTTTATTGCTCGCCAAAAACTATCAAATGCACTCAAAAGCCTAAAATCTAAAAAAAGTTTACAGGAATCGACCAATCGAGCGAGCGAGCGAGCGAATGGCATTCCCTACATCGTATCTATAACTCGCTCTTGCACATGCGCGCAATTCACGAGTTAAAAACGAGACGCATAAAAGTAGACGACTTTTAGGGCTCTTCTAAGAAAAGACTGGGCTCTATTATCGGAAGACACTGGAACGAGTAAACAAACGCCAAATAAACTCTGAGCGCGCGAATATGCAAACAAAATAAAGATGGCCGAATTGCAGATTCTGAAGTCCATTTCTCAACGTCGCCAAGAAAGGCAAGAAATGCAAATGCAAATGTTTTTAACGAGGAAAAATCAATCGAGGAAGCGGCTTTTGCAGACTATGGACGGAGAACTAGATATGGTTGAAGCACTTGGCTTATGTGCCGCGACTATGAAGAGACCAAGGAAAGAACGGGGTGCGGATGAAGAAAGAAGTTCCTTGTGGTGGAGAAATGGTTACCGAAATTGGGACGATACTGCGTTCAAAAAACGTTTGTGTACAAATCGAGCAACGTTTCAGTTCATTCTTGGTAAGATAGAAGACCAACTAGTCAAAAAGCCAACTCGTTTCAAACCTGAACCGATACCCTCAGACACACAACTTGCCATTTGTTTGTATCGATTGGCCCATGGAAGTACCTACAGCACAGTAGGAGACCTGTTCGGTGTTGCAGAATCAACTGCAAGTGTCATTTTTAACCAGGTATGCAAGATACTGGTGTCTTTACGACAGATGTGTTTACTTGCCAAGAAACTGAGCCGAATGGAAGCATGAACTTGAAAGCTTCCTTGAGAACTGGGAATTTCCATGCGTAAGAGCCTGGAACGGGTTCCATGTTTATGTCAGCACAAAGTTAAAAAATTATTTAGCTTCAAGAAAGAGATACTCAGTATCCAGCATGGGATTTATTGCCTCTAATAAGAAGTTTCTTTGGACAGCTGTAGGGGCTCCTGGCTCTGTCCATAACTCGAGGCTTCTGAAAAGTTGCGACCTCTTTGCCGAGATTCAGCAGGGACATGTTTTCCCAAATACTGTGCTATGAACAAGGGAGTACGGGGACATACCGATCACAACGGTTGGTGATTCAGCATTTCCACGCTACACGTGGCTAATGAAGCCGTACAATGAAAATACAAGAGATCCAAGAGAGCGCCACTTAAACAAGAGGCTTTTCTCGGCTAGAGTTGTGTCAGAGCATGCATATGGTATGCTGAAAGGGAGGTGGAGAATCCTCTACAAGAAGACAGAGTGTAAACTAAAGAACATAAGGCATGTCATAATGGCCTGCATAGCCTTGCATAATATATGCATCGCAAGAGATGACCCATGCAGACCCAGGTGGAGGCTGGACATTGAAAAACTGCACCTTATTAGGAACAGAGGGAGTGTGGAGCAAGATGGCGAGGCAGATCAGGTCAGGGAAAGGATCACTAACTGGCTCTGGGATATCAACCAGCAACGAGAATTGATGGAGTGAATGAAAAAATCAAAAGAAAATTCTAGCTTGTGTTTCCTGTGGTAAGGCAAAAGCCTAACAACCACTGTATCCCCTATTCTACTCCACCACACTAAATAGATAGGGTATAGAACTGGAGACAATGGACTAGAGAGTGGAACTTAACTGTGAGCATTCTTAGTGAGGATTGTAGAACTGAATATCAAGATATCTTTACTGAAGGACAAAATCCTTGGACAATATAGCAATTCAAGTAGACCTGCAATACAAAATGCCTTTTCTGAATATCTTCCAGTTGATTTAAGTAAGCACGTATTAGTGCATCTCAGCCATGTTAATGGAGCTACATAGTGATACCATAAAACAGGTACTAGCTGCATAGCTAGTTGTTGACATTACAATACATGTATCACCAGTTGGTGGCCCAATTTTATATGTTTCCAAACAGCAACGCTTTGGTGGAGGCTACCATGAGAACATGTAACAGTAATCAGTAATCTTTTACAAAGGTGTGATTTAAAAGCTTTGAAAGTAGACTATAATAGAAGCCTTAATAACAAAAGTCAGTGGTACACAAGAAAGCTTGTTTATTAGCCACTGGAAACAACAGTAGTCATGCCAATTGTATGAACCAAGTTGAGGGTATATTCACAAGACTTAAGTATTCTTGAAGTGATAGTGGTCATTAATTTTCTCTGGTATATTTTGAAGATGGGATAAGACAATATTTTTGTCAGTGGGGAGGGGGGGGAGGGAGGTATGGTAACAGTTCAGCTAGCCCTACCACCACTGGTCCTGAATTTAATGACTAACAGTTAGTTCAAAAACTTAAAACAATAATCATGTACTCTTATGCAATAATTATGAACTCTCTTCACTTGCACCTCTCTATTAATTTGTACCCCCGCACCTACCAACCCCCACACACCAAATTGTTTAATATTGTTTCCATACACCCTTCCTGTAAGTTGTAAATAGGTAAGCGTAAAATATCATCTTTTTGGAAACATAACATTTAGAATTGTTTCCCAAATGCGTAATTCAGCAATCACATACTTTCTACCCTTGCACCTCTCTGCATTATTTGTCCCACACCAACACAAAGACAACACACCACTTTGTTTAATATCTTTTTCATACACCCTCTTCCTGTGAGTTGTAAGTACATGTAAGTAACTGCAAAAATATTAACTTTTTGGAAACACAACTTTTAACATAATAGAGTTTTTCCCAAATACCCTATTACAACAATCATGTCTATCAATTATATATTATTAGTCTGTGAATGTAGAAAGATTTCTGGTTGTAGCTTAAAACAACAGCGTGAAATCTGCCCACATTAACAGCCTAATAAAGTATCTCATAATTGCTGAATGACACCTCTTTAATGGGTTTTATGAAAGTAATCTACCTATTATAACTATCTAAATTTGTGTAGTGTGGTTGTTGACTCTCTGTTCCAGAAAAGGCACTTGGAAATGTTGGTTCATGCATCACCCAAGCATTTTGGTATGGTTGCATAGGCTGCTGAAAACGAGTCATCATCTCCATCATACGGAGTTCATGTTGTCGGTTTAGCTCTGCCTGTTTCTCCTGATATTGAAGGAAAGTTTCTTCTCTTTACTGGTCTGCCTCAAACCAAATTTGCATTCTTTTTTCATGTGCTTTTTGAAGATTCTCAAACGTTGTTGATAACTGGCTGATAGCATCTTTCTGTGAAGTTACTTTACGTTTCCTGGGCCGCACTGACACAGTTGATTTCAGTACCTCCTTCGTGGATGTCTCCTTTGAATCTACTTCACCCTCTTCACAGGAAGACTCTTCACAGTCTTTGCTCTGTGGCTGTGTTTTAGTTTTGTGGTTTTTTCACCCTGTACAACACATTAAAAACAATGCCCTTTAAGGTCAGCAAAAGACGTTAAAGTTGTCAGACGTTAAATGCGTCAGCCTTATTTACCGTTTTTATACTTGACGTTAAAGTCGTCTCGAGACGACTTTAACGTCTTAGACAACTTTAACGTCTCTAGCATAAAAACGGCCAATGAGTCACTAAAAGGCATCCCCATGATTTATAGAATATGATCATGCAAGTGCAATTAGGGCTTGTATTATGCGTTTTAAATTGATGTAATTAGCACCCTCATTTCTAAACTTTTCCTAAAGAAGGTTTTTGCAGTAAAAAATTGCTATCCTTCTAGGATTGGTCTTCCACATCAATTTTGCAGACTTTTTACGGTGTGGATACAAGGATGTCAGTCAAAGTATCATGTAGGGCCTACCATCTCGACGCAAATATCTGCATGAACAGATGCAGCCACTTGTCTTATATAATCTTCGTTTATTATATAGAGAACAATATACATAGGCGCGCGTACATAAAGAATTCCTCTTGGAGTCTTTGACTCGATAACTCACGAGTGAGCGAAGCGGATGAGCGAAATGTCGAGTTGAATACGAGAAGAGAAAATTTCATATTTATAAGCAACCCTGTATTATTTTGTTTATCATCTTACCACAATAGCCCTTTACCGAACAAGGAAAGTCGACTTTATTAATGAATGAAAATAAAAACATCGGAAATCCCCGAATAAAAATCGTCAAGTTCGTGCACTCAAGATAAAAACATGCGTTGAATCACTACAAAAACAAGCAAGGCGCCTAATTTTCAAGATACAAAATGCTCAGTTATTGAATTACTCCTTGCCGAAAGAAGAAATCTCTTAGGTACATAGCCAAAATCGTCCTGTGGGAAAACTTTCAGTTGTCGATTTTCGCTCTCAGCCTCGAGATATGCCATCATAGAAGCCACGGAATACGTAACTTTCGGTTTTTTCTTTTAGTATTTTGGTTTTTTCTCCTTCTAGGAAAGTTTGAATGTCACTTTCTGTGAGCGATGCAGATTTTTCAGTGTTTTAGCAGCCATAATCCTAAAAGATTCCGACAAACGACCTTGGATTGAGAATAGTGAAGGCTATACCATTCATTCATCAACCTGATCGAGTGGCGCGAAAGGCGAGTGACGTGTCAGCAGCTGATTGGGGATATGAAACACATGTGAAAAAAATATCGTATTTTTTCAAATGTGTTGTTACTGCTTTTCTCAGAGCTGGAAATCTTTGTATAACACTGCAGTTTATATGATAAAATATTTTCGCAGACAAAGCGCTAAGGGCATAAGCACATCTTCTTTCTTGAAAATGTCTCCGAGATATTATAATTCTAATTCAAACTACCAAAAAGATTATTCCTATAGAGTGTATATTTAGCACCCATTCGACAGACATCTTTCATATCCCTAATGCAATCCCTTATCTCCTTGTTCCTACCAATACAATCCCTACCGCCATTTGTCGGGAGAGGTTTTGTGCACGTTCCTGTGTGGAATTGAATACAACCGCCGCATGTTTTGGCACAATGGCACCAGTGTCCAAATCCACCCCAACCTCAGTCAACTAAAAAAAAAAGGCCAAAACGAAATACATTTTTCTCAGTTTAACTTGTCTCAATTACAGCTTTAGAGACTTTTAAATAAGAAAACTTTGACTAGTATCGTAATGGTGCCTTATGCACATACTTATCGTTCAAATTTCTTTGCTAGACTGGTGCGATGGAAGATGCAATGAAACGCTGGAATCCCTCACATGAAGACTAAAATGAGGAAGGCTTCTACATTTTCGTTGTCGATTGCATTTCTTCTGCGTTCGTCTCGAAACAGCCAGCACAACTTAGACGATATCCAAGCGATTGATTGGTCGAAAGATTTTTCGGAAAATCATCAAGGTGGTTTACTCAAGGAAAACAAAATCGTTAAAAAAAGAAATAAGAGAGCAAAACTCTCATTTAAATTGTGAAAATTCCATAATCGTCCTGAATACAGGACCAGGACCTCTGCCTGAATGGTTTACCTACTAGACATGGCTGCATACCCTTGTCTCCTTGTTCATGTCCATACAATCCTCGCTTTCATGAGCCGGGGGAATATTTATACAGTTTCTTTCGCGGGTCGAAAGCCGCCTCCGCATGGCTGGAAGAACGACATCACTCTCCGAACCCACTCCTACCTTTGTCAACTGCGAAAATTTCAAGATGCAAGCCCTCGCAAATCAACTCGTTAAAATTACAGCTTATCAGAAATTTCCTAAGAACACCATGGAAGTCCTTTATACACGGCGTTATTATTAATATCAGTTCAAGAATAGAAGTAGAGTATTGGTATTAAGTACTGAAAAATAATACTAGAACTTAGCACGATGTTTTAAAAACAACCTTAAGATTAAGGAAAGCGTGAAGTAAGCTTCTTAAACCCCCCATTATTGTATTTCTGGGTTTCTACTGAAGTAGACAGCCATGTTGAAAATTTCACCAGTGATCAGTTCAGAAGATAATTTTAGACGTTTTTGATGTGACCTAATCAGGAAAGTATATAATTCTTAAAAGAAGTAAGAAAAAATCTGCAATGCATAAAACTTCATTTCAGTAACCGTGTTTTATCTGTTTTTTTTTTAGTGGTACCTACCAGGGAAAGGTTCAGTCCCACAAGCCTTTGCTTCTTTGAAGATTATGCTACAGGGGGGGACTGGTACAGGTTCACGAGCGCTCCTGACTCCACCTCTACGAGTGGCGCTGCATTCTCCCCATGCTCCGAACTCACCCCATCCACCATGAACAGAAGCTGAAAGAAATGCGTTATTTCTAAGATGCTGAAATTTTTTATGTGAATATTATAATTTTCATTGTGAATAATAAAACAGTAATGATCTTATGCTTCTCATTTCTCAGTGAAGGAGAGAATGAGCAACAATCACCAATCAACTTTCTGCAGGGCTGTAACGCGAGTAATGTCAGTGTTGTATTTAATTTTAAGCAGTGTAAGTCATTTTAAGTAACTTTATTGTTAATAGAGTAAGTCCTGTAAGTTATGTGAGTTTTCTAAGTAATTTTAGTATTGTATGTAATCGTAAGCAGTATAAGTAGTACTGTAGTATGTAGAGTAAGAATTGTAAGTAGTGTATGTTTCTGTAAGTTGTACTGTAAGTATTGTAAGTAATATTAGTACCGTTCAATAAAAAAAAGGATTCTTACGTTTATGTGGCAAAACAGCTGACGCGATTTGTTCTGTGCATATTTCAGCCTTTGGTTCCGTTAGTAGAGGCCATGAATGGAACAGTCCGATGATTCTTCCCCAGTAAGCTCTAAATTAAACCACACCTGAGTAGCTTTTTTTTTTCTTTTAACTTCTTGTGGATTACTGCAGGGAACAAATTAATGAGAGCTTTTGAAATCATGGCACTGGGAGAGCTCGATGCCTTTATAATAAAATAAGTCCAAAAGTTATGGTTTAAGGCGGAGAAATGTGCTTTTCCTTTCCTTTTTTTCTCTCATTTTCGCTTCAAGCCTTTGCAGGAGAAAAAGAAACAGAAATACCTTGTTACGCAAGTAACAGCTCTTGGGGGGAGGTCACGATTACTATCTAAACGGTGGAGCATGGGTTCAAGTATTTATTGGGAACCTGGCCGAGCGTGAAATCAATGTATAGCAAAACTTAAGAAGAAGTTACTTCTGAGAAATTAGTAGGCGATTGATATTCTTTATTTTTAGTCGCTTCCTTCAGGAGCTTTTAGAAAAAAATTGACCATAGTTATTTCATACAGTTCCCTTGGTGGGCGGTGAAAACAATATTCAAGATCACATTGTGGTGTCCTCTGTCACTGGTAAGTACTTTAAATTAGCTTCTTTTTTAAATTCTTAACAATCGGTAACAAATTTTGTTCCAAGACGTTTTCTTTCACTTCTTCGAAATTAGATGGTAATTGATATTCTTGGTTGTTTTCAATATGGTTTTCGTTGTCACTGATTGATGTCACTTTAAGATAGCCGTTTTAAAACGCATAGTTACAGTTTTTTGCCTTTGCTCCACTGTTTTTTTACTGCATAGAAATTCGTTGTTATTTGATAGCCTTTGTTTTTGGTTGCTTCCTCGAACGTCTTTCATAAACAATAAGGCACATTTAGTCCATAAAATGTTTTAGGTGCCCACTCAAAAATTCGAAATCATGATATTATTCTTTTTTTATTAACGATATGCCATTAATCAAGGGTTGATAGAGACCTCAAAATCTTTATCAAAGGTTGTGCTTGTGTATGAACATCTTTCCAGAAAAGGCAGGATCGCTTCATAATTCAATATTGTATGAAATGTTCCTCAGAGGTGTACTGCATTAAATTTGTCGTGAAAACGAAAATTCAAATAATGTGTTTGCTCGATACCATATCGATTTCGTTCAGGGGGAACGGAGCGGAGATCAGTTGTCGCTAATAGAGTATAAAAGGATGGACTTTAGAAAACTGACCACCATTGAGGGGGGGGGGGCGTCAGTGGAAGACTAGAGCCTTGGGGGTGGGGTGAAGAAAGCTTAATCAATATCATCATTAGTTACTTATAAAAAGCCAGCATGACAGACCAAGAAAATGGGATGAGGGAGTCTAGGAGTTTTTCCTAAATAAAAAGCATGTTTTTTTCCTTCTCTTGACGCCAATTTTGGGATCGAATGTAAATCTGTTTCAATTCTTACAAAGCGCTAAGCTTCAGTTATCCTTGGTTTGGTAAGTGTTTCGTTCTTCTTACTATTTAAACTAAGCATTTGTATAGCTATGCAATGGGCCAACGTAAAATGCGTTACTATTTTCTTTTCAAACCTGTTAAAAGTTTTTTAAATTTGTTTGTTAATTGTAACTGAAAGATCAAAAAAACTGTAGTCTTGTAAGTCATGTGGGTACTCTGCTTTTTTTTCTTTGTCCCACGAGCGTGATAATACTAAAAAAGATCTTTCTCGGTCTCCTTGACTGGCAAGCTCCAAATTTTCCACCTTTCTTATCTCAGTCTAAACGTTTTCATCCATGAAGTTGTTTAAGAGCCATCACCACAAGATGTGTTATTTTTATTTCTTTATTACCCCCAAGTCAGTTTTATTACAGCTTGCTCTACATATCATGTCATGATTCAGGTAGGACCGATGATTCCCTGATGATGGTGTGTAACGTTTAAACCCCCAGTAATACCCATCTATAGTATCCCCAATTTTTCTTGACTATGGCACGGATCTGAAAAATAATCAACAAAAATTTCATCAGATTTGTCCTTTCTTTGTTACAGTGGACATCCTGGTCTGATAAACGTCGTTATGAACAAAAGCGTAAAACTGCGTCATCAGCATTTAAAACAAAATGGCGCACGCGATGTTTTCAAGCGGACGACCACGTTACTTTCACATCTTCATCTAAACGTGAAAACGTGGCAAAGGGTATTTCTTCCTCAAGAACAATTTCTTGGATATCAATCAGAATCGGTGATACCCAGGTTTCCTGACTTCATAGCACCCGCCAACACTTGACACCACCCGCCTTAGTTTGAGGGGAAAAAAAATCTACTGATAGTAACATTCATTGATGGCGATCAAAACAAGACATTAATTCCAAAAGTACCACTCGAGTGACATAGAAATGCAAACTATTACTGATGCCCATAACCAACGACACCTGCAGCAAGAAAGGTACATGACAGAAGCCCAAAAATGGTACAACTCGTCCATACACAAACCAGCGAGGATCGAAATGAGCAAAGCATAGTGCTCTGTTAGGTGACCCGTAACTAGTAGACTTCAGACTGTGAAAAAGGAAAGCACACTGCAACCGAAGCATTGAAGTCACTTCAAAACAACTGCATCGCAAAACAAACTGTAAAACTCTAAAACACTACGAACAATCGCTTTCTTTTTTTCCGATACACTAGTTACGACATTTACATGCTTTCTTACCATGTACTCCAACTATTTCCCCTTTCCTGTTAAAAAAATAATAGCAGGAATATATTTATTAAGCTTCTGAAGCGTTACGTGTGATTTCATGTGGCTCGGCCGTCACTCTTTACCTTGACCAATTTATCTAGCTTGGGAGTATTAAATGATATCGCAGTTGGTGACAGCGCAGTCAACAGAATTACTGTGTCGCGTGAGAAAATAGGTCACAAGCTCATAATTACCTATCGCAACTTCGATAGGAAGAAGTTCGACGAGTGCGGACACTTGCTACTGTTTTTCGGGCCATTTAGTTATTTTAAAGGATCAAACCAATTGAGATTGAGATCTGCCTCAGCAGAGATTCAATTTCTAAAACCTAAATTCTCTCCTTGTTAATTGTATTTCATACCTTTGCATGACCGCACTTTGCATTTTACAGTCTGCGAATAACTTCCCTTGCAAGGCAATCCATTCCCTGACGGGGGTGGGTTGGTGCATTCACGGGAGCGAGTTTTCTTTCCCTTACCACAGGTCCTGCTACACTTGGAGTACTCAGACCACTTAGAGAATCCACCATTAACTGAAATGTATCGAAGAGAACAAACCTGTGAGCGCATAAAACGATTAGCGATATCAGCCTGCCTTGCTGACGGATCTTTTCAAGCTTGACGGAAATAAATTGCAGCCTATTTTCGCTCATTTGCAGCCTCTCTAACCCAAAAAACCCCACCTGACTTTCAACCTAAACTGTATAGCATTCATACGGCAATTTTTGGAGACACGATGGCAAATAGTAGTAACCCATCAAGCCGAGAAAATCAGGTTGGTGTTCGACTGTTCGACGGTTCGCACAAGATGCTACTTGAGCGTGCATACAATGTGCTATTTGAGCGTGCGCACAAAGTGCTGCTTCAGCGTGCGCACAAGGTGCTACTTCAGTGCAGATCTGTCAGGAAGGGAAAGGGAGGAGAGGGTGATGTACGATTGCCTGAACAACTTGGAAATCCCATTCGAGTGTGCAGAGGTACTACTGATTACGCTTATTTATTTCTCACCTGAAACTGCTTCGCAAGGGTCGGTGTTGCAAGCCCTCACTTCTTTCGCAACCCCCGAGCACTGCGCCCCACCCCCTGACGGAGGCGGATTGGTACATGTTCGTGAACGTTCTTGTTTTCCTCCTCCACAATTAGCACTACATGCTCCCCAGGCCCCGAACTCGGTCCATCCACCATTCACAATAGCGACAGCTGAAAAAAAATTGTTTTTTAATAGTCTCATGACTTTTGCAATTAAGCATATGAAGTTCCTATTGATTATGTGCTAAAAACAGTACCTGATAGATACGTGTCACATATAGCCCAAGTTATATCGCAGTTTAATTCCTTCGTTGGGATTCAGAGGGTGATGGATTATAATGGCTTCTCAGAGGTTCAGATACTGTATTTCATTTTTCAACGCCACTCAGAAGAATTTATCTGCTCTGGTCATTTACACCTCAAATGCCTCGCCTCGGTGCGTCAACTTAGGAGACTTCCACAAATTCCCATCGCTCAGCGATCCTATGTTAGCTATCATTAAGTAGGGCAAACATCATTTCGTATAATAAAAACTGTCTCCAAAACTTATTTAACAAACTACCTTTTGCCATTCTGCAGCATTTTAATTTTTCAATGCAAGTTAGGGTGTCGCAGCTGCTCTTGTAGATGCCGGTTATATAGTAGCCAAGCCTTTTGCATTTCGTCCAACCTTGGTGATCGAACGAATGAGTAATATCTTCTTCGTAACAGTCATCATAGGTGAGGGGATGATTTTGTGGTCGACAACACCTGCCCGTTGTGATATCACTGAGATGTTGAGCATCGCTGATGTGGAAACCCTCCAAGAAGTAACCGCGACTGCACTGTGCCCAGACATTATATCTGAACAAAGAAGAAAAAAAAATTACTGGAAATAAAAATCTTAATAAAGAAGTTTAAACGTGCAGTTGTGCTCATTCAACTAATACGTTTACAACACCAATCATGATTGAGTTGTCACTGACAGATAAATTTCTGATTTTCCTAAAACTTGCGTCTTTGTATTTAACCAAACCTAAGGCTTAATATCCTGATATTACGAATTTACCCCAGCATTTTTTTATACTCTTCATATCTCAATTTAAGGTTTAAATACTCACTTATCCAATGTTGCACTCCAGCTCTCATCCACACAAGTTGAGTGCTGACCAATATAGCGTGGATCAATAGCTGGGCAGCAATTTCCGTGCTCGAGAAGCCAAAGGCCGTCTCCCCATGCCTGAAAAAGACGAAATTCTTTGCCGCTTCTCCAAAATCCTGTAAGGAACTCACGATCATCTGGACAAACCGACCACCCTTGTCTGTCGAAACTTGCACGCCAATTAGCTTCAGTACACTTACTCAGAGTGAAATCAGCTTGGATTAACAGCAGTAGGCTGATTAAGTAAATCATCATCATCATCAAAACTCTTTCTTTAAAGTTTCCAAGTACAGACCGGGGATGCTTGCGGTTCCAGGCGAAAACTGAAAGTCAAGTGGTAAAAAGCTAGGCTATTCGTGTATTAACGTATTGTGACAGAGGTCATAATAGCTGTTCATAGTTCGTCTGAATTTGAACAAAACTTGTCGTTGCATATCATGCAGACGGTGCACACACAAGCATCTCGAAATTGAATGAAATACCCTCCGGGTATTGCGATAAACATTACTTTAACATACCAAAGACGCAGAGAATTTTGTGCGGAAATAGCCCAAATGGCATTAAGTTTCAGAATTAACTATAAGGACCCAGAAATAGCCTTTTAAGTTTGCAAGCTATCTACAACAGAACGGTAAACGCTAACAGCATTACTTTCCCTTAATGATTTAGTGGAAGTTACTTGGACCTACCAAATTTCAGAGTTGTGTTTATCTACTACTCCGAAATGCTTACTGTGCAGTGCCAGGTTAAACTCGAGCTTTTAAAAGCCAAAATTATTTTAAAAAATGTGGTATTTTTTCATTGGTTGCCCTTTGTTCCATTTTTTTTTACTTATTAGAAATTAGTTGGTAATTTATATTCTTTGTTTTTGTTTTTGTCTAAAGATGTGTTCTTTTTTCATTGGTTAATAACACTTAGAAAAATATAAACGCTTAATTATAGGTAAAGCCCTTTCTTTAAAGGTTTTTTCTCACTTCTTAGAACTTAGTTGATGATTGGAAGTTAACAAAACCTTACTCTTCAGTATGGTTTTCTTAACTTTGTCATTGGTTGATGACAATAGCCTTTTTAAATTCTTTCTTATAGTTTATACCCTTTGTTCCATTTTTTTTTACTTTTTAGAAATTAATTGGTAATTGATATTCTTTGTTTTCAATTGCTTTCTTGTACGTCTTTCGCAAACAATTTAGAAAATTTATTCTATAGAATTATTTAGGTAGCCACTTAAAACGATATTCAAAACCTCTTTTTATTGTTTCTCGCGAAAAAGATGCTATTAATACGGGTTGATTAAGATCTTGGAATATTTATCAAAGGTTGTGCTTGCATATAAACATCTTTCCAGAATCAGAAGTCAACACAGAGATTTCCTGTTCTTTGTCATTAACTATTTTAAATAGTCGTTCTTAACAGCTGAATAAATGGTTATGTTCTTTTCTTCCAGGTTTTTTCTTTTTTTTCTTCAGAGTAGCTGGTTGGTGATTGACATTCTTTGTTTTTGTTTCTTCCTAACAGTCTTTCAGAAACAATTGAGCACAATTATGTCCTACAACTCTCCGATACGGTAGTGAGAGCAATATTTAAAATCCTACCGTGGTGTCCTTTGTCATTGGTAGATAACACTTGTAAAAAAAATTGAACGCATAATTATCGGTGAAGCCCTTTCTTCAAAGGTATTTTTCTTTCAATTTTAGGAATTAGTCGGCAATTGGGATTCTCTTTTGTTCTCAGTATTGTATGAAATGTTCCCTAAAGATGCACGGCGTTAAATTTTTCGCGAAAACGAGAATCATAAAATTGTGCTCAATTGTTTCTGAAAGACTGTTAGGAAGAAACAAAAACAAAGAATGTCAATCACCAACCAGCTACTCTGAAGAAACAAAAGAAAAAACCTGGAAGAAAAGAACATAACCATTTATTCAGCTGTTAAGAACGACTATTTAAAATAGTTAATGACAAAGAACACCAAACAATAATCAATCAATGACCCCAATTAACGACAAAGAACACCGATGTGCGTGAGCACATTCTATAAACCCTAGGGATGCTTTTTGTGACTTGTTCACGAAATACGGTATTGAGCAAACACGTCATTTTGATTTTCGTTTTTACCAAAAAGTTAGAGCAGTAAATCTCTAGAGAAAATCTCATACAATGTTGAATTCTGATGGCATCCTGCCTTTTCTGGAAAGATGTTCATATGCAAGCACAACCTTTGATAGATTCCAAGGTCTTAATCAACCCCATAGAAATAGCATCTTGTTAGCGAGAAACAATAAAAAGAGATTTTGAATATCGTTTTAAGTTGGTACCTAAATAACTCTATAGACTAAATTGCCCAATTTTTTGTGAAAGACGTTCAAGAAAGCAATTAAAAACAAAGAATATAAATTACCAACTAATTTCTAAAAAGTAAAAAAATGGAACAAAGGGCAACCAATGAAAAAAGACCGCATTTTTTAAAATAATTTTGGCTTTTAAAAGCTCGAGTTTAACCTGGCACTGCACATAGAATAGAATATGATCATGCGAGTGCAATTAAGGCTTGTATTGTACGTTTTAAATTGATATAATTAGCACCCTCATTTCTAAGACTTTTTTTAAAAAAGGTTTTTGCGGTAAAAAAATTGCTATCCTTCTAGGATTGGTCTTCCACATTAATTTTGCAGACTTTTTACGGTATGGATACATGGATGTCAGTCAAAGTATCATGTAGGGCCTACCATCTCGACGGAAATATCTGCATGAACAGATGCAGCCACTTGTCTTGCCGTATAATTTTCGTTTATTATATAGAGAATAATATACATAGGCGTGCGTACATAAAGAATTTCTCTTGGGGTTTTTAACTCAATAACTCACGAGTGGGCGAAGCGAATGAGAGAGATGTCGAGTTGAATACGAGAAGAGAAATTTCATATCTACAAGCAACCATGTATTATTTTGTTTGTCATCTTACCACAATAACCCTTCACCGAACAAGCAAAGTCGACTTTATTAATGAATGAAAATAAAAGGATCGAAAATCCCCGAATAAAAATCGTCAAGTTCGTAGGTGCACTCAAGATGAAAACATGCGTTAAATCACTACAAAAACAAACAAGGGGCCTTATTTTCAATATACGAAATGTTCAGTTATTGAATTACTCTTTTCCGAAAGAAGAAATCTTTCAGGTACATAGCCAAAATCGTTCTGTGGGAAAACTTTCAGTTGTCGATTTTCGCTCTCAGCGTCGAGATATGCCATTATAAAGCCACAGAATACGTAACTTTCGGGTTTTTTTAGTATTTTGGTTTTCTTCTCCTTCTAGGAAAGTTTGAATGCCACTTCCTGTAAGCGATGCAGATTTCTCGGTGTTTTGGCAGCCATAATCCGAAAAGATTCCGACAAACGACCTTGGATCGAGAATGGTGAAGGCTTTACCATTCATTCATCAACCTGACAACATGATCGAATGGCGCGAAAGGCGAGTAACGTGTCTCAGCCGATTGGGGATTTGAAACACATTAGAAAAAATATCGTATTTTTTCAAATGCGTTGTTACTGCTTTTCTCAGGACTGCAAATCTTTGTATAACATCGCAGTTTATAAGATTTTCGCCGACAAAGCGCTAAGGGCATAAGTGCACCTTCTTTCTTGAAAATGTCTCCGAGATATTATAATTCTAATTTAGACCACAATCAATGGAACTACTTTAAACCACCTTCAATGGAAATTTAGCTTAATAATGCTCCCCAAATAAGTTGTCATTTTGTAGAACGAGCTGAATTTTCAAGAGTTGTCGGCAGATGTTTTCTATCAGCTTGTTTGAATCTGCTTTGTAAGCAATATATGACGAAGTTATGATTTTCTTTTCCAAGATTTTCTTTTCATAGAAAATGTTGGCTCTTACGGCTATTACTTGATGTAGAAACATAGTCGACATAAAACGGTAGAGAACAAACAGACAAAGGAACGAGGAAATCAATGAAAACAATAGGTTAATGAGACAGTTTTCTCTTTTTTTAAACCAAGAAGGAACCCAAAGATTGAGTCGTTTAGAATTTAAGTCAAACGGTGTATCATTAATGTAGGGGGTAAACTGCTGCCCCACTGAAGTTTGTAAGTCATGTGGATACTTCTTGTCTCACTCTCATGGTCAAATAAGTCGTCTGTAAATTTATATAAGAACCTCACCTAAAAAATGCGTCTTTTCATTGTTTTATTGCTGCGTAGTCACTACATCAGATGCTTATTTCACAGCGTGCTTCCCATACGATGTGATGATTCTTTGAGGAAACAATGATTCCGATAGAGTGTATATTTAGCACCCATTCGATAGACATCTTTCATATCCCTAATGCAATCCCCTCTCTCTTTGTCCATACCAATACAATCCCTACCGCCATTTGTCGGGAGAGGATTTGTGCACGTTCCTGTGTGGGATTGAATACAACCGCTGCATGTTTTGGCACAATGGCACCAGTGTCCAAATTCACTCCAACCTCAGTCAACTAAAAAAAAAAGGCCAAAACGAAATACATTTTTCTCAGTTTAACTTGTCTCAATTACAGCTTTAGAGACTTTTAAATAAGAAAACTTTGACTAGTATCGTAATGGTGTCTTATGTACATACTTATCGTTCAAATTTCTTTGCTAGACTGGTGCGATGGAAGATGCAATGAAACGCTGGAATCCCTCACATGAAGACTAAAATGAGGAAGGCTTCTACATTTTCGTTGTCGATTGCATTTCTTCTGCGTTCGTCTCGAAACAGCCACCACAACTTATACGATATCCAAGCGAGTTATTAGTCGAAAGATTTTTCGAAAAAATCTTTAAGGTAGTTTACTCAAGGAAGACAAAATCTTTGAAAAAGAAATAAGAGAGCAAAACTCCCATTTAAATCGTGAAAATTCCATAATCATCCGGAATTAAGAGGGCCTTTTTACTCTTGTCTCCTTGTTCATGTCCATACAATCCTCGCTTTCATGAGTCGGGGGGAACATTTATACAGTTTCTTGCACGGGATCGAAAGCCACCTCTGTATGGTTGATACAACGACATCACTCTCCGAATTCACTCCTACCTTCGTCGACTGCGAAAATTTCAAGGTGGAAGCCCTCGCAAATCAACTCGTTAACATTACAGCTTATCAGAAATTTCCCAAGAACACCATGGAAGTAGACAATGCAGTAGAAAATGCAGCCCTGCCACTGCGATCACATCTACAGAAGTTTGAGTAATGCTGTACACTATTATCACACTGAAGGTCTTTAATTCTTCCAACTGCACAAAAAACTATCACACACGTCAAGGATTGACAAAAGAGTTGAAATCATTCGCGAGCCACAACCCCCAACAAAACATTAAAGGACCATCACTGCAAGCTCCTGCTACTGCACCAAGTAATTTCCTGAACATCCCTTAGGCCGCAATCAGTAAGCAAGAGTCAAGGAGATTTTAACTTAACACATGATGAATTTGGAACTGTAGTTTTCTTAATTACTGTATTTCCAAGCAAGAGCGCAGAATTCTGTTTCACAAAGCAAGCTTCAAAATGAATTGGAACTCATTCTTGCAGTGGTGAATGAGTGTCACCCACACTTTTTACTTCATTCCCAAAATAACATTCTATATCCGCCTTTTATTCCAAATCACAACATGAAGAAGTATCTGATAGGCAGCCCTTACATTAAAAAATGCTCCCTACAAACACCAGACAATGGCTAAAATTCATTGATGATTTCAACATGCCACAAAATGAACAACAGAGTGCTGAGCTGGTGGACTTAATTACTTCACATAAGGAAAGATGCCTTTTTAGCAACACACTCATGCCAGATACAAGAAGAATTTCCATCATTTGGCAGCTGAATTTGACAGTAGTTTTAAAATTAGCAAAAATCAACCACGTAAATTCAATTGAATTTTATTTAAACTCACGCGAACACAGTATATTAGAGAGGGTTATAATTATTACAGTAGTGTTACAAACATCAATATAAAGAATATAGTACAGTAACCAAGCATGAGTAAATTAAGAATCACCGTCATGGTACCGAAAGATGACATGTGCAACAACAAGGAAACTCTGAAACAAAGGCTGTCTCACAATTTTACTGAACACAATAGTGTTGTTGCACCATACATAAATGTTACAAATATTGTGAAACTGCTTCATAGCAAACAACCTCTGAAAGAAACATCTTGATATTAAAACAAAAAATAACTGCTGAATTCCTACATCACTGATGCTTTATCATGGATACAGCAGAGTAACTTCTTTACTAGAAAAACACCAATAAGAGTCAAAATAGTAGACCCCACAATCTGATGACCTCCAATGTCACATTGTGTTCTCACTTGGGTATATATGAGTAATCTTGGAAAACAGACTCTTAAGAAGCTGCCTTGAGATCGCACTATCAACTCCTTCCAGAGAAACCTGGGATCAATCACTAGGATTTCTTCAGCCAGCTCCATTTATCCTATTCCAGAGTCGCAAGAACATCACAAACAACTTCAGGATATAAGAGTAACCTGTAAGCCACCAGCATGGAAACTTGAAATGACCAAAAAAGGAGAACAAGAATACAAAACATGCTTATAAAACTGACGAAATGATAATAAAATCAGGCTATTACTGTTATTATTATATGTATATCATTCATATAAATAAGAAACTGTTAACTTCTGTGTCGAATGAAGACACTAAAACTAATGAAAAACGAAAGTCTTCTTTTAACTTTTAATTTGCTTTTGCGCAACGTGTTTCACCGCTGTTGCGGCTCTTCAGGCATAGCAAAGTGTGCTTATTGACTTGTTACGTCACTGATCTAATTGTAATTACAATAATAATGGCTATTGTAATTCGAAGCGCGCGCGAGCAATTAGCGTAATTTCAAGTCATTAAGAACGGGTTTATATTTCGAAATAAAAAACCTCTCTCCTGTTCTTTCTCGTGACCTCGAAGGGGCTGAGAATCTTGTAAAACGGAAGGATAGTGAACTGAGAGGTCAATCCCGCAGCACATTCATAAATATGCTTGCTGACTCCCAGCATACCTGTGCGTGGGTCTCTAATTTGTTGTTTATGAACTGTCGTTCTATTTCTCAGGACGCTTCGCGCTTCGAATTACAATAGCCATTATTATTGTATATATATATAATAACAACCTGATGTGTTGTTCAGTAACTATACTAAACCCACACACCAATCACGCCAAAACCCGGTATACTGACGTTATTCAGGATGGAAAACTCTATGAAGGGATTTTATGCTATTCATTTTGGAACACACCCTTCTGTTACTACGTGTAAAAATAAAGAAAGCGAACCAAATCAGTTCAGGACACAACCCTTCCTTTTCAAAAAATGACAACAAAGGTAACTCACGATACTTCAACACGGAATACATAACTAACCGCTCCTAAAATTGACCCACACGTAAATATTAACATTACGACTATAAGCAAAGCAGCTTTATTTCGGTAGTTACTAAAACACGGAATGACCTTAAATGACCTAAAATGATCTAAAATGACCTCGAGTGATTTCTTAAATGACCCAAAATGACCTTGAGTGAATTCTTAAATGGCCTAAAATAACCTAATTTGAGCTTAAGTGGTGTGAACAATGCGGCGTCGACAAAATCTGGATCGTACCGGACCGGATCTGATCGGATTGTTCATTTCGGTTTGCGGATTTTACGTGATTTAGCATTTGGTTTTCGATTTTCGTCAAAAATTCAGACGGGTTTTCCAAATTTTTTTCCGGTTTGTCTTCGATCTAAGCGGCAGTTAAGCGCTTCCACTGATCTCAAACAGCCGCGAAACGCGGAGATACAATTGGAGCAATTAGTAATGTTTGAAAGTGATGAAAGTGATGTTGTTATGGTAAAGCCGAGTTGGAACGGAGCGTGTACTTACGTGGAGCGGAATTTATAACGTATACTTAAGCTTTTCGAAAAGTAAACAGACTTTACCGACGTATTATCTGACACTGACGGCAATGAAGGGCTAAAAAGAAATATTTCTATAATGTTATTTTGCTTTCATGGCGAAATTGATGGTCCAACCTCGTAAATCTGCCGCATTTCAGTCTTAACACAAATTAAAAACCCGACATTTAAAAGGTAATTTAATTTTACATCGTTATTTTTAAATAGCCTAATCAACATAACGCTACTAATTACGTCTATTCTTCTTCGATGAATAGCGCTACATTTCGGTTGTCTGAACAAGAAATAATACTTGCGAACACAGCGTACACGGGGATTACATGATTGACAGTTGGATTGACAGGCCTGCGTGAAGTTACGCATGCTCTCTTTCTCTTTCCCAGCTTATTTGCATTTTCCCGTGCGACGTTTTTCAATGGGCGTGATTCCGTAATGGATACATACCTCTAGCTTGCCTAGTTAGAGCACAAGCAGATCACATCATAATAACTTAGTTCCGTTAATCATTTATTCCAGATAACAATGAGAATCAAATAAACATGCTCATCATAGTATCTGAGTTCGTCCTCGGCCAAATATAAACAACTTCACAAGATCACTTTATCCAGGCATCGAAAACATTTCCATTCGTCCAGTGTTCCCTAAGTTACCGTCGAAACAGCCAAACAATTTCCCTCTACAGCCAATAATGATGCAAAATCCGCCTTGCAAAACACTTGCAACTATTCAAATTCCAACATTGAAAGACCCGATCCAAGAGTAACACACCAGGATGTTAACCATGAAATTGACTGCAACAAAACCATTGTTACGGTATAATTTAACCAACAGAAAAACACTACAATCCCACAAGCTCAACTACTTGTAATGTTCTTAAGAAGGAGAGATTCCTTAAAGCAGTACAATAATCATCGTTAATAAACTTAATTAAGTCCACCACGGTCTATATCCTAGCTCACCACTAACACAATCTCACTACTGTCTCCAAATTAAAGTTTCTTGAAATGAGAAATCTTCCGCAGTAACTCTCTCTCGATATAGCTTTCAAAACAGATGTCGCTCCGACAACAACAACTACCACTACTACTATATAAGTAAGTCTTTATATATTTTCACAAAATGTTCTGGAACATTCCAGAAGTTTACATAAAAACTATTTTAGTAGTATTACGTAATAGGAGCGTGACTTGATGAAATGTTCTGGAAAGTTCTACGGTATGCAAGTCAGTATGGCTAAGGAGTCTGGAGATTTCTGGAAGCTTATATTTACAAAAATTGCTCATAACACCACCAAAGAGAAAACTCGGCCATATTTCGTATAAAAATCGTTGTTCAATAGAAAGACCTCCTAAGATGGCTTATCAGTCAATGACCTTGTCACACGAGGCGACAAAACTGTCCACAAGCCATGCAAAATTGTCCATAGTTTATTTTAATCAGACACTCATTTAGAGATAGCACCGAGCAAACCAATTCCAGAAAAGTTTAATCGGCACACTCAACAGATCATGAATCTTGCAACACAGCTTGCCGTTAAAGAACTGCTCATTCCACTCACTCTCGTCGAGAGGGAAGAATCACCGTGATCGTACTGCAATGAAGAGAACTCCATTTTCTCTCGAACTATCCTCCATTTTCACAGCATGAGTAATACGTTTACTCTTGGTAATCTGTTGTCTTTTATCTGTCCAGCAGTATCGCATTATTCCCAAAAAGCGCGGTCAAATACACGTTAACTAGACCCTGTGAGCAGGGTAACTGGGATACCTGGATGGTACTGGATCCGTGGAATCAAGTGTAGTGATACTACGCGTGTCGGACTAGTATACTGAAATAGTGAGCTCAAGTCTGTGCCGATTAAAATCAAGAATTAAAGGGGTCCGTTCTCCTTGGATGAAAGGAAGGCTATCTGAAGCTATACACAAACAAGATCATTACCATCGTAAAGCCCTGAAATCAAATTCTGGCGATCATTGGTCACTCTAAAAGGAACTTAAGAATTACGTAAATAAGGAGATAAAAATACGTAAATCGGGATGCCATTGTAAGCTTATTACCGAAAACAAATCTAATCCAAGTGCGTTATGGAAAACACTTAACGACATAACATCTCGCAAAGGAAGAACTCCCATCTCCTGCATTGAAGCCGACGGTGTTCAATACTGTAGCAATAGATCTATAGCCAAGATTCTCAATGACCATTTTTCAGCAATTGGAACTAAATTAGCGCAGAAGCTCAAGTACTACAGGTCCTACATCTTCTCGACACCTACGGTAAACTCGAGTCTACCCTATGAATTTATTTTCGAGCAAATTACGGAAGACTTCGATATTCGTCAGCTACAAAAGCTCAAAACAAATAACGCTATCGGTCTCGATAACATCAGTGCGTGTCTGCTGAAAGATTCAGCCACAGTTATCAGTGCCAGCCTAACTAGATCATTTAATCTTTCCCTTGAAACTCGTATCTTCCCTTCCCTTTGGAAATTTGGAAAAGTTACAGCATTATTCAAGAAAGGTGATCGCTGCGATGCTAACAATTACAGGCCCATTACTGTACTACCAACGATAAGTAAAATCCTAGAAAAATCCGTGCACATCCAACTGTATGCTTATCTTAAGAATAATGAGATCATTACATCCAAACAATTTGGTTTCAGACCGAAGTTATCAACCGGGACAGCTTCAGCCTATTTTACAGCCAATATCCTTCAGAATATGGACGCTGGTTCCTTTGTGGGTGCTATTTTTTAGAGCTATCTTAGGCCTTTGATACAGTGGATCATCACTTGCTACTAAGAAAGCTGACGAACATCGGTCTTACCAGTTCTACCACCCAGTGGTTTAGATCGTATCTCACAAACAGGTCACAAATCACATCGGTTAGAGATGCTCACTCTATAGTTACAAAGATGCCTGTCGGGGTACCCCAAGGCAGTATATTGGAACCTTTACTATTTTTGATTTACGTGAATGATCTTCCGGATTGTCATCTGCCAAGTGATATTATCCTTTACGCGGACGATACTGTAATCTATTACTCAACCAAAAATTTCAGTGATTTTGAACATCACATCAATGCTGACTTACGAACAGTGTCTGAGTGGTTCTCTAGAAATCTTCTTACTCTAAATATATACAAATGCAATTTTGTTATCTTGGAAGTCCTCAGAAACTGAATCGCATTCAAGATATTCTGGTTAAAGTAGAGGGCATTTGTATTGAGAAAACACAATCATTCAAGTGCCTAGGCATGACATTCAACCAATCTATGTCCTGGGCAGATCATATCGATGCTATCAGCACGAAGATTAATCAAAGGATAGACCTAATCAGGAGAATCAGGAAGTATTGCCACTACAAACTAGAGTTACTTTGTACAATAACCTAATCCTCCCTCTTTTTGATTACGGAGATGTTTTATGGGGGGACAAGAACAATGACACCATAATGTCAGAATTACAGATTCTACAGAATAAAGCTGCTAAAGGTCTGCTGGGGCACCCACCCCGAAGCTAGTCAACCGAAGCACTGAGGAATTTAGATCTCAAGTCACTCTCCGCAAGAACGTTTTTTCATCGCCGCATTGAAATTCACAAGTGCCTGATTGGAGAAACTGGCTTTAATTTTAATTTTATCAAAAATCAAGCTGTCCATTCATATAACACAAGATGTTCCAATGATCTTCGTTTACCCCTTCCCCGAACTAACTGGGGTTCACCAACATTTATCTATCAAGCTGTGAAAGACTGGAATAGTCTTCCAAAGATTTTGATTAATTTTAAACTTTGATATTTCGATTATTTATCGATTTTAAGATTTTGACTCTTTTTAAATATATTTATAAACACATTTTATTTTATTTATTATTATTATTTTATCAATTAAGGTAATTAATTGAATTAATTTACTTAATTAGTTGATGAGGGCCCCACTGAAAACCGCTGTGGCGAGTTGGGCTCCCTCGTTATATATTATTATTATTATTATTATATTATTATTATTATAATATTATTATCATAAAAGATCCATGTGCTTCAAGAAGTTCCTCTTATGGGAATCCTGCCACTCGTTCAATTTCTGTTGAGGACATTAAACAGAAGAAAACAATAAACTTAAAAAATTCAAGATTTTCTTTTCAAGTGTCACCTCATTCACATTGTGGCACCTCTAAATCAATGTAGCAATGAGTTGAAGATTAGGCAGTGTGCGCACTCCGATTGCATTGCATTGTGGTAGCTTCATTTTCAATATGGCGGTGAAAACAACAGAAATCGGCAAACTTTGACTGAATATTCCGTAAAAGTTAGGCCGTTCCTTTTTCCTTTCACCATAGGTAAATTTACTTTGATTTATTTTGAATGTGTAAAAGTGTTTTTTTTACGTATTTGTTGCGTATTCTTTGGTTCTCAAGGACAGACGCAAGCACTGTTTTTTAGTATGTAATCTGAGACCGGTTTTCGAGAAGGTCAAATTTGATGTACGTCTTAGTTTGGAGCCTTTCAAAGATTTGGATGGCCGCTTTGATCCTTCTTCAACAGGTTTGATCAAACGCTCTCCAACGATACATGTGTTTCTCGCATTTTAAGTGCTAGTGTTTGAGACCGATTATGGATTTGCGATGCGATAATAAGGGTTAGTTTTAAGGTGTTAGTTCCCCATCTGTATGTTCTTGAGGTTTGGCAAAGCCGGATGAGATTGTGTTACAAAGAGTAATATTTTCATGTACACGCGCTGTTTTTATTGTTTTCAAGTATACTGTCTCTCCCGCAGAAAATAACTCCAAAAATACGTTTCTCAAAGCCTTATTCTAGGTATTCTCTATTTTCTCAGCATATTTGGAACTCTGTACGTTTTCGTCGAAAGTTGAGCGTGACGAATTGGTCTCAGGAGGCGTAAGGCTTCTTCTTTCGCGAATCCCGTATTTTCGCCATTAAGTGTATAACATGAAAAATAGTTCGTTTATTAGAAGGTCGCTGTCACTGTAATACGTTTGCATGTCAAGGGTCGATTCCCCGTTAAATAACTCGTGAATTTGATATTATTCACACGGCCATTGGTTGTAAGTGGGTAAGGCTGCACTTTCGATTCTTTCTGGATCTCTTCAGTTGCCTCCTAACAATAAATTTGTCACAGACGAATAACAGGAGTCGCGCAGGACCGCAAACACTTTCGAAGGAACGGCAACAGACAGTGAATCCCCATTACATTCCACGTTTATTCACGCTATCTTGCTGCCACCAGAGATGTTCACTCGACCGCGTCAGGATGTCAATGACTCGCTTTTCATTTTACGACCATGATGCAACGCAATCAGAGTGCGCACACCGCCTGGTTGAAGATATTGCAAGCTAAGTTTATCTTGGAATCCTTAATTTTGATAAAGCATCTTTTCCATTGTTTTGCATTAATTGAGAAAATTTCAATGATGTTGACATATTAACTGAAAGCTTCTCGCCACGAAACAAATAATAAGATGTATGACTGTGACTGAAAGTTTTGCTACCTCTACTGGAAGAGAGGTTTTTCAAACTACCAGTAGGTAAAGTGGACCTATCACCAATTTAAACAATATTCCTGTCAACCCTTTCACTGCAACTTAGTGAAGACAGGAACAGAGAGAATATTTGGTAGTAACATCTATGAATTGTCGTGTTCAAGTAAACAATAAATACCAGTATGAGCTTGACTTCCTGTAGACATGTCAGTCTGGTCATTTAACGTTAATATCCAGAATGAAAAAATTATGCAATTCTTACCTGAGTGGAATTACGTAGCAGCAACCCCTTATCACTTAATAACTTGATAAAATAGTATGAAATTGTTGGCTAAGAAGAATTAGTCAAGAACATATTTAAACTTTAACATTTGGTTTTTGATCGCCACCACAATTATCATTTTTCATCACGATTTAAATATTGGCAGTACAACAAAAAATAGTTGGAAACTTATTCATTAGTTACTAATGAATAAGTAGTAATAAGTGGTAAATAAGTAATAATAAGTAGTAAATAAGTAATAATAAGTAATAATATAAATACGTAATACCTTGTGACACATTTTTAAACTGCACATACGTTGTCTTCTTACCTTAAATGATCAAGGGTACAGCTCTTTAGCCAGCCTAGAGAATGGCTCTGGGTTTGACTGTTGATTGAATAGGACCATGCACTTGAAAATGATACATAACTGTCACTTCACAATAATTGCAAATCCTTAAACACCTACAGGTGTTAAAAAAACATGCCATTTCTCCGTGTGATTTGAGTATATTATCTATTATCTATTATAAGAACTGAGAAATTGATCATCTGGAAGCTGTTATCTTGATGTAAGATCAAATTCTCCACTCTAACTCTCAAGGAATATATGACACTCAGAGGGGAGAATTAATGGTTGGATCTTTGGAGTTAAAGGGCAAATGGCTAGATCCTGGTGAGCGTATAGGAAGAGGGCTCACACACCTTTTTGCTCATAAAATTGTAAGACTGAAATATCAGTAGTCAAAGAAGATCTTCACAGTGTACTAACGAGTGCTAAGTAATTTCATAACAAATATTATGGCCGCCATCTTTGATTTTAATGGCAGCAGAAGGCTGAGGAGGGTAAAAATTTATACTGAGAGGGGGGGGGGCAAGTCAACAGTCAAAAATAATGATTTATTTTCAAGGGACTTCAGATTAACTGACCATACCCATAGCTATTAGGAGAACTGGCAAATATCATTAGCAGACCAAAGACCATGCCAGTGGTGTTAACCCTTTGACTCCCATGATCTGATTGTTAATTCTCCCCTATAGCTGCTACACATTTCCTTGAAAAGTATCTGGGAGAATTTGGTGTGAGATCAAAATAACAACTTTCTTTTTTAATTCTCATCACCTGCTTGCTGGATAATATATGGATACTGTAGGGAGAAATAACAAGTTAATCACTACTGGGAGTTAAAGGGTTAAGTTAAAAGCACAATGTAAGCTTGAAAGTACTATGATCCACTAGGTCTACACTACATTCGAATGCAGTGTCAATCTCTTTGTAATTACATTTCCCTTTCTTGATATCATTTGCAACTCCTTCAAACATGACTTCCTCTAGTAACTGTTCTGGTTTTTCTTTTTCCCCTCTCTCCCTGACAGTTGGTGGTTTCAACTGGGCCAGTAATCATTCAGCCCAGAAACTCTGTATCATTCACCTAGCTACAGCTCCAACATGCAAGAAGAGATAACAAGGTGAGTGTTTTAAAACATGTTCTAACTTAAAATTTAAAGGTTCAAGCAGAGACATGTGCATGTACTGTATTATTTTGCTAATAACAAATTAGAAAGGCAGACTTTTGGTCTGTACAAATTTCTTTTCTGGGATGAGTCACCTTAAATAGAACCAAAAAATCATACATCAATAAAACCATGCTGTCAGACTTATTAAGTTCTCATTCCCCATGGAGCATATAAGGTAAATGTTGGTGGCCATTAAAAACATGCATGTACAACTGAAATTTAAAAACTTTGTTTAATGAACGTTGCTTTCTATGAACCAGAATCTTTGGTGGCAAGAAAAGAGCCTCAACGCAAGTTATGTACTTTTAAAGAAATGCAACAGGCCATAAAGAAACTGAGTAGGAGTATTCCTACGACTCAAGTATTTACTGTATAAGTGATAATTAAAGGTAGAACAATGTTCAATCTGTGGTATTCTTAACATGTAAAACTTGTAGAATAAATTTAAGAAGCGGTAAGAAAACTAAAGTTTACAGTGTGTCAGAGCGTGTAATTTATGTAACCCTACCTTGAATAAATTGGAAAGCTTGTTTATTTTATCCTCTACAGAGTTATGATGGATAACTCGGAAAGCAGAGCAAAGATAGAGTCAACAACAAGGAACATGTAGTGAACAGGCACATGCCTTCAGCACCCCAGGGAGCTTCCTACTTTCTCTCAAATGACAAGTATTGTTTGTAGAATCGTCGCGCTTACACAAGAAAGACCGGATCAGGTATCGCCACACAGATCTAGACCGGACAGAATGGTTTTCAGAAAGAAATTCTCCATTCAAGTCGGAGTCAACGGGAAAACGAGAAAGGCCTGTTACTCTGTCACTGTTATCGTTGATATTTCAAGTAATACATTAATTACAGCTTTCCCTAGTAAGTAATGACGTTGGAAGCTTTTGTCAATGAGTCAACTCGAAATGAACTGCTTGCTAAAATACATTCATGTGGCCAATCAACAGGCATCATCGTCAACAGCATTAACAAACTGAGAACTTGTTGACAGAGTTCGTGAAGTTATTTGGAAATCGCCTTTGTGAGATACATTGGTAGTCTTGGAAGAACTGTAAACTGTAGTTCTGTCCCATTTTCAACCTTATTTGGAAGAAATATCATACAAATAGACTGCTGTTCCTTTGAAAAGGGTGCCATAGATGAGTGAATCCAACAGAAAACCTAAATAAATCCTTACAATTATTTCCATTTATCATAATACTAAAACATCTATTGAAAACTGCGTAGCCTCCATTTATCATAAATATCTTAAACTGCGTAGGAAATATATAGGCAAAAGGGTGCTCGATACTAAATACAATTTCAGCCTTCCAATACGGGTAGTAATTGTAGATCGTCCATCCTGAAAGCCCATGATGGACCATTGTTAGGTTTTGGACGTGAAGAAACGTCTTCGGGACGCCTATCTCTTTGAAATTCACGACGTCGAGCGCGAGAAGTCTGACGGCTGGCGTACTCTTCATCAAGTTTGTTTTTAATTGTTTTGAGCTCTTCGCTCTCCCACGTAACCGTTCTGATATACAACTTCTTTTCTTTAACACACCCTTCATCAGCCGATAGCGACTCTTCTTCTGATTCCGACACTTCTGATGACATATATTCCTCAGTGAGCACCTCAGCCGCCTTTCCTTTTTGACGTGTAACCCAGTTAATCTTATCCAGCGCTTCTGTTCTTCTCTTCAATTTCTATAATGAAGTAACAAAGTTATATAACAAAAGCAATGAATAAAGGCAAAAAGATTCGAAGGTCTTATAATTTCAGTATTTAAGCTTTCCTGAAACCACCACCAGTTATCATAGCAATCTAGTCATTTATATGAGACGATTGCCTCTGGAGATTAGCATTACGGGAAAAGCTTTGCATATTTACTTATAATCGAATAAGGCTTTCTTAATTCCCCATATTACCGAATCCCCCCACACACACACACACACACACACACACGCACACACGCACACACGCAATTCACCGCATTACACGCACACACGCAACACCCACACGCACACACCCACACACGCACACACGCACACACGCACACACGCACGCACACACACGCACACACGCACACACACACCCCCACCCCCACCCACCCACACAAACCTGTTTTTTCCTGTTCTGGCGTCGACTACTTGTCTTGTGTTCGTCGTACTTGTTGTCAGATTTTTTCTTGTCTGTTTCGTACAAAGACAAGTAATATCTTCGACCAACAACTGTAAGTGAAAAAATACTAGGTTGGTTTCACATTTTCGGCAAGCCTAAGAACTGAAGAAGCATCTATGGGCTGATGGGTAAAGAGACCAAGGTGAGTTCATAAGTTTTTTGCATTTATGATGTAAGTCTACATGAAGCAGTAAGGCGGCAGAAGTGACACGCAACAAAATCAAGAACATTAAGAGGAAAATCGGTCTACGATGTGGGCACACATAGCAATATGATATTCAGTGCAAACGAAATTAGCCATAAACACCTCCACATCTTAGAAACAACTTAAGTCAACAAGAAGATGATAAAAGCTAAAATGATAGGTAAAGAGAAATAATTACGACCAACTTACCCTTTATCTGTTCATCTGTCCACCTGCAGGAGCCATTGCTACCAGACATTTTTCCTTTCACTTTCTTTAAAACTTCCTCGTTTTCCGCTGAGTCAAAGCTTGCATTGGAAAGGAAAAAAACTCCACTGCATTATTTTCTTGGTCTTAACCTGATTTGCAACAAATTAAGTCATTCTGTCGCTGAGGGTTGATTTCTCGGATCTGAAGATCACTTGGTAGGTAGTCTCTGTTGGCAAGCCCACGGAAGATTTCAGGGGTCAATCCTTGTGCGGTACACTCCGACAAACACTGGACAAGGGAATCACTTTAACCTCGATTCAAACTTCTGCTCTAGAGTTTATAGTTATAATCCAGATACATCAAATGAATAAATACTTATGTCTTTTCCCGTAATCCTTAATAAATAGATTTTCCAAAATGATAAGTAAATTTACCTTCGTTTGAAGTCAAATCCTTGAAAGCTCTCTTTCTTTTTAAGATTTTTGTACAATTTTCGAAAAGTGTCCTGTATTGAAAATATAAACACTTCTTTGTGTTAGATTAAGTGAAAATTTCTGCAAGAGATTATTCTCAGTATTTAACCATTTGCCAACGGTTAGGATATCAAATGTTCCCAAAAGTTTGAACAACGCTTCAAAAGGTAGAAGAGGGAATAAATTACAAATCACACTCTACAAGGATATCCTGATCACAACTTGATATGAGTATTTTGATCACCGGAGATTATCTAAAACCTGGAAATTGTCTAGAAAATCCTGTTTTTCTTAATTTTTTCCTGAGTATAAGCGAACTGGAAATTACTTCTTTGACAGGTGACTTACACGACAGAGAGGGTCCACCTTCTGTTTCTCCTTGCTGCGCTTCCTTCCAGTTGCATTCTCAGTCCTACTGTTCTGCTGCTTTTGCAACTGGTTTTGGATATTTTCCATACTTTCATTGGTCTTCTTACCTACTTTCCACACTTTATCAACTTTTTTTACAAGTTTCTTGCCCGTCGTTTCCAACATTTTGTTCACCCCCACTATTACTTGTTTCACTTCCTGTATATGTTTTCTCATTATTTCCATTTCTTTTTTCAACTCTTCCATATCATTGCGAATTACGCTGGGACTATCAAACACATCTACTGCAAAAAGGAAGTATAATCTTCATGATTACTGTGGTAATCAAGTTTACAAGTTTCTTGCCTGTCGTTTCCAACTTTTCGTTTATCCACACCATTACTTGTTTCACTTCCTCCATATGTTCTTTCATCATTTCAATTTCTTTTTTTAACTTTTCAATATCATTGCGAATTACTCTGGGACTATTAAACACATCTACTGCAAAAAGGAAGTATAATCTTCATGATTACTGTAGGAAAATCTGCTCATACTGAGTTATCGTCTCTACACTATCGGACTCTCATTCTGTTTTTACTTACACTGGCTGGTAAGAGTGGTCTGAGTGCGGGCCAAGGGGTAGTTCTCTGAAACAGTTTTAAGAAACAAAGTATTTTGAAAAGCGTCTTTTGACCTCTCATTAACAATTGTTTATCTTTTTGCTCGTCGCAGTTTCTTTGAGGTTAAAATTGTTTCTCAATAGGCTAGCTTCGAATTGTTTGTGCGAGGACGTCTGGCAACTAGTTTTTAGCATCAAGTCGAGGCTGAAGGGAATAGGAGTCGTCTCAACATGGTAGCGAACGTTGCCTTCTTCACAAATTTCGAAAGCGAATGAGCCGATGGTTTTCTATTTTTCTTTCTATGTTATGTTGGGTTTCTGCGCGAATGAACTAACTCTCTAAAGTATAAGAGACCATTGCCTTGCCGTTTTGTGTCTTTTAATAGTGCTGATGGTGCGTGTAGACATACAGCTGCTTCTCTGTTTGATTTGGAAGCAACCATTGGAAGAAATGAGCGGGAGACTTGCACCTCAGTTTCTTGCCTTAGGGTGAAACGGAAAAGAATCACAGAAAATGCTGCTCCATCGGAAGTTGTTAAATTTCAAAAGTCAGAGTATAGAAAAATATTTAAGGATTGTCCAAAACTTTTGGCAAGAGAAATCTTCAACTCTACGTTGCAGCAGCTCATTGCCTTGATGAAGTGGCTGCCAAATACTATGTCAAAAAAGAAACGTCTTGGAACTAGCTAGATTGGAACAGTGTAATCTTAATATTTACACTCAAAAAGCAATCTTTGGTAGTACCAGAAAAATTTGACGAAGGTCTGCAGGAGCACTTTACCACAAAAAAAAAAAAAACCAAAACCAAGACCTCTCCATATATCATTCAATTGCTGACTTAAAAGTTAAGTGCTGTTGTTTCCTGAGTCATATGGGAGTTAAACATGGTAATTGACAAAATCTATTTCCAGAAATTAAGCGTGGCTCTTTGGCAAAATACAACATAATCACAACTCGCCTGGACGCGTAAATATCTTCGGTTGCTGAGAAGGCAATGATGAAGCCTAGGTTGAAAAAGAAGAAAATTACACATTACATACATTGTAGCAAATCAGCAGAGATATCAATGAATTAGTATTTCTCATATGATTTACATTGCATACTACCAGCCGAGAAAATCCATCTGGATAAAAACCCTAGAGCATTTTCATTAAAAAAAAACACAATTTACATGTAACTAGCATTTATAGTACTAGACAAAATGAGCATCATTTGCACTACGAAAGAAGAATGCCAACCAGGACCATTACGTACAACCTTTTCATCAAATGTTACTTAATGCACTTCTTGTCATTAACACCTTCTGTTCAGACAAACAGTACCCTCCCTGATAGGTCAATCATTATCATTAAATACATTCATGATGATATATTTCACTGGCACTTATACCCTCGCTTTCATTTCTTTATAAAAATTGGTATTTAGTAGATTCGCATTTTATTGAAAATCAGTCATCTTTCTTTTAAAAGTAAAAAAAAGCTAGTCAAACTAGTGATCGATATTGGGAGAGAATTCCAAATTTTAGGATCTTGGTAGAATATTGTAAATTTTTTTAAGATTAGTACGAAAGTGTGTGGTTGATAACAGTGGGCTATCTAATGTCATAACTGTGTACTTGCCTATTTGCAGGAAACAAGCTGAGCAACATTGGGGGCAATAGTTTATGATGATAACAAAACATGAATTTAGATACTTGCAATGAGTCAACTTGGAAAATATCTAAGATGCTCAATTTAGCAAATACTGGGGCAGAGTATTCTTGATAGTCTGAGTTGGTAATAGCTTGCACAGCATATTTTTGTCAATGAAAAAATTAAGTAAGTGATATATGAGTAAACTAATGTATAGTATAGAGCTTGGTCTTGGATGATAAATAGTATTTGGCCTTAAATGTTATACCGGCTGACTTAGAGATTTGTTTCGCAACAAAGCTAATGTGAGGTTTCCATGTTCAATGTTCATTTATATAAACATCTAAAAATTTTGTTTCATTTACTTGTTTCAATGTCTGATTTCCAAAAGCTAGCTTTTATGGGTGTACATACATACGTGTTGTGTTTGCTGCACTTGCAGATTCCTCTGCTGTGAAGGTTGTGGGGTGCTACCTAAAACTTGTGCCAAATTATAAATTAACCCAACATAACAAGAAGCCCTTAGAGCTGCACCTTATAAAGTTCAAGGTTGAATTTGTTTTGGAACTGATGATTCTACATGTGTAGATGTTCCCTCACTTCCATTTCATGTTGGGAGGGGGGGGGGGGGGGGAGGGAAACAGCTACACGTAGGCTGGATAGGGCTGAGAACCAAATTATGAAAAACACTGCCAAAGAGAGGTTACAATAAAGCACTGATTGTGGTCAATTACTCTTTACAGACCTGTCAATGAACCCCCTTACTGGAAATTACTACATGAGAATTGAAAGTCATAGTATGTGCTTCACTGATCAATATATCAAAAGTACTCATAAAGTTCTTCATACAGTTGCACCCATATTATACTTCACCCACGGGGAATGGCTGGGTGACTACTTAATACAGGTTGGCCACTAAATACAAGTTCCACAGAATAGGGGTAACACAATGAAAAAGAGCACTTTTGTACTAACAGTCCTAAGAAGAAAGATAATCTGCAATAATTTGAGGATTTCAAGTCAAAGTAATCAAAGTAATCAGAGTAATCAAAGTAATCAAAGTAATCGAAGATAAACATGGAGTAAATTTGACTTGAGAGATTATTCATAATCCTTTTACTCCTATGAGTGACCAAGACAGAATTTCTCCTTACAATATCAATACAATATCAACCAAATAAGTGATGAGAATAAAAAAAATATCACTTTGGGGATAATTAGTTAATCCAATACTAAATTCTCTGAACTAACTTTATAGAAATTGTATAGTTGGCAGTGAAGAGAATTACAAATTTGATGTGGGAGTTAAAGAGTTAATAGTTTTATTTCAGTGGTTCTGCTAATAGAGAGGGACGACAAAACAAAGGCCTGTTGGAACTCAGTCATGGGTGATCATGACTGAGCTGAAAACTACAGTACTTGGGGGGAAGAAAGAATCCAGAACTTTGACAACCAACCACTTTAAATAATGTGACTGCTCAATATGGTGCAGCTTGATAGAAGTTCAACTGTATATGGTTTTCTTTCATGATCATTTCCTGTGAATTTTGAATGGCTGTTAATAGGGGCTCTGTAGGGTGGAGTTGACCAGTGGTCAATATTTGTTATAGGCTGCCAAAATACCTGTGAACATCAACTAAGTAATTGGTAAAACAAATTCCACTTGGCCAAGAAGGCACACTGATTTATATACTAATTGATATTCTCACCTTCACTTTCTTCTTCATTATCACTAGCAAATGCCAATATTAACTCCCTTGAACAGTCATCTCCCACCTGCATCTTCTCTTTACTAAGGTTAATTTAATGAAAATTTTACACTTGTAATCTACAGGTCGGATCATTGTAAAAGTGTAGACAAAAATGAGTTTACTAAACATCATTACAAGTCCAGGTTACAAATGTCCAACTTGTAATTACAGGTGTAGCCCAACTAGTGTAAAAGATGGTAAGTATCAAATTAAATTAGACTTTTACAAGAGTCGAACTTGTACTTGTGCTTCTGTATGTACAAAATACAAGTCACACATCACTCACAAAAACATTGAGCATTCCTTCTGAAAAATTACTTTGGAGTGTCACAATATTTCATTTTCTAATGAAAAGGAACTCAAAGCACTGCCAAGACATCAAATTATCTGCCAAACTAATTTCCAAATGGGACAGCTTTTCGACATTGAAAATCCAAGGGAATTTCGAGAAAAGTTTTGTCCACCTTTTGAAATTAATAGGCCCATGTTTGGAGCATAAAACGAGATGGAACAGAGCATGCAGTAGTGGCAAGACAGCAACTTTAAGTATTTATTCCCTTAGTTTTTATGTCAAAGCTGATAAAAGGGGCACCAAAACTTTTGCTGTTTGGATAACAAGCTCAATAACTGTTCAAAAATAAAATAATAAGCAAGCATAGCAAAGCCACATGTATTGAAAGGAAAACAACTATTTTTAACTGCATTCAAGCAAAGTCTACAGTTGTAGGAGGGACTCAATAGGGTTAATTGTAACCTGTGAAACGGCTACAAAAAAATTATCCATCAGGAGCAAAAATTGACAAATTTTAACCACTACTCATAAAAAAATTAACTGTAAAATTTTTTAATTAAAAACTAATGGGAAGAAACAAACCATTATCCTTAAAATCCTTCTGCTCATTGAGACCCTCCTGTTCAATTTTACAATTGTAATTCTACAATTGTGATTTACACTTGTGCACTGACTTGAGATAAATGTGTATAATTCCAATGTGGAATATTGTTTTATCAAATCCTTGTATTTACAAGTCCGACCTAACCTGTGTAACTTACACTTGTAAAAACTACAATTGTATTCTCTTTATTAAATTGACCCCTGGTTAGCACTGGACATTAAGGAACCCACACAATTCTCACAAAAAAGAGGGAAGGTAGCTCAAGATGTTATGATCTGTCTTTGTTTCCAAATGCTAGCAACAAATTGTAATTGTAAGTCAGTTTAGCTGCCATTCTAAAATGGTCACTGGTCAGTTGCTTGTGTTGTTGAACTAAACACTGTTGTGAGGCTTCAGTTGACAGCACTAATTGAACATTGGCATGCTATGCATGCAAGAGTTATCTTTTTTGGATGGGTGGTTTGAAATGTGACACTAAGTGACTGGTGTTTGCATTTTTGTACATGAAAAAGGGCACTTAATTTCAAAAGATCCCACTGAAAATATCGTTCAACGGAGAGCAATTAAAACCGTAGAGCATACCCAAAAAACCACTTGAGCATACCCATACATTGCTGCAGAGGTAATGAGTTCAAATCCTGTACAGGCCTGAATTGTTTTCAGGCCTTATTTTCACTACTGCTCAAGAAGTGGTCATTACTGCAAAGATCACTTTCACATTCACTTCTTTATCTGCAGTTCACATAATTGATTTTCATATATCCAGTTATGAAAGTAAAACTGTAGTAAGACTTTCCAAGTGACACAAGGAGTTCTGTTTTTAAAAAAAATATGGTCAAAAGGCCACAGAAATCCAGTAAGCCAGCCTTGTTTTCGGGCGAAGAGGATAACTCTTCAAATTGATTGAAACTTATTATTTTAAGAGAGCAATTCTAGTTTACATACACGAATTTAGTGCAAATTTATCTAGTCTAACACAAAATGTTTGTAAATCCCCTACCAAAATCTACGATCAAACATTTTCAAACTTGTGGGTTTTGCGAAACCGCATTTTTTCAGTCCTGGCTTCTGGACTATGAAGCAAATCGATAGCGCTAACCATAAATCGTAGTTTCAGTACAGCACAAGCGACCATTGACCATTTTAGAACGGCAACTGAAAACTGGCTTACAATTACGATTTGTTGCTCGCACTACAGTTGAGTTTTATCACGTCCGATTCATACTTTTGGCACAAATGGTTTCCCATACTAAGACAATAGCAAAAGGCTACATCACCTGTTCAGAGCTAGCCTTTGTGACAAGCAGCGAGAAGGTAGCGTAGTGGACGGTTTAAAATGGCCGGCGCCGAGCGGAATATTTTTCGGGAGGAACGACAGCAATTCGTTGAATCAATACGTAATTCCTTGAGTGACTCTTCGTACGATAATTTCTATGTGGTGTGGTTAACTTTAAAACCAGATAACTACTCGAGAACTTCGTGTCAAGTGGATTTTGTTTTTTTTTTGCTTTCACACGTCGGGCTGAGTTGTTTCTTATCGAGTAGGCACATGCATTCCACCTTAATGGTCACGTGCAACCCAATCTCCCGCTAAAAAATGTGTACAGTCTACAATGGGAAATAGGCGTAGTAAATGTAGAGTGTCTACATTTAATGAGTAACGTGACAAAGATCTTGGAGGATCCTGGGAAATTGTTAGACGCCATCTTTACTAAGTCCTGTAAGTCACATGTGAACAAGGTCAAGCAAGTACAAAAATCCTTTGGAAAGGTCTCCTTTTCCTGCGCTCCGGTAAGTGTTGAAATTTTAATTCAAGGCTTTAATGTAATTTTTACCAGAAACCTGGGGTGATTTTCCCATACACGAGAAATTTAAATGAAAGTCTCTGGTTAGGATAAAAATATAAGACTGAAGTTAAGCTTCTATCAAGTGACTGCGATACGAATGAAGTAGTCTTGGACTCTTGATATGTAAGTAGACGATCTACTTCATCGTGTTACCTTTAATTTGTGTAAAATCAGATTTTTAATTTTTCGTTCGATTAACACAGTCGTGTAGGCCGTATTTATAGACCTTTAGGGAATTTATCGCTGAACACGTACCTGTAAGGTTGCAAGAGAATTGGCATTTGCATTGGTACCGTAATCTTAACACCAGTCGTTATTGTTACATCTATATTAATTATTTATAAGTAATCCAGTAGATTGAGAAATGCATGAGTTTGAGTTCAAATTCAAGTTGTGGCCATATTAAGCTGCCTAATGTTGAGAGTGCAATTAAGGCAAGTCACCTTTTAATAAAAAGCTATACTGTAACACAACCCAAGTGTTATTTAGGCTAGCAGGTAATTTAGTGTTAACAACTGAGTTGAAAACATAAATTAGCCACTGTAAAGGGTAGAAAAGCTGACGTTTCGAGCATTAGCCCCTCATCTATTGCTTCCACGAAGGGCTAATGCTTGAAACATCAGCTTTTCTACCCTTTACAGTGGCTAATTTATGTTTTCAACTCAGTTGTTAACACTAAATTACCTGCTATACTCTCCCACCGACGCAGGACCACAGCTTCTTTAGAAACTTACCCCTTTATTCATTTGTTATTTAGACTAGTCAATTGTGTATCTATAGTAGGTCTTCCTTCCTTCCTTCTTCCTTCCTTCCTTCCTTTGTTCCTTCCTTCCTTGCCAAAATGAAACTCAAACACATAAGTAAACTCCTTGCATGGTCTTAAAATCCATTGATTGTTGCAAAGGTATCTACTGGAAGTTGTGTCCATGGTTCCCTATTGATTCTGTCCTAAGAAAATTCATATGGGAGGGATAATCAGATGACCAATTTACAAAGATAACCATTCCTCTCATCACCTTTGGTAAGGGTAGTTCACAGCAACGTGGCCAAATGGTTTAGGGTGCTGGATTTGCAATCTGGAGTTTCCTGGTTCAACTCTTCCACCTTGCCGGTACCTGGATTTGTTCTCGGTAGTCCCCCAGCCACTTTGTGTAAAGAGCTAACTGGTCAGCCTTCCACCAGTTGGGATTTTTAATAGTTTATGTGAAATATTTGTTTATTTATGAACAGTGTCACCAACAACAGTACTTAATACATTTGACCTGTAAATAAAGTTATTTATTTATTTCATTTATTTATTTGATTGTTGTTAATTTTTGGTCTTTACTCTGACTCTCGTTAAGGGCAACATCAAATGGAATTGGAAGCCCTGTCAGAGGTGCGGAGAATCAACAAATCACATAAAGAGTCGCAAATGAAAACAATGTGGAGTCGAACTGCAGAAGAGACAGCCTGTTATCAAGCCAGTGTCCAGTAATCAATTTTCATACTACAAGCACCAGCTGTTTAGAAAGGTAATTAAGAATTTTCTTTTTTGGTGTGACACATGTGAAGTTACCCACCAACATAAAATAGTTTTACTGTTATTTTATTGTTTTTCAATCGGTGAAATCTCTTGAGCGACCGAAAAAATCACACATACATACGTATCTTTTGGAATACAAATTTGACATGGCATTAACTTTCATGGATGTTTGTCCTTTTGCTTTGTAAATAGTTTAAAATGTTAAGGTTATAATAATTATGAAAAGTGTTACGAAAAATTTCATCAACATTGAATAACATTGCTCTTTGTTTTAGTAAATGCTAGCTTTTCATTTCAATAGGCCTTATGAGGGTTGTTATCGTAGTTACAGGATGAATAAAGAATGGTTAAAAACTATCAGTTTCGTTGTTTTTGTTTTTTTATTATTGCAGGCTGCTAATGTACATGCTGGGATAAATGGTATCCACTTTGCCATTATGGTACTAGAAGACAGTGTAGAAGAGGTGTGGAAATGCATTCCTTCGGAACCAAAGGGCCTGGGGAAAAGTTTTTGGTGTTCCAAAACGAATGTGCCAAAAATCTTTTCAAAACGTTTTATAAAGCAAATTACCACCAAGAAGCCAAACGGACTGAAACTACTGAACAGTCATCAACACAGACTACAACTGCTGGACAGACAGCACCACAGACTACAACTAGTGGACAGACAGCACCACAGACTAAAACTACTGGACAGACAGCACCACAGATTACAAGTAATGGACAGACAGTAACACAGACTACAACTACTGGACAGACAGTAACACAGACCACAACTAACGGACAGACAGTAACACAGACTACAACTAGTGGACAGACAGCACCACAGACTACAACTAGTGGACAGACAGTACCACAGACTACAGCGACTGGACTGACAGTTACACAAACTACAACTACGGGACAGACAGTAACATGGACTACAACTACTGGACAGACAGCAACACAGCCTACAAAGACAGGGCAGACAGTACCGCAGATAGACAGAAAGAAACGAAAGGCAGCATGTAGAAAGTGTCTAGGCTGCACTAAGAATGACTGCGGGGAATGTGTAAACTGCCTTGACAAATCAAAGTTTGGTGGCCCCATCAAGAGAAGGCGCAGATGTATCCAGCGTGTATGCGCTCGTTCGTAAAACAGTTCGATGGAAGCTCATTCATTCATTCGTTTGCTCTTAAATATAGGTCATATTTAGAGGATTAAAACATTCTTACTATTAATCTAACCGAGCATGAAAATCTTTAAAACTCGGAATGTCTATTTTGTTTTTCCTTTGAGGATTTTCATATCTGCTCACGTTTTAATGACGTAAATTACGGCGCCTGGTATGTTTACAAACCTTTGTTTGATTCTTCTGTTGCTACTTGCCGGCTCGCTTGTTCCGAAATTTCACTTTCAATTATCGGAAAAAAGCTAAAAAGAAGTCCCAGGAAAGGTCGAACATAGTACAATTTGGCAGATGGCGTGACAGCTTTAGCTCAGTTCTATGCTCTATAACAAATAGAGAAGCCTAAACTGTGCTCTGTTCTGTTATAAAGCGCGCAGGAAGCGGCTAGAGCACTCTCGTGTTTCTCCCTACACTTCTTTCGTGCTCTAGCCGCTTCCTAAGTGCTTTATAACAGAACGGAGCACAGTCAAGGCTTCTCTATTTGTTTTATATCATCAAACTTCACAATCTGCGATAGTTTACAAATTAAAATAGTTCGGCGGGTCGAGTTTAACGCTTTTGCCTGAAGTTTTTTTAAACAGAATCTTGAAGTGAAATGTTCGGTGAACTACAGCCGAATTATGGCTCATAAAAACACGCGAGTTTTTTTACATGACAAGGTAGAAAACAAACTGTTCAAGGCGAGTGTTTTTTAAATGAACGACAGCCGAATTCACCGGAACATGAAGATCGCACGGGATGACAGCGCCGCAAAACTCGGCTGCAGTGACTGATGTGACTTTCCACTCAACGCATCGGAAAGGATATCAGAGCGAGCTCTTATTTTTTCACTCGAAGGGCGGCCGATGTAATTTCTGAGGCTTGCTTTACTGTGATAACCGGAGATCGCCATGATAAGCGAGCCGCGATAGACTTCAGCATGATCATATTTGCTCAGGCACCGTCATGATTAGTGTGAATTTTAACAGTTATGCCAGTTTGGTTATATTTTTCATCATTTCTGTTTTCTGTTTTGTTTTTGAACTCTGAACTTTATATACTATACGAGTGTTAGCTGTGTTTGATTTTTATTACCGTACGTAAGCTTGCAATCTAACTGAGCGTGAATTAATCTTTAAAACTCGGAATGTCTATTTTGTTTTTCCTGTGAGGATTTTCGTATCTGCTCACGTTTTAATAACGTAAATTACGGCGCCTGGTATGTTAACAAACCTTTGATTGGTTCTTCTTTAGCTACTTGCCGGCTCGCTTGTTCCGAAATTTCACTTTCAATTATCGGAAAAAAGCTAAAAAGAAGTCCCGGAAAAGGTCGAACATAGTACAATTTGGCAGATGGCGTGACAGCTTTAGCTCAGCTCTATGCTCTCTCTATACTCTCATAGAGAACGCTCTTTCAACCAATGACAGCGTGCGTCATATTCGATCTTTATTATAAACTCTCATAGAGCACGCTCTTTCAACCAATGACAGCGCGCGTTATACCCGAACTTTATTATAAGTAAAAGTGCAGTAGGTAAAGGAAAGCAATGGGGGGAAACTGAATTCCCATATAAAAACTGCTCTCCAAGGCTAATATAAATAACTATACGTTGTATAAGAAAGAAGCTAGAGAAACAACTAAACAATGAACAAAAAGTAAAATCTGAATAAATCTCATTTCCAGATAACAGAACAAAACTATGTAAGGGATAATTCAGTAATCGAGTTC